TGCCAAAATACAAAACACGAGCGACGTTCGCTCATAGGCACGTTTGCCAAAATACAAAACACGAGCGACGTTCGCTCATAGGCACGTTTGCCAAAATACAAAACACGAGCGACGTTCGCTCATAGGCACGTTTGCCATTAATCCTCTTCGTTTTGTATACTAATCCACTTTTTAACATGGTCTGCGGCTACAACAGTTCGTCTACGTTTGAACCCCTCTCGTAAGTCTTCAACTTCGTATCTGTCATTAAATAGTACTTTTGTGATGCGAAAAGGGCCTTTGTATTTCGGATGAAGCTTATGACTGGCACCCGTAGTAGGTATACTCGTTATTAATACTCTAACTAGGTCACCGTCGTTGTACCTTTTGGCATCTCGTCGTGTTTTATCATAGCGTTCTTTTTGTTTTTTCTGGTCCCTCGATATGTGATCCGAAATTTTACACCTAAGCTCTTCCAGGTCTAGCCTATCGATTTCGTCTTGGATTTCATTCAGAATTATTGCCTCTGCCGCATGTTTTGAATTATAGCCAATAAGCGCCTTCATGGGGGTCGAATTAATACCCTTATTAAAACTTGTATTAAGTGCGCTTTGCACTTGTTTTATATATTTGTCCCAATCTCTTTCATCCTTGCCTGCAGCTGTTGTTGATAGCGCACTCACAATGGTTTTGTTATATCGCTCACATTGGCCATTACTTCTGGGCGAGGCAACGGCATTTAAAACGTGCTTAATCCCATAAGTATTACAAAATGTTCTAAAAGTTCGAGATGTAAAAGCTGTCCCTCTATCGCTTATAATTCTGCTAGGTACTCCAAATAGATATATTAGGTCGGTTAAAACCCTAATAACGTATTTACTTTTTTGATTATGTACTGGTTCGATTACAGTGAATTTAGTAAATGCGTCAACAATTACAAAAATATACTTATTCTTCTTTTTGCTTGTCATAAACGGCCCAACATGATCTACATGTAATGTATGAAAAGGAATCGGATGTTTCTCAATAGGGTTCAATTTACATTCTCGTTTAGAAAACGACTGTTTGTAATACATACAACTTAGACATGCGTTAACATATTTCGTTACGAATTTCCTCATTTTTGCGAACCAATAGTTTTCACAAATTCTTTGTAACACTTTTTCTACACCAAGATGCCCAGAATCATCGTGACACAAACGACAAATTTGCATACGTGCTGCTCGTGGAACAACCCATGCTTTGGTTCCATTTCCTAATTTTTTGTATAATTTGTTATTCCTTAACTCATACTGCTCAAAGTAAAACTTTGTATCGCTATTTTTTATTTTATCGGCTAAAATGTTTCGGATTCTACAAATCTGTTCATCTTGCATTTGTGCGGCGGTAATCCAGTCAGCTTCTGTCAAGTCTATATGAAAAACTTCAACTTTAAAATTATTGTTCGATATAGGGTTTCTGCTAAGAGCGTCAACATGCGTCATCTTTTTGCCGGCCCTGTACTCAATTTCGAAGGTATATTCTTGAATTTCCAGCCACCATCTTCCAATGCGCGGGATCAAATCCTTCTTTGATAAGGTCGTTCGCAAGGCATTACAATCCGTAACCACTTTAAAGTTTATCCCCAATAAATAAACCCGAAAATATTTTAAGGCATAAACTACAGCCATAGTCTCGAGTTCGTATGAGTGGTACTGCCTTTGGTCGCTTGTTGTTTTTTTGCTAAAATAAGAGACAACATGTGTATTACCCTCAGCATCATATTGAAGCAATATTGCCCCGACACCGATGGAACATGCGTCTGTGTGAAGTTCGGTTTCTAATTTAGGGTTATATATTGCAAGAATTGGACAAGATATAAGCTTTTGTTGAATTTGGTGAAATGCTTCTTTTTGTGGTGCGCTCCATATCCAATTCGCACTTTTGCGAGTTAATTTTGTTAGAGGCTCGACAATCATGGAGAAGTTCTTGACAAATTTTCGAAAATAACTTGCTAATCCAAGAAATTGACGCACTTGCTTAACGTTGGAAGGATAATTCATATCCAATACCGCTTGAATTTTCTTCTTACCTGGCCTCACTCCTTCTGCACTGATTTCTCTCCCAAGATATTCTATAGTAGTTGCAAGAAATACGCACTTACTGATTTTTAAAGTAAGGTTATGTGCACGAAGTTGGATTAACACCTTTTTTAAGCGTTCTAGTCCCTCCGCAACCGTCAATGAAGGAATTATAATGTCATCTATATAGGGGAAGGCAAATTCATCTTTTAACGGTCCCAGAACCTTGTTTATTAATGATTGAAAAACTGAAGGCGCATTTGCTAACCCAAAGGGCATCCTTAAAAATTCGTAATGGCCATCGGGTGTTACAAATGCAGTCTTTTCAATGGAATTAGCAGCCATGCGAACTTGATAAAAACCGGATGCTAAATCTAAACTGGTGAAATACTTAAATCCTCCTAATTTGTCGATTTGGTCTTCGATATGTGGCAATACACCACGGTTTTTAATGGTTACTGCATTGAGATGTCTAAAATCAACGCACATTCTATAGCCTCCATCCTTTTTTTTAACAAGTGTAATCGGGCTGGAGTACGGAGAATTGGATTCGCGGATGACTTCATTATCCAAAAGTTCTTGAATCATATTTCGGAGAATACCCCTTTCAACCTCAGGCATACGATAAGGATAACGTACAACCGGTGTGTCGACTATACATTTTATCTCCATCTCTACCGTATTCGTATTTCCTAAATTTTCCATGGAAGATGAAATGCAATCCGAAAAACTATGCAATAAGGAAATACATTTTACTTTATCAGCCTCTGAAATAGGGCCCAAATTTACACTATTTAAATCCATAGTGTCATAAACCTCAACCAAACTCACAGACACACTTGTAATGGGGAATAAGCTGTATAAAACTAATCGATCGTCACGTTTAATCATGATTACATGTTCTTGGTTAATAAAATCCCGACCAACTAATAAATCATATTTAAGGTATTTGTCCGGAAGAATTATGGCACTTACTTGTGCCGAAACCCCTTGTATAGTAGCGGTTATTTTACAAAGGGACCTACTATCTAAAGAAGTGCCCATAAAACTACACAAAGTCATACTCTCCGAATCAATACGTTGCAATCCAAATCTCTTAACGAGGGACTCCTTTATTAGCGTATTTGAACTGCCCGAATCTATTAAACATTTTATTTTTTTGCCAAAAATTCGGGCGGGCTGTAAGAATATATTAGGAAACTTTTCCTTTGCTAACAGATTAACGTGCTGTATTTCCTTTTGTAAAAAGGGACACTTTTCTTTAGTGTGACCTAGTTTTTTGCAATTATTACATTCAAGACGTGGTTTTTTGCAGTTAACTGAAATGTGACCCGGAATACCACAATTGTAACACGTTGGGCGGGACTCAGATTTTCTAGAAAATTCTTTATTATTCGAATTTCCTCGATTGAAGCCAGTCCAAGGCAGACGTTTGAATTTAGTATTATTCTGACGAAAACTACAAATTTCCGTAGGCATGTTACCCACGGTGTTTAGATACGCATAAAGTGCATTGGCATTCTCATGCTGTGCGGCTCTAACAGTTCGCGATATATTATCGTCTTTAATACCGCCGATTACTGCGTCAATCAAATAAACGTCAGGTATATTTATGTTAAGTGCCCTTAATTTAGACATTTTTTTAAAACAATAATCTCCTAGGTTTTGTCCCGGCTTAGTTTCGTAATTAGCAGCGTCCTTTAGTAACTTGGAAAATGGAACAGACTTACGGAAATAGAGGCTCATTGATGTTTTAATTTCAATCCAGCTTGAGTCATACTCCACGTTCTCGTCGTACCATTGACGAGCATTACCTCGTAATCGTCCGGAAATTATTCGAAGAATAGTATCATCGTCCCACTGATAACGTTCTGCCAAACTATCCACTTTACTCAACCAATTATCCACCATCACGTCATCCCGACTTGGGTCAAATTTTGGCACTAAAAGTTCGTCTCCCGCGCGAAAGACCGGCTTACGCCTTTTTAAATCATTTAATTCTTTTCTCAAACGTTTTATTGTCCGTTTTCTCCTCGAGCTATTATCGGAAGAGCTATAACTCGAATTCGAACTGTCACTATCACTTCCCGAAGACGAGGATGAACGTTCTTTCCGTTTATTACGCTTTTCACTTGTAACTGTTTTCGATTTAAATCTTCCCATGACGTACAATAATTTTAACTTGTCCGAGAAGAGAAAAAAAAAAACGATTGTAAGTGATTTTAGTAAAATCCCACCGCTGCTTTGTAAGGATCATCAAAAATAAAACCACGTAATGAAGCAGAATCGAGTTTAATCCTCTCCGTTCGACAACTACGTCTTCACTAACTCATCGTAAACCCCCAAAAACATCGCATAATAATACCCTAATTATCTCCTCACCGCAGCTTGCCCACCCTGTCCTTTTTGCCTGAGACGCCGATACATTTTACGATCGGCAAAAAAAACAAGGCGGCGCCTCTTTGTTACGGGGTCTTGTCGGATATGACGTAATAATATAAATATTCCAACACAATTTATTGCTTCGGGTTGATGCGAACGAGGCGATAAAATCGCCCGACGAAAATAATAAAACCAGAAGTTTTCTGCGGTCTGGTTAACTGTAAACGGTTTTCAAGTGTTTTTTATCTCGTGTCGTCGGTACCCAACGGCCCCGCCCATATCGCCGCCTAATGATGTGCAATCAAGTGTGGATACTTAAAGTAAATTGTTTCGATATTTCCTTTTATAACGTGCGGGTTTTCAATTACGTAACGACGAAGCATATCAACACTTTTTCCGATATGTTGATTTTCAAAAACAACTGAAAAAATATTTAATTAATATAATAGGTAATTAAGATAATGGTTAGTTTTATAAGCTGTTGGGAGCTTAGATAATATTTAATAGTAATCCCATCGTGACGACCGTTTGAGGAGGCAGGGTGGTTTTTCATAGAGTTCATCAAACCGAATTTCGCAGGGACGCCATGTACACAACAATATCCACAGCAGTCCCCTGCACCACAACGTCCTCTACCGGAGCCTGCAGGAGGAGACGGCGCTCGCGCAGGCGCAGTATCAACCGGACCCGGACCCGTCGGGGGGCGGGGCGGCATGCGCAGACGACGGCGAGGACAAGACCGGTCTTTTGCACGCGTCTTTGCCCGCGCAGCCCGGGATATCGAGGCAGCAGTTGATCAACAGCCCCTGCCCGATCTGCGGGGATAAAATTTCCGGATTCCATTACGGCATCTTCAGCTGCGAGAGCTGCAAGGGCTTCTTTAAGAGGACTGTGCAGAATAGGTACGCTTTCCGCGTATGCTCCATTCCCATAGATTGATCGTTTAGACTATGACGCAGAAATTAATAAATTGGTACTAAATGAAAGTAAAACTGAGATAATCGCGTTTATTATTAATATTAATTAATTTATATAAAAATTAATATTTGTATTGTACTGACAATATCCAACACTTTTAACACTTTTGGTGTGTCTGATTTTGGCAAAAATATTTCGCGTCCCGCAGGAAGAACTACGTGTGCCTGAGAGGGGCGCAGTGTCCGGTGACGGTGGCCACTCGCAAGAAATGTCCCGCGTGTCGCTTCGACAAGTGCCTGCAGTGCGGCATGAAGTTGGAAGCGATCAGGGAGGACAGGACGCGGGGCGGACGCTCGACTTACCAGTGCTCGTATTCTCTGCCGCCGTCGTTGGCCGGGCAGACGGAGCTGCGCGGGGGCGCGGGAGACGCCCATCCCGCGTTCGCGGTCAAGCTGGAACCGCCCGACGGCGGCTGCGCGCCGCCCCACCACAAGCGCAACAACTTCCCCGGTTCTAAGGGTGTCCCCCCGCTATTGCAAGAGATAATGGAGGTCGAGCACCTGTGGCACTACAACGAGTCGGAACTGAACAAGCTGAGCGCCGAGGGTCACCTAGGCAAGGACGGGGGCAGCGGGGCGGTTCACAATTTGTCCAACCATCCGTTGCTAGCCGGCACCGCCCTCGCCGGTACCGAGACCAATCCCGACTTTGTCGCGAACCTGTGCAATATCGCCGACCATCGCCTCTACAAGATCGTCAAGTGGTGCAAGAGTCTTCCCCTGTTCAAGAACATTTCGGTAAGTGGGGGACGAGTCGGTAGTTTTTGGGTAAAAAATTAAAAAAATAGAACCTGACCTAGTCCGAGGCTGGGCCGTTTGTTAAGGAGCTGAAGAGACATACATTTTCTACACGGAAGTTTCTTTCTTCCTTTTAAATATATATCTTGTGGATTAGGTATAACTTTTTTGTCGTATATTTTTCATAAAAGTGAAGAATTTGTCGCGTCGTATTTTTCAACAAATATCTAGTGTAAATATAATATACTATAAAAAATGCCTTTTACCTGTCATAGATTGTATCGTATGTTTAATTCACTGCTACTTGCAAAACTTAGAAAACAACTCAAGCATACATGTTTTTCTATTTGGGTTAGATAGACTAGGGATTGGATGAAATCCACATTTATGTGCCTGTTCCTAAGAAAAACAGTGCAAAACATTACGGGGACCGTAGACTAATTAATAATACAATATTTATTGCCAAAAATTCATTTTACAAAAAAAAGATCTTGGTCAAAAGAGGACCGGAAGGTTGAAAAACCCTCTTTTCCTGTCAACACAAGGATTATATAAAGTTCAGATCGCTTCGCTTCCCGCCAACATACGGAACCTATAGCCGCACCAAGAAAAAGGAGATGACACAATGATAAGTGAAATTTTTCAGTAAAAGGGCGTTTTAAAGAAGTTGCGAAATGTCTTATGATGTTAATAATACCGCTCTAAAGAGAATTGTGTGTTATAAAATGTGCCGCAAGTGGTGGTGAATTATTAATAGTCTAAGTCTAAACATCAGAAGTGGGATTGGTCTCCCGTGTTTTGATTAAACCGCGTCTTAAGTGTCATTATTGTTTTTTTTTTGTTTTAATTCCGAAGCAAACAGAAGAGCATGACAATAAATATGCCCTAAATGACCAATGTAAAAGAATATAGTACATGTGCAAAAAGAAAATACTGATGGAAATCTACACTTGGATATTATAGCATGGAGATTTATATTATTCTGAATGCGGCTGTGTCTCTTCATCTAAATTAATTAAATAAAATTAAAAAAAAAACAAAATCACTTATAGGGTCGGCTCACATATACCTTTTACTAGGATATTTTATAATAAAAAACATGCAAAGCAAAAGATTATACACATTTTCTAACCGTCTATTCTTTTAGCTAAATTTCTTGAGGCCAATTTCTATTTAAACGCTCCCGCTTTCATAATACGAGGTGTATTCAAAAAGTAAGGTGACAATTAAGTTTTATCAAAATGTATTCATAAAAATTAAGTAATCCTCCGCACTTTCTGGTATATCCTTGAGTTCTCCCAGTGTCTCCTCAATCGTTCCAAACGTCCTTCCTTTCAGGGGTTTCTTCAGTTTTGGGAACAGGAAAAAGTCGCATATATATAAAAAGTTAGACACAAGCAATGGTGAGCGAGCAGGTGCATTATCGGACGTAACTTTAATTTTATTGACCGTGCGGCGACCTTGTGGTAAGAACTCTTGATGTGCTACGTCACGATAATCCAAATCCATTGGGACTGGGTTTTGGTTTCGATCATCATTGACGTCGTTTAACAGCCCTTTAGCGACGCTCCTTCGACCGTATTTTTTAAATTCTGATTTGAAACTTCGTCAAAGGATATTTTTTCTTGTCTAAGTGACTTACTTTTATGTTTTTTTTTTTGTGTTGCGTGTTGGAAATTTCGTCCTAATCTACATAGGCGACAATTCGCTTACAATGTTTCGTCTCATTGTCAGATCGACGATCAAATATGTCTGCTGATCAACTCATGGTGTGAGCTTCTGCTGTTCTCCTGCTGTTTCCGGTCCATCTCTAGCCCGGGTGAGATTAAGGTGTCCCTCGGGAAGAGCATAACGTTGGCGCAGGCGCGCGACATGGGGATGCAAGCGTGTATCGAGAGGATGCTCAACTTCACGGAGCAGCTGCGCCGCCTCAAAGTCGACCAGTACGAGTACGTCGCCATGAAGGTCATAGTGCTGCTGACGTCAGGTAGGCTACTCACGGTCGACGGTCACACCGAATACGGGAGTGTTGTTTTACTTTTCAGACACGTCCGAGCTGAGGGAGGCTGAAAAGGTGAGGGCGTCGCAGGAGAAGGCGCTCAAAGCGTTGCAGGATTACACGCTGTCGCACTATCCGGACAGTCCGGCCAAGTTCGGCGAACTGCTTCTGCGCATCCCCGAGCTGCAAAGGACTTGTCAGGTAATCAATTAAAATTACCAATTGAAAACCACTCGTCGCACCATCATTTTGCATGATAGAATGCGTTTGAGAAGGTGGAAAGGCTAAAAATAAATTTAAAATGTTATAATGACCAACTTTTTTCTTGGATATTTTGAGCCCAAAATAGGATATTGGGATATGGTTTTGGTTAGTCTATTCACTTGACTATGAAAAAACAGTTATTTTTCTACTCTCGTCTGTAAAATACCTAATTACTCACCGATTTAACGTGCCGGAAGCGTCAGTTTCGTTTCCCACGGATCCGAGCCGTTTCGGATATTTCCGGAATTTTACCGCACGGGTTTGGGAGCAATCGGATGTTTTCGGAGATATTACCGCACGGATTGAATTTTGACGTTTGACAGTTCTGATGGTCAGTGAACATATTCGTGTTGTTTCGCGTAAATGTACCCAGTGTATCGGTGATCAAGTTTGAAAACAATGACTCACTCGTTAATAGATAAATTCTAATAAATATGTCAAAAAGTCCTAAACAAAAATTAGTCGAAAAATCACTATAAAAATTTAATTTGGAGTTTCGGCCCCTGGCGATTTTTGAAATTTGAAAATATTTTTCGCGATTGCCTTTTGGCCAATTTAGTAATAAAATGCCCTACCAGTGACCAATAATTCTTGTATATAGTACTTTGTTTCTTTCGGGCTAACAATGTGGCGTATTAAGGTTCCAGGTTCTGACAAATAAATTGTTTTTTTTTCATCGGTTTTTGCTTTTTTTAATTTTTAGAGACTTTTTAACGAACTTCGTTATTATTTTGTGAGTATCAAAATTGTAAACGAATCGATCAATTGATATTTGTAGGTTATACAGTGAAGTCCGGTTATAAAGTACCCTCTGGGACCAGAAAATGAATACTCTATAAGTGGAACTATGCTATAAAAATACAAAAAAAAAATTATATAGCTCCGTACATATTTTTTTTTATGCAAAAATAGAAAACTAAACACTAATATAGGTACTAAAAAACGAAAGAAACAACTATCTCAACTAAAAATTTATCTATCTATATAAACTTTACAACATACAACATATTCTTTATGAATAAAAAAAATTCGTTATATTTGTTTATTTTTCCATATTTATATTTGTTTATTATTTTTCATCATTTGGCTGTAAAACTTCAGTAATTTTATCATTATCCGTTAATAACTCCGTTGTTATCATCTGGGAAGCTATCCAGCTCAGGAAGTTACATTTCAATGTTGGTTAGATCTTGGCCTATATTGCGCAACCAATTACTTAGGGGAACCTCCCAGTCATCGTCGTCATTATTCTTATACTTCTCGAACCACTAAGTAACATCATTGCACCATTGTGCAAGTAGTTTTATGGCGTCTAGGATAGTGATGTTGAAAGGTTCCTTATTTTCAAATGACTGGATCAAACGGTACAAAAAATATCTGCGGTAATATGTCTTAAGGCATTTTATTGTGCCCCGATCCATTGAGTCAAAAACTCTAATCTGATATTTGAAAGGATTATATTTTTTGGATGAGCTGCACAATTGTCAACCGGCAGCAATATTTTTCCATTCCGTCATTTTAGTTTTCCATCCCAATCTTTTAATTAATTGTAAAAAATTGCTAAAGTGATCCACGCTTGCTGGTTTGACGTATAATCGACAGGTAGATTTTTCACATTTTTCATGCATCTCGGTCGTTCATATTCACCAATGTACCTCACTTTTATCCTCTAAATTGAAGGGTACGATCTGGAGTCATTTTGCGCAATAATGGGCCTCCAATCAATTTAGCGCAGCTTGTTTGTTAACATCTCCTGCTTCACCAGAATTTGTTCTGACGAACTTTAAAACGTTCGGGCCAACCTGGTAGAACAACCAAAATTCTCACACTGTAATCCCCTGGCTAATTCTTCGGCTTTGGATTTCAGAACTGGACCATTGATTGCAATATTTTCGGATATTCTTGAAACCATCGTAAAAGAGCTTTATCTACATCGAACGTACAGGATTTTTAATTTTTTTAATCCTGTGCGATTTACGGTCACTTTTTCAATACTTCTATCTATATATCTTCTATACTTGTATCTTTTCTTTTACAGTTAAAGACTTGCGCCGTTCCGTCATTGTAACGGTAAACTAAAAAAATCGTACTAGTGTTAACTGTCAGAGAAAATGATTACTGAAAAATCCCGACAGTCGTACTTTATAACCAGAAGAATAGTGAAAATATTGTACTTTATATCCGTAGTAGAAGTTATATATGGGATATATAATATCCCACGTACGTTGTAAACGGAGTTTACTGTACTTTGATTTTCGTTAAAATACTCTTGACTCGTGCCAGTTTTAACATAAAAACACGAATACAAAATCTGAAACGACGAATATTTGGTGCAACAATGTTCCGGGTATCGGAAATTCTTAAGCAAAAGTTGTCGGCAACGGTGAAATAATACGTGACGTCATAATGAAGCGATTTTTTCCGCAGGTGGGCAAGGAAATGCTGACGATCAAGTCGAAGGACGGGGAGGGGCCGAGTTTCAACCTGCTGATGGAACTGTTGCGCGGCGACCACTGAGACTTCAGCGTGCCTTATAGCTTACGGTGGCGGGCTCATACTTACAGACAGTATTTCGCTTAATATTTTTTTTATCTTTTTTTTTTTTAATGATTTTTCGTTTAGCGCGAAGGCGGAAACTATGACGTACTTATTTAGGGACATCCCGCGGCGGATTCGACGTTTCGGTTTTTTTCCCTCTCCTCTCTCTCACCAACATCATCGTCGTCGCATTGTTTTTTCTTGTTAGGTTTAGGCGTTATGGGATCTGCGCGGTTCCCGAGAGTTTTGTACATATACATTTTAAGTTTCTATTTTGATATATTCTTTATTATACATTTATATAGGGCTATTTATTGCCGCCTAGGACGACGGTATCTTTTTTACATAATAGTTTAGCGCGCGCGGGTGGGGGGGGGCGGCCGGTGACGAGTTGGACGCTCGTACGTACATATTTTTCGAAGCACAATACGGCGTGACCCGGGGTCAAACCGTCAAACGTCTCAAATCAGTTTTTCAGATTAAAATGAAACTTTTTCCCCTAATCGTAATAAGTTTTTACTAAAAAAATATATGTTTTTTTAATTATTCGAAATCCTCTTTTATGATTTTGACAATGTATCAATTCCAGAGGCAAAAATCATACTTTTTAAGATTAGATCATATTTCCGTATTTGCAAAATTTCAATTAGAAATGGACAATTAGACTTCAAAGTTGCAAATTGAGGTGACAATTGGAAGTTCGTTAAATCTTACAAGATTTGAATGCATATTTAGCAAGTTCTGTTGGTCTGCGCACATTGACAAATTTTACCCTTTCAAATTCATTTTAACGTACAAAGTCTGATGTGTGGGTAGAGAATTGTATCATTTGAAATTAGAATTAAAATAACACATAACGGGCAAATATGTAAAAGAGAAAGATCACTATTACTAAACAGGAGACGTTTATATAATATATAACGAAAATAAATCACTTCAGGGCGCCTCTAAAAAATTCGAACGAATTTTTAGATACAGAAAAATGAAATATATAATGGTGTCCAAAAAAAGTGGGTTTTGGTGGCAAAACAAACACCGAATGTCACCGCGAAAGCAGTTCCCCTCGATCTGTAGATATAGGGTGGTTTTGTATCTGTGTGCAATCAAATATGTGGTAACTGGTCTCCCAATTTTCGATCTTTTTTTTTTTTTAATATAAAAAAAAGGTTTTTTGCAGGACGTCCAATTCGTCGTGGATCGCCCAGTATATGCGCTTAAAAATCGGCGTTTTGTATGCAATATAAGCCGGAGAGTTCGTTACGGCGCGCGTGTCTCCGCCCATTTTTCTTTTATACACGGAGGCGCGGCGCGGCGGTCGCGGGTCGAACCTCGCGCGACCGCAGTGCCGCCCCCCGGCGAACGGTAGAACTATCATTCCAACGGTATCCGACTCTTGAGATAATCTGTAGTTAAACTACGCTAGAGCGACTATTGTTGTAAATAGTCTTTGAAGAATGTTATTTATTTTTACAACACCGAAAATATATATATTTTGCTTGATAGATACGAACGAATAGCCTCCAAAAAGTGCGCGTTTCAGAAAAGTTCCCTTTCTTTTGAGTGCCACCGCTTTCGGTGCCCTCGCATATTGGGCATAATAATTTACGTAATTCTTTACACACACACACACACACCTTTTGACGCTTAAATTCCGTACTGTTTATCGTTAGGGAAACTATTTTAATAAAGTAAATCAAAAGACTTATGGGGTGGCCTTGTACAAGCTGCGTTTTTTGCGCAGCTCTAAAAACGACCCTGAACCCGACTTTTGTACTCAACTTTTTAAAGCAAATATACAAAACTCCTTTTTGTATTGAAATATATAACGTGAAGCAACATGTTTGCGTTTTCTTCTCTAACCGCTTTTGGTGTGACGTCACGATCGCGGTCTGTGTTGGCAGTTCCGGACGGCGTAGGTTGGCGTCCTGATTCCCCTCCGTTGCAGTTGGCGGTGGCGAAGACGAATCCACACGTCCTTTAAGTAACCAACTAATATAATATAGTTGTCTATGCTTTAAGTTTCCGTTGCGTTTCGCCAAAAAGGGCCGCAAAATTCGTTATCTTCAGGTAGTTATAGTGCGATGTCTGATTTTAAGGTTACGTGTGCGCGATTTTATGGATCCATGCCATTTTTCAGGTGAGCGAAGTAGTCTAGCCGTAATACTTTTTTTAGTAAATTATTACGTTGCAAACCAGCCGACCTCTAGTTGCTTAATTTTTCATACTTTTACTTACCATTTAAAAAAATAGTTTTGAGTCGCGGCGTTTTACAGTTGAGATGTGTGCACAAATTTATAGTGATTAATTGTCCGTATAAAAAATACAACTTTACTGCGTTTCAAACTTTGTGAAGCGATGTCACAGTAGGGGGGAATTTAATTTTTCAATTTTACCTTCGATCTCACATTCCATGGTTACTGCTCCACTTTGCTTAGAATTTTGACTCGAAAATAACCGTGAACCCCAGACAAAAATCTTTAATTTAAACTTTAAACCTACTTTAGTGGTTTAAGTAGAACGCTTGCTTTATTGAACAAAGTGTTCAGTGTGTCCCATTTTTGACGGTGTTACGGCGTATCTGCCTTTTTAGTAACGACGTAGGTAGCAAAAACAGAAATGCTGTAACTGTCTTCGACTTTTAGATACAAGGTGACTTCGTAAATGACTGTTCATGTCTCGGCTGATAGAAGAAGCAAAAATTGATCTAGATAGGGCCTAGTCAGTTTCTTTTCAAATTCATAAATTGTGATTAAACGCTCGTTGCATAGCATAGCAAAAAAAAAAAGAAAGGATTTTTAAAAAACGTTTTAATACACAAAACTATGTTACCTAACATCATGATATTCTTATCCAATTTTTTACGGAAGGGATACTTTCCAAAACCTTCTGGGACCCTTAGGATACTGTACAAGTTTATATACAGGGCCTTGCCTCTTAGAAGCGCAGGTGCGGCTTGTGTTGTACAATGTGCCTTAAAAAAGAGAAAAAAAGGCTTGCTTGGTTGCGGTTGCCATTGCGTGACAATTACTTACTTGTCAAGTTTCTCCCAAAATATCATCAAGTGCGCCCGATCCAAATGCCTTTTGGTTCTCGACAACTCGATGACTGTAACATTCCACTTTGCTACGTTTGGATCGATCTTCATTTCGTCGTACTTGAGGTGAAAGGCGGCAACCTTGTCGAAAATTTCGACCGGGGTGTCCCAAGGGTAGCCCTTGAACTGCCACGCTGGGCCCATCACGAATACCGCGACCACCCGATCCCAATCACTCGGGCTCAGTTTCGCTGGATTGTCGACAATCCTGTAGGGCACCGTCTGCCCATTCTTTTGTCGCTGGATGAGAACCTCGTTGTCTCGCTTGCCGCCCTCCAGCTTTTTCTGTTCCTGTGTCACAAACTTCATATCTTGGAGAATTTCCTTCACATTGTACATAGAGATCAACGAGTTGGTGCCTGGGAGAAGGTCAAATTGTATCCTTTCAGAGCAGGAAGCAAGCAACTAACTTACCGGCGGGTATGATAATAATTGGAGTCCTGGAAACGCGCTTCTGCATACCACCTGGTGGCGGTCTGGCCTGACTCACGGGCAATGGCGCTTGGGGAACTTGCGGCTGTGGTCTTGTTTTCGGTTGACCCTCCGTCACTGATTTGAGAGTCATCCCATGGTAAGTACCCATGGTGTCGATCTTAAACCCTTCTGTTTCCTCCTTTTGGCGATTGAACCTTTCCTGATCGTACCGGTTGTACACTGATGGTTGAGTCGTTGTCCTGATCGGCGTCTGGCGAGGAGTGACAATCGGGGGCTGTACGGGCTGTGGTCGTTGCCGACCTACAATAAAATGTTACTCTCTGTCGCACACACGGTTAACCACAACCTTCTTCCCGCAGTTTGATGCTATGTAACATGGCCAAAATATTTTTGGCAAAATTTTTCCCCGTTGACTGCAAAATCGTCGTCCTAGTCCGCCACTGCCTCTCTCTACTTATAATGTCTTTGGTAATATCAACGTCCAAATCGAGTATTGCCCTTAATTCATATTCCTGTCCAATATCGTCGTTTCCTTTAATAGTGGTTCGTTTCTTGGCGAGACGTTTCGCTTTGATAGCGGCGATCTTTTCCACTGACATTGCCTCTGATAAAGACTTAATATTGTCAACGGTGACCGACGCTTCTTTCGGCGCATCCAAACGAGCAGCCAGTTTCTCTCTGACCTTTTGGACGTGAGTGTCCTCAAACCTCGGTTTCTTCGCGACACTTTCTGGCCCATCGTAATCCGCGGATCTTTTAACTTGCGTGGGAAGCTCTAACGGGGCGCTTTTGTCTATAGCCGGACAACTGGCCGTCTCCCCATTCAAATACGCCAGCAATTCCTTACGATCGGGCCGCCTCACCGCGGGAATATTCTCGGCGGCAGCCTCCCTTACGTACACCGGATGGGTGAGCGAAACATTTTTCAATATAAACAAGAGGCATTCAAGAGTGTAATACTCTTTACCTCGAATTCCCTCCTTGCCAGAACTAAAATTACCGTTTAGGTTAGGCTATTCGAAACATATCACTGGATTCGACGATACTCACCCATACATGAGGTAATTAGTTTTAACATTTTTGGGCCACGAAAACTCGCCGAATATAATCTGGCCATCGCGCTCGATAATTTCCTTTTTGTTTACGTTATATTGACGAAGCAAACTCAACGGATCCGCCATTTTTGCGAATTACGTCGGCACAGATCTATATTGGTACTATCGCTTTAGGATCACAGAACGCCGAATGTCTTCTTCTTTTGTATCGCAAACCTTTACTCAACTGAAACTATCCGGCCAACTTTGTCGAAAATCGAATATCAAAATAATGGCAACGACATGTGAAATGACAGAATATCTTTGCGATACGTCGCGCAATGTCGTGTCCCAAGTTCAAAGACGGAAAACGCTCTATCGACTTTATTCTGGTTTACGAAACAAGCGACAACGACCAGGTAGCCGAGAGGCGTGCAAACTTCCTGAAAAACCTAGAAAGCTTGGGGATTCACTTAGAAAGCGAACCTTCCTCTGTATAAATCTCAGAATGGACGAGAGGCATATTATACTCGCTTGCCATTTTAGTCAAACGAATGCATCGTATACGTAAAAGTTCACACGCCTGCTGATAGTATCGCCAACTACTGGGCGAGCGTTTTGTGCGTGGATCTCGAAAGACGAACCTACAACGTTGCACTGCCTAGTAATGAACAAAATGCGCTGCCGACAACGAGTAGAAGAGCAATGTAGCCAAAAGCCATCGAATTACTGCCGCGGATAAAGTTTTAACGCATTTACAGGGCTTATGCACAGTCGATAACTGCCGCCGAAAGAATCATGATAGCCTACCAAATTTTAATCAGATGCGTTTACGGTCCGAATCTGAAAGATTACGGACTGAAACGCCTCATGCAACAGAAAGTATTTGTCGACGCTTTTCCTCTACACGACGCCGATTATAAAACAACAACGAGCGGGTCGATAAATGACCGACAAGTAGTACTTTATTATGCACGAACTTAACTATGAATCGACTCATCGTGTCGACCGTCCTCTTTTGTTTCGCAGATCCTTGCCACACAGTGGGGTGCTTTGGCGGCATGGAAGAAACCCCAACCGCTGAACTTAATCGAAAAATACTACGGCACGCAGTACGCTTATTATTTCGCCTGGCTCGGGTTTTACGTTAGAATGTTAATTCCGCCTGCCGCAATATCGATACTCGTCATACTTTACGGTCTTGTGACGACCCGTTTGAACGAAATAGGGTGAGCGAAAGAACCACAGAACAGCGTTTCACGACAGCAGCGCCACGCTGTGACATTTATGCTCAACTACTCGTTCCTCCTCCGTGTCCAGTTTATTCCGGATTTTTTTAGAGACGTGTGCACGAGTGACATGTTATTGTGCCCTCGCTGTCACTACAGCAGATGCAAGCGCGAAGCACTCAAGAGCTCCTGTTTGTTCGCACATTTGAACTACTTGTTTGACAACGCCGTCGTCGTTGCTTTCGCCATAGTAATGTCGCTGTGGTGTAAGTCACGATAACATGGTTATAGGGACAATGTTTATCGCCATCGCCCGTAGCCACTGTATTTATGGAAATGTGGCAACGCGAAGACTCTGTGCTCCGACTCCAGTGGAACGTGACGCCCTATGAATATCTGATCGTCCCGAGGTTTGCACTTCACGGCGCTCTGTGGGTGGGGTTAGTTATAAAGTATATACGAGTGTGAACTGATCAAAAAAGTCTTCTAGTGCTGAATCCAGCTCTTCTTTGATTTGTTTTGGTGTAAAACCGTTCAAATAGAAGTATTTGATGACACCACGTTTTTCCAATTTTTCCATTTTCAAGAAAATAATGGAAGCGTCTCTCGCAAAATAACGTAGCGGTTATGTTGAAACTGTACATACCAGCTGACCGGAAAAATTTCACCTCACCCTCGTATACGATCGATATAAAAGAAGAAAATAATGCAATTACCTTATCTTAATTTGTTAATAAACTTAACTATTAGTTAAATTATCATATTATCATATTTATTGTATAAGCGAGTTCAACATCTGTATCTCCGAAACTAAGAATTAAGTAAAGTAAGTAAAGATTTTTGACAACTTTTTAATTTTTGGGGGACGCCTCCAAAAGATTTGCTCACAGTGCGTCGCGCCCAATAAAATAAACAAACAAGAGAAAAAAACGAATCTCGCTTTTCCAGGCCTCAGTATACAGAACAGACGGACGAATTGAAATTTTGCCCCATTTCCGGAACACTCGAACCTCACATGTCGAAACGATCTGTAACCTATCGATACGCGCTCACGTCCGTGTGCATCTTGCTATTGGTAGGTCATCGGAAATAGGCGAGCGGCCCTGATACTATAAGTTAACGGACCGTTCTAGTTAGCCGTGATGGTTTTGGCAACCTTCGCTGTGATGGTGTACCGCGTGAGCGTCAACCTGGCCATGGTTAGGTCGGTTGACGTGGACGTTATAACGGGCAACACGGGACTCATAGCGTCCGCGACCGGCGCCCTCATGTCCGCCGTTTTCATAGTGATATTCAAATGGGTGCCGAACGGTAACGCGGCCATTTTCGAAAACTAAACGCGCCCGTTTTAGTTTTACGAGAAAGTCGCTCTGAAACTGACCGAACTTGAGAACCATCGCACCCAAGACGCCTTCGTCAACGCGTACATCTACAAGAGTTACGCGTTGGCCTTCACTAACAACTACGCCCCCTTGTTCTACATCGCGTTTTTTAAGGTGCTCACTGAACGAACCAAACCGCGATCCGCGCTATCTACGGTTTCAGGGCAAGTTTTTCACTCACCCCGGCGACTTGAGGATGTGGAGTTCGATCGGCGGTTTGGATTCGGATATCTGCGACCCGACGGGCTGCGTGGTCGATTTGGCGATGCTCATGTTCACGATAATGGCGGTAAAAGCGATAGCGAGCAACGTGCAGCAAGTCGTGGCGCCGTAATATAAAGGACACGCCGTCGCTTCGGCAGCGTTTTTTGTTGCGACATCGCTTTCAGGATCTTGGTGAACCTGTACAACGCGTATCGCTCGAAAATATGGACGAGCGACGACGTGCCGCAGTGGGAGAGGGAATACCTGCTCGCGCCCACCGCCGAATTTTTCATTATCGACGAATACATGGACATGGGTTGACCTCTGTAGGTATACGTGTAAACAATTTTGGCGACCCTATTTTCGCTGCAGTAATTCAATACGGGTTCGTCAACTTCTTCGTCGTGGGGTTTCCGGTCGCGCCCCTCTTCGCCCTGTTGAACAACGCTGTAGAGTTGAGGGTCGACGCTTCAAAAATCGTCAAAAGTTACCGCAGACCGGTGCCCAACAAGGTTGCCGGCTTGGGCGCGTGGTTCGGTATTCTGCAGGCCATGACGTATATCGGGGTCGTTACTAATGTGAGAATTCTCAATCGCACGACAGAACACGAAACACCGCGACAGATTTTAGCACGCGTGTATTGTCGGTTGCGGGGTTTAAAAGGGGCGCCGCACTGTGGGCCCCATGAATAAACTAGGTTGCAATAAATCATTACTAAAAATGCAAAATTTGTCAATGTTTAAAAGATTGTCTATTTTTATTGCACTCGCTTCAATAAAATAACGAAGTTTTCGTACTTTTGAAATGGCTTAGTAGGCCTTGAAAACAAACGCCGCTTTAATTATTTGACAACTGATGTCAGTCCTGTCAATTAGTTTAGACCTGTACATGCAATGTAGAATGTTTGGGTTTTTTCTGCGATTTGACAAGAGGTGACGGGACAAGCACCATTAATATCTAATTTTTCAAATTCTATGGAGTAAAAAAATAAGAAGGTCAACGAGTGCCAAGCAAAAATATACATTTTTTATTAGGCAACGGTGTAAACTACTAAAAACCGTTAGCCAAAAACAAACAAACCAAAAACAAAAAAAATATTAACAATTAATATGCTCAGTTGTTTATTATAATGCATTATTTTTATACATATGGTTTTCATTCGATACACACGTTTAATCTCAAAATTGCAAGACTACTTTTGCTTTTTCGTTTTTAGAAATGTCCGAAATATCGAAAAAAAACGTTGTTTCAATTCTAAAGTATTTCTAGTAAGAGAAATATTTAAATTGGTTGTAAAATATTTTAACCTTAATAATGAGAATGTTTCGACCAATACACAAAAACAGTGGAAATCGATTATTCAAGATATCTGTAACGAAATAAACACAAGATGGAGGAAATGCGGCGAAAGATCTGATCGATGGTAGCTCAGAAGTAAAAAACAACAAGAGGAAATTAAAATTAGGAAACAAGAGATTCAAAAAAGATTTAGAAATGAAATGGCTTTAGACGTAGACAAGCCAAACCTGGATTCGGATCCAGTAATGACGAAAATACCGCCAGAGCCTTTTTTAATCTTCCAGAAAAAAGTTCAGATATAACAGGAGTCAATAGAACATTAATCGAACAATTTGGTGTGATATTGGACACAGTTTGCTCGGGGCATAATATAGATCCTGTAAAATTTGAAGAGTACTGTAATAAAATTGCAGACCTGTATTTAAATCTATACTCGTGGTTTTATATGCCCATAACCGTCCACAAACTGCTGTACCATTCCACTGATATTATTAAACATTGTGTTGTGCATATTGGGCAGCTCTCTTTGGGGGGGGGGGGGGGGCAAGAGGCACGTCCCAAAGATTGTCGGCGATAGCGCGAGCATCACACCCAAAGAAAATCGCATTTTTTTTAAATTCTAGTTTATCTTTAAAATATACTCCGAAAAATAGTAATGTGGCAAGGCTGGAAAATTGAAAAAAAATTATATTATTATTTACCGGCAATGTATAGCCCCAAATAATAATTTTTTTTAAGGTTTTTAGGTTACTAGAAAATAATGGAATTAATGCAACCCAGTTTGGGCAATGGGCCCACAGTGCGCCGATTAAATCCAACCATTGACGCATTGCAGGCGTTGGTGATCGCGTTCACCAGCAATATAATGGAAAAAATCGTGCACAGGATGTCCCGACAACACGGCCAAACGTTTCTCAACTACACCCTATCAGGTACGATCCGCCGAACTCGATCAACACTGAAATAGTTCGAGTAGAGTTCTCCAAAATATATACCTTTCATGGTTTTGACTTCTGAATGAGTTTAAGACTATTCAACACCTGTACTACAAGCCGGGTCCGTATTTAAGATGTTAGCCGACAAGAACTGTGCCATGCGGACTATTGTATTTTGAAAGTAGGATTTAAAAGAATAGATTTTTCACTGCATGGACTAATAATAATCGCGGAATCGATGAAGTACCGAAATACGGTTCTGGAACGTCACGATGGAATTGCAAATCTATTTATTGAATGTTACAAAGAGAAACCCAATCGAGGTAGGCCTGCGATTAGACCTTCATAAGAATTTACCAAAGTTAAAAACCGGATTATGTCGTAAGAACGGCATATAGTTTGGAGAACTGTAATGTCAATGCGAATTGGAGTAGTTATTATTCGTTACTTCACCATCTGCCGTCCCCCGGGGGAGATTTTGTGATTGCAAATTTACAGATTCCCAAGCAACCGAAAAAAAAAATAGTTTGACCATCCTACGAGAGATGTCGCCGCCCATTAGGAGCTCAGGTTTCGATCGCCAGATGTCACCCTTAATGGGGGGTAGGGGGTAGTTTTCGCGTTAGTGCCTTTTTGGCAATTTCGCCACGCTAGGGGTAGTTTTTGCGTTCGGCGACCACGGCGAATGGCAAACGATTGCTTTCAATAATAGCAGCTATCGCAGTGATAAGGAGGAAAATTTGGGGACAGACCTCCAAAAGGTTTTGATTCTACTGTATCTAGTGACGGGTGCTTGTTTCCTATTACTATCAAAGTGCTTATACAAGTTGACGAAAATTCATTGCTCCGCCCATCTTCGCAAGTAGGGATATGTGGATGTATAAATTGTTCGCATATATTCCAAAACTCTTAAATCGACTGTGACTTAAAAAGTGTACTTAACGCAGCCAAAAAAAAAAAATTCAAATGGCCACTGATGTTGTTAGGATTGACGAAAATATGCTGTTTAAAATTTACAACACTGGCGTTCGTTTCACCAGCAGGGACGAACATACGGATTTTCAACTAGAAGAGTCCTTGGATTTTCTCAATTTTCTAAACAAAGAAGTAGGAGAACGTCTAAAGTGAAACGACGTTTCAGCACACATCGGTGACGACATAGAGGTGATGTATTGGAACGAAGAAGAGCTTTGTGATTTGAGGCTATTAAAAAATGGACGGTCGCAAATTTTTCTGGAAAGAGAAGATATTGAAAAAATTATGTCAAAAAGGCACAGTCTTTTTAAAGCTATAAATTTATACCGAGATGTAAATATACATAACCGAGATGTAAATATATATAATCAATAAATAATTTTATTAGTAACACGTATTTGGTTTATGTCATTTTTCATTTAATTCCTAAACATATACTGCTCTATAATTTGTTTCTGTCTGACCGCAAAACAACATACACCACCAACTTACTTTAAGTCAAAAAAGGGATCTGACTAACTCAACTTGCCATTTGTTAGCGATATTTCATAAAAATGTTACATCATAAATTTTATCGGTGCACATTTATTTAATTTAATTATATTTTACGCGACCTCGACGACCTTTTATTATATTTATGCGGAACCAGAACAATGCAATGCACACTTGATGAATTTAAACAAAATTTCATCACATTAGCAAATATGGAATATAAATGCTTTATTTACGTATGATGTTTTTTATCGTTATCAGATACATTGTAAGTTAATAAAAATGTGTTTATTGAATTCGCGCATTTCTAATATTTCCCTGATTAACAAATTTAAACATGTCGGATGTCAATACTTCGTAAATGTCAATAAATTATTATATTTTAAGCGACCTCGACGACCTGTTATTAGTTGAATTCTCTTATCGTCGCCGCTGCCGCGAAATCGTCGTCGGCTAGGCTCGGCTAGGCTCGACTAACGTAGCGCGCGAAACGGGTTCGAGGTTCGAATCCCCCGACCGCGCGCGACACACCGGTCGCTTTTTTCACCTCGCGCAAAAATACGTCATGACAAAAAGGCACTAACGCAAAAACTACCCCTAGCGGGGCGAAATTGCCAAAAAGGCACTAACCCCCATTAAGGGTGACATCTGGCGATCGAAACCTGAGCTCTTAATGGGCGGCGACATCTCTCGTAGAATGGTCAAACTATTTTTTTTTTCGGTTGCTTGGGAATCTGTAAATTTGCAATCACAAAATCTCCGCCGGGGGACGGGGGATGGTGAAGTAACGAATAATAACTACTAATTGGTATTCCTTGTTCCTTCACACGTTGAAGATAATAGCAAAATAGAGCAATAGATGTAGCTCTTTATTTCAAAAATTGTTACCCGTGGTAACAATATATGAAACGATGCCAAAGATGCGCAGTAGGTCAGCTACAACGAGAGGTACTTATTGTAATACTACCTTAGATTCTTAATGTTACATGACGATTATTTACATGCTTGGAGTTGTCTAAGCTATGTGGCTCAAGTTAAATTAAGAGATTTTTAATTTCCGTTTTAAATGCATTCCTGTTATTAATCCGTCTAACATTGAAAGGTAGTTTATTAAACAAATTTAGTGATTGGTGTAATATTCTGTCCTCACATTTTGGATTTTCTGACATGCGTAGGTTTCTATTGTCTGCGCTGAGGTTGCCTATTATTTCTATATTAGGCTGTTCAATTTTGAAGAATACAACATCCGTTTTGTCTGTATTAAGAATTAATTCGATTCGGATTCATTTAAGATCTTATTATTTATGTTAATTACTTTTATTACCTACTTAAATCACTTAAAATTGTTCACATAATATATCGGTTTCACTATCGCTATCATCGCCTGTTCTAATTATTATTTGTTCTATATTATTTGCGATATGGATATACGGTTGTTCTGCTTTTTCTATATGTTTAACAGCATTTGCTCAACTTTGTGGAGGCATGTTAAAAACTTCGGTTTCTATAAGTTTGAGGACATTGGAGTTAACACGGGGAAAAACATTGTTACGAAGAATTCTAAAACTTGCCTTTTGTCGATTTTTTTTAATCTAAAACCCATGTGCTGAATACACTTCCATAACATAGTTCTGCCACATTCAACAACGGTTTCATCTTTTTCAAGCTTCCTAATTAAGATATCTAACGTAGGCACGCCGTATTCACAATTTTCCATACAGTTGATGTTGGAATTTTTGTCAATGTGACCGTTTTTTCTAAAGATGCTTTCTTGCTGGCACCACTATCAATGAGAGTCAAATAAACATTGTTTATAACTTCCCTAGTCTTAATAGAATAGCGTTTTCTACATTTGGGCGGGAGCATCTCCTGAGATACACTAGACTCGCACATATTTTGCATAATTCACACACGATTGAACACACGCTGTATTACACACGAAATAAGAATGATTACTTCTAAACTTAAACTAAGCAAAGAATATTAAACACACGCAGTTTTACCTGAATTTAAATTCCGAAACTTTAGGTAATAATCTTGTTTCATTGTACGTTAACAGACCGTACCGTGTCTTTATCAACATTGACAACTTGAAAACATTGGAACTGACAACTGAAACACAGCCTTCTAGTTATAGTCAATTATCCTTATAAGGGGAACCTAATTTTCAGTTTTTTGCAAATTACCGAAGTACCTTGTACATTTTCAAAAAGTGTTTTAGAATAAAGGTTTTGGTTTGGATCTTGCGCGTTGTTTGGTTCAGGAATTTTTTCGGTTTTGGAGAAATGATTTTTTTCTCGATGCCCTGCAAATGCGGTTTTTAAATTTTTAAAAAAACTTCTCGACCGCCCAGCCCCCCCAGTTTCAATAGGCCTCGTTATGAAGCTAAACTCTATACGTGTCAAGTTTCAAGTGGATGGCTTCAAGTTTCGGATACTTATGTTTCATAGCAATGTCCAAAAAACAATCGACAATCTAAAAAAAAAGCTGGACGCTGAGGTTCGAAGGGAAGGTTTTTCTATTGACTTATGTGTCTTATGGTCTGTTTAAAACGAGTGAAATCTGGATGCAGTAAGTCGTACCGTTCGAAAGTTATCGCAATTTAATGCCCCGTCTACACAGCAGGAGAATGGAATCGAATTTTCCAATTGTAAAATTGGCCTCACCCGTCAATCCCACCGTTTAGTGTCGATCGAGTTCGCGCCGACAACATTGTCACCCTACGCGTGTCACTGTGGGCGGATCGACTAAACCAATTTCTATGGTGGGTTCGTTTTCAGCGTACGACTTCGACGAGTTCGTCGTGTTGTTGGGCAGACAGGGAAACCTCGGCGGTCGTCCCGCCAACCTGTGCTACTATCGGGGCAAACGGAACCCCCCCGGGCACCCCATGGAGTACGCGAATCGGAAGGAATACTGGAAAGAGTTGGCGATCAAGATGGTGGCCGTTTTGGTGTTCGAGGTGACGACGGCGACGGCGGATGATATTATCGCAATAAGGCGGAGTTGTTTCAGCACGTTATCGTTACGATAAAGGGGTTCCTCGCTTACGCGATACCGGACGTCCCTTTCGCTGTCAAACAGCGAGTAGCGCACCGGGAGAACGTAAAGAAAAAACTGAGGATGAGAGAGCTGCACGAGGAGTACTTGAAGAGACGCAGACGCAAGTCGGAAGACTAAACAATTGACGCGAACTAATCGGTCGGAATTCGGGTTATGACATCACATATTTCAAAACGTGAACGTGGACCGCATCTTAACGTCGAACAGACATTTTACGCAGCCTAAATTGGATAAAAAAGGGTATATTTTATGCAACCTTACCTGGTCCACAATGGCGGCAATCGCCAGAACCGGCCATCTCGCTGTAAAACAAATAAATACAACATTTTTTAAAGGTGATTTGTTTATATATAGAAATAACGCATACCAAACATTAAAACTCAAAACCCAATATTTAAGTTGCAATAAATAATTCAAGTTGTGACACCAGGCTATTCCTTTTAAAAGTGCGGAAATGATCGTGACGTCATACCGCTGCTTTTCGATCGATACTGCGACATGTTATAGTGTTATTTTCAGGTTATATGCCGACAATTATATTATTTACGTTCATTTTGGCTCGTGCAAAGGTGTGTTTGTATTTAATCTAAGCCAGTTTGTATTTGTGCTTAATGTACTTTACATAAACGGAAGATGAACTTTTTATTCGTCAACCAGAAAATAAAAACCGTCGTTTTTTGTTAACATTATGTTCAGGTGTCACTTTAGCCTTAACCGTACAAACATTTTTAACTCTCCAAACTTGCACCCTACTGCAGTATCCATAGTAATGGCTTCCTGATCTATATAAAATAAAAAACACTCTAAGTTATCAATGGCAATATACTTTAAAATCAGTATTTAAGTTTGCACTAGTGCACTTTTTGTTTTTTTGTTGTTGAATAATTTACATTTTATTTGATAAACCATTTGATTTTTAAAAACTAGAAAACTTTTAGCTTTAACACCTTTAACCTTGAAAGAAAAACTTTCGGTGTTCTGTAGGTAAGATGTAAACATATCCACTAAAGGTAAATTAGCAGATTGACCTTTTCAAAAGTCGGCTTCGATCATTATAAATTTTTTTTTTTGATACTAAACACGAGATAACAAAAGCAAGCGCCAGGATCAAGACCGAATTTAAAATTAAAACCAACAAGCCGAACGCATTGTAGTTCTCTAATGGGTTCCCTATGCTCACAAGCGAATTGACGTCACAACCGGTCACAGCCAACGACAGCGCGCTTCAAGGATACATGTATACAGCAACTGTGTGGACATTTTAAACAAGTAATACAATAAAATAAAATATAATAAAGATAATGAATAAATAAAAGATATAAAATTAAAAAATAAAGGAGTTTCGTTTAAATGGTTTTTAAAATGCACGTGGCCTTCCGAGTAATGTTCATTGACTTGAAATCACCTCAGCAACAACGAATAACACCCTGTCTACACTTCAAAATAAAAAATATAAGCAGGGGCCTGCGGGCCAAAAAAGGAAAACGTCACAGTCGACATCCGTCACGCGAAAATGTTCAGAGACGCGCGCAGACCGATAGACTACGTAATAGCGGTCAAACCAAACAACATGGACCGCCTGGCCACTTACCTCGAGAATCTGGAGGCGTTGGGATTGGAGTTCGAAACCGAACCCGGCCAGGCCGTAGATCTCGTCTTCGTCAAAGTTCACCTCCCGAAAACTGCGCTCGAACACTTTTCCGATATCTACGACGTCGGCAAAGAGGAACCGCCCCCGCCGAGTGTCGACACCGGGAAATTTACTCATCCGTTTCCCACGCCGGCGTCAAGGATATCGCCGAAACGGAAGGGGTAAATATTCTCCGAGTCATAAACGCCTCCTCGAGTAGGAAGATTAACACAAATGAATTTTAAACGTTCAGCGATATATAGTAGTGCCGGTTCTAAGCCACTTTTGGCGGGAAAATTTGAATTTTCATGAATATTCGGGTGTGTTCGGGTCGGCGAGTGAAAATTTTGAATCCTCGGGTCCGTTGGGGTTGACGCGGGAAAATTTTGAAGGTTCGGGTATGTTCGGGTTTTCGCGGAAAATCTTCGGGGTCCGCATGCGCAGTGTAAATCGCATTCGGCTATATTCGGACTAACTTGCATATGCATAAGGGGAAATTGTCGGGAAAACCTATACTGTGCATTTGTCCAAATCACCCGGGGCACCGGAGACGCACACCCGAAAGCGACCGAAACATTTATCCAAATAAAGAGAAGAGGTTAAAGTACGAGTTTAAACATGGCCCAGATAGCAAATGCGGTAAAATTATTTTACTTTGGTTAATTATCTACATATGCTGTTTCCACTATACAGTGTGCTTACAAACAAAATAAAATTAACAAGAAATAAAGGAACAACAATTTACTCTATTGTTTAGGCTAAAGAAAATTTACAACTTCTATTAAACATACTTCAATGAAAGTGTAGGTAGGTATTTCATTGGCACCTAAGGGATTTTTATTTTACAAATAGGCATCTTTAAGTAATGGCCACTGTTCTTCTCTAAAATTTTAATTCATTTTCAATTCAACAAATCAGGTATTGTGAATATTAGGAGGCTGTGGATTGGAATATTTGCCTTGGTTCTAACGATGTCAGCTTTATGTCTTCGTTTATATTGGACAAAAGTTCAAGACTTGATCAAACAAAATTTTTCTGTTAAAAACGTTCCTCATAAAAAATCACCGGTCAACTGGTTTGATAAAGATCTAGTAGCTCTTAGAAACAGAGTGTCAGCTGTTAAAACTCTCAGTAAAGTCTCACAGAACCCTCTATATACAGAAGTGTATAAATCGCTATATAAGGAATATAAACAAAAAAATCAACAAACCAAAAAAGCTGCCTTTGATGGCTTTATCGAAAAATCAACCAATAAAAACAAAGAAAATCGTTAACTATGAAAGAAATTGTCTTAGGAGACGTGATAAAGAATCTGATTTATCAGCAAACGATCTTAACAGTTTTTTTAGTTCTATCTCGAGTAATATTATAAAGATCTTAACGGTGAATCGCAATGTACAGAGTGCATGTGTTGAAGGGATTCCACAGGAGGAAACTACTTTTTTTTGCATCCCATAACAGGGCTAATGTCTGGTTCGAAAATAATTATCTTAAATTAAATTTAGACAAGACCCAGAGTATTGTGTTTTCCTCCAATTGCTTTTGTACGAAACGTAGTCAATAAATGAATCTATCTATCTATCTATCTATGACCGCAATGATTTATTTAAAATAATTGAAATAGGTTTGGCTCTTTGATTAATTAAAATGCAACTGAATCTTTTAAGCTGAGTCGCTGTAAATATTAACAGATGTATTATAAAATAATTGTAATGTAAACAAATCGTAATTATTCTCTATCGATGAGAATTCTTTCTCCACGGAGACGTTTTGCCGCCCTCCCTCCCGCGCCGCCCCCAACGCACCGATACGATTTGGACAAATGAACATTCGGACAAATACGGACATCTAAAATTTTTGTGGCGGGGTACGTTTAATAAATACCGGTGTGTAAACAGCAATTTCTCAAGTTTGAATCGAAGGTTAATTAGGTCACGCTTATAAGACTTGATTCAGGAAGAAGAAGAAAGTACAAATGAAAATAAACAATCATCCCAATTTTCAAGGCGATTCTAAATCTACAGCAATAGCGAACAAAACAACTGAACATCATTCGTATATTCAAACTGAAAATTGATCGTTCTCTACATTTTCTTAATGACAAATTAAATAATTCGTTTTTTTATTTAACATAAAATATCCACTTTTTCATCAACAATATTCTTTTGTAGTATATGCCGGACTTCTTCTTGTTCGCATTTTCCATCACTTCAGTTTGTTAGCATGCATTATTTTTAATTCTTTTGACAATAAACTCTGGGATATTATAACCTTGCAAATCTACACAACACAACTTCATCCTAACTCTGTCTGAGGTCAATTAGAACTACAATAAATAATTCCAGACTCATATATTATCTAAATCATATTTGTAAGAGAACGGGGTCCTCTCGGTGTAAAGTGGGTAGTACGAAAATTTTACTAAGTTTGCGATGTCTTGAACAATTGCGTTAAGTAAGTCGTCGATTCTCGGAAGCGGATACGAGTCGCTTACAGTCACGACATTTAACTTCTGGTAATCAATAAAGAGACGTGTACCGCCATCTTTCTTCGGTACTAAAACAACGGGTTCAGCCCAAGGGCTTTCGCACTCTTCAATAATTCCTTCTGCTAAGAGTCTGTCCAATTCTTGTCTCAGAATTTCCTTCTTTTGTGGCGACATCCTGTAGGGTGTAAGGGCGATTGGTGGATGGTTTCCCGTGTTGATGTAATGTCGAACGTAAGGGCTTGGTTCTCCCCCCCAAATGGAAGGTATCCTTTCGTTCTGTCAAGAGTTGATTTAGGCGCCCTCTCTGTTCATCTGTCAACATTACTCACTCGTCTGATCGCAAATGTTCCAACGACGATGCTTCAATTACCGTGTTTGACAGCAGTGGTGATGAACTCTCATAGTCCGCTGGGAATGTTTCTTCTGGCTGATCGGCAAAAGTCCATTCATCATTGTGAAGATCAAAACTAAGCTTCATGTCTTTCAAGAAAATCGATTCCGAAAAGTGTTCGATTGTCTGCTTCGGGGAATATAATAAATTTAGATCGAACTCTTCTTCCGTTCAAGTCTCTCAGTCAATGGAAACAAAATTTTTCGAGTTTTGGCGTTCGGCGCGAACACGTAATTATTCTTGCGTACTTCTAGTCCTTAATCGGCAAACCGGGAGCAAGAAACACTATTTTGTTCACAAAACGTTGAAAAAACACGATGTCCAGTTGAACAGATTACGAAAACCGGTGAAACTCACGTAAAATTTCGGAAATCTAACCTCTTTCGAGCCACAAGTTGGAGCGCCAGTGTAAGAAAACGGGGGTGCTCTCGGGGTGAAGTGGGTAGCATGAAAACACGGAACAGTCTTCTTACTATTTTACTGAGTTTGCGATGTCTTTAACAATTGCCGCGTCGGAATCCGGACTCGTCGTGCCGTGCCGGGGTCCGAGCGGGATCAAAAGGTTTTTTTCGCGTCGGGCCGTCTCAAAGCGTTGCAGTGGTGGTTCGTTACATATTTTGTTTATCTAACCACTTAACTTAGGCAAATTACAAACGCGGAAAGGATCATGATCGCGTACCGCGTGCTCCAGAACACCCAGTACGGGCCCGCCGATGTAGATTACGGCATAGAAAAATTAATTCGTTCTGGGGTGGTCGCGGACGCGTATCCTTTGCATGAGACTGGCGGAGGGCGGACCAATCAGAATGACCGTGAGGTGAGGGTTTAGACCGGGAAGTTACCCATATCTATTTCCGCAATAACACTTCGTTACATTTGACATTTCCCAGCTCCTTCTGACTCACTTTGCCAACATGGCCTCGGTGCACAAGCAAGTACCCGCGGACCTAATCAAGAAGTATTTAGGTCCGGAGATCGCCTTCTACTTCGCCTGGTTGGAGTACTTTAATTTGATGTTAGTGTTCCCGGCCTTGTTGGGGGCGGTGATCTTCTTCGTAGCAACGGTTTTCCCTGCTTCGCGCTACACGTAAGCAGCCGAAATACGAAACGCTCACGACGGGACGAAACCGCCGGTCGGTTTCAGATCCGACGTATGCGAGGCGACGGACGTGTACCTGTGCCCGACTTGCGAGAACAGAAAGAGTTGCCGATTCAAGCCGCTTTCGCGGTTCTGCGCGTACGGCCGTTGGACACAAACCTTCGACAACAACTTCACCGTGTTCTTCGCCATTTTTATGTCGTTTTGGGGTAACGGAATACGCGGGACGTTCCGCTTTTTATCGACCAAACAAGTACCGCTAAATATTGTTTTTTGTCGTATCCAAGGGTTAAAGCTGTTAAAGCTAAAAGTTATGTTATAATATAATATAATATTGTAAATCCGTGCTGTAAAATCCCGGAAATGTCCGAAGCGGCTCGAATCCGTGGGAAACGAAAGTGACGTGATAAAGCGACGCTTCCCGCACGCTAGATCGGTGTGTAATTTAGGTATTTTACAGATGCGAGTAGAAAAATGATTCTTTTTTAAACTAGTGCAAACCTAGATAGTGATTTTAAGAGTGTTCTTTATTTTATATAGATCAGGATGCCATTTGTATGAAGGCTGCATTAGGATGAGTGCCAATTCGAGGAGATAAAAAATGTTGGCACGGTTAAGGTGAAAGTGACACCTGAACATCACGTTAAAAAAAAAACGACGGCGTTTACTTTGACGAAGACAAACAAAAAACCAGCGCTATGACGTCACGATCGTTCCCGCGGCTTTAATGTCGTTTAAAAAGAATAGCCCACTAAGCCCACTAAGCCCACAAAGAATAGCATACTAAGCCCACTACTCTTTAATATTTATGGCGAGTGGATTATGAGGAAGGCGCTCGATGAATGGCAGGGAGGAATCACCATTGATGGCATCAAAATCTGTAACCTACGTTACGCCGATGATACGACACTAATCGCTGCGTCAGAAGAAGAATTGATCAGTCTCATACGTAGAGTTGAAGCGACGAGCAACGAAGTGGGTCTACAAATAAATAAGAAGAAAACCAAAATAATGATAATTGATCGCCAAAATAACAACAGACCTGAAGTAAAACAGATAAATAACATCGAGACAGTTGATACCTTCATATATCTTGGCACCACAATATCGAACATGGGCGGATCTAGCGAAGAAATAAAAAGAAGAACTGCCATAGCGAAAGAATCCATGACCAAACTAACTATAGTGTGGAAAAGCCATCAAATATCCCTTAACACTAAAATAAGATTGGTCAAAAGTTTAGTGTTCTCAGTCTTTCTCTATGGATCAGAATGCTGGACGCTGAAAATGAATGATAAAAGGAAGATAGATGCATTTGAAATGTTCTGCTGGCGACGAATGCTAAGAGTGTCCTGGACCGAGAGAAGAACCAACCAATCCATCCTACAACAACTTGGATTTAGGAAGAGATTGAGTATCGTTGTCGCAGAGAAAATTGCAAAATTCTTCGGTCATGTGGTTAGAAGAAATGGCCTTGAAAGACTCGCACTGGAAGGAACGGTACACGGCAAAAGATCAAGAGGAAGGTCGCCCACAAGATACACGGATCTTATAAAGAACCTTACCGGCAAAAACCTCTGCCAGTCATTCAGGATGGCAGAAAACAGACAGGAATGGAAGCTCACCACAGAAAGCAATCTATGAACTCACGATGCTCGAAACCGAGCAAACGACTAAGAAGAAGAAGAAGAAAAAGAATAGCCGGGTGTCACAACTTGTATTATATATAGCAACTTAAATATTGGGTTTTGAGTTTTGATATTTCATATGCGTTATTTCTATACATAAACAAATGTATTAAAGAAACTTAAAAAAATGTGCAAGTTCACTATTTTGATGTTAATTTCACCGGGAAGTGCCCGGAGCTCGCATAACCACCATAATTTCGACCGAGATTCAACATTTAAGCCGATAATTGCCCGAAATTTCGTAGCGACCATGTTCATCAACATGTGGCGACGAAAGGAAAACATTTTAAAGCTAAAATGGCGTCTCGCCCATGAGCAAATCGAGACCGACATAAGGTGAGGACATCGACGACCCCCTTTCCAAACTCTCGATATAATTCGCGTGTCCCGCTTTAAGGCAGGTTCACGCGGACACGACGAAATACGCGCGCCGCAGCCCCATCACGGATGAGATAGAGCCGTTCACCCCGAGAATGTTTATCGTTTTGAGGTTCGCGGTGACGCTCGTAACGTGCGGATTTCTGGTAACCACCTCGTCGGAAACGCGCCCCCATCAACCTATTTCATTTCAGATCGCGATAGTGATCGCGGCCTTGTTCGTCATAATAGTGATTAAGCTTTACGCGACTGCGTGGTGGGAACAAAGCCGGATCGACTTTTTCGCTTCAAACAGCTGGACGATATCGATGGTCCTCGGGAGCGTCCTCCAAGTCTGTTTTATTAAACTGTTCTCAAAGGCGAGTGCCTATCGTAACAACAAACGTGGACCTCGCTATCGATCCCAACCCCTAGGTGTACGGCCCTGTATCGATACGACTCACCAATCTCGAAAACCCACGCACCCAAACGCAGTTCGACAATTCCGTCTTGTACAAGCGATATCTGTTGGCGTTCGTCAATAACTACGCCCCGCTTTTCTACATCGCGTTCGTGCAGGTAAAATCGCGTCGCCGGATCCGGCTCGCAGGACCAAATCGTGTGCTTCCAGGGAAGGCTGTACTCGACACCCGATCGCGTCCACAACGTGGTAGAGAAGGACGTTTGCCAACCATTCAATTGCATCACCGTGCTCTGCATCCAGTTGGGGCTCATACTGACGCTCAAGTCGCTGGCCGGCAACGTGCTGAACTTGGTGTTGCCGCTGACGAAGAGACGATTCCAAAAGTGGTTCGCGAAGCAAACGGGGCCGCGTCAAGTGCTGCCCCGGTGGGAGGAGGAGTACCACATGACGCCCGCCGACCGATACGTTTTGACCACAGAGTTCACAGAAATGAGTACGCCGTTGCGATACTTCCTTCACGGCGCCTTTATTTTTTTATTCGATTTCGCAGTAATTAAATATGGCTTCGTGACGTTTTTCGTCGCGGCATTTCCGCTGGCGCCGCTCTGCGCCGTCGTCAACAATTTACTCGAACTGCGTTTCGACGCCTACAAGTTCCTCAAGGTGTACCGCAGACCGTTGCCGATACGGAAATCTGGCATCGGCGCGTGGAACGGCGTCCTGCTCAGCGTCACCTTCATCAGCACCGCCACCAACGTAAATCGCTTCCAATGAAAATTTCCTCTCGAGACGAGACGGTTTTCAGGCGTTCGTATTATTTTTTACTACCGACGTGGTGCCCCGGACGATATACACGTTCGAGTTCGGGCGGGGCCTCGACGGATTTCTAAACAGCACTCTATCAAGTACGATGATCCTGCGGGACGCCTTTTTCATATATGACATCCATATATTCAGCGATCTCCACAAGGGACATCCAATAGACACAACAAACAAAATCCATCGATATCCGCGAAAAACAACGCAACAGTGGCGGCTCGCACAATAAAAATGGGGGGTTGGAGGCGCGGCTAAGAATTAGGTAAATTTTTTTTTTTGTAGGTCACCTCCAAAAAGTCTAGAAGCAGTGGATTTAAAATGACAAACTTTAGTAATACTTACATAATATCTAATAATTGGGATTTATTTAAAGAGACAATATACAGTGTCTCCAAGATAAGGATGCACAGCATGGGGATCTCGGAAACTATAAGAGATACAGTGTCGGTTAAATTAGACAAAAGTTGCGCATTTTGATACCGAACAAGATCCCGTTTTACAAATTTGAAAATTCCAAGCCGTTCCGGAAATATCCGAGAAAAACCGAAATATTGCGATTTCGTTTTTATTATTTTTTAAAGCTATTTGAAAAGATATGAAAAAACGGAAAACACTTTTCCATTGGCACTTTTTAATCTCTCCAAATTGACGTTAACAAATTTTCATTACAGCGTTTCGATTCCATGGAACCACCATCAACTTTGATTTTTCTTATGGGACGGAAAAAAAATACACACAGTATTAGGTTGTGCTTTTCATTGCGAATTCAACGATGTACGATACAATATGGTTACTTATGTTTTTATCCAGAAAAATGGATTTTTAATACATTTCAGCATTTAAATGGAGTAGGCCATGACAAAATGACATCCAGTCAATTTCAATGACACATTAATGTTATTTGTCTTTGTTATCAGTCGATCATAAGTTTATTCCTTTAGTTATTGTTTTTGTATTTTTATTGTTGTTGTCTTTTTCTAATTTATTTTGTTCTACAATGGAGGGAGGTAATTTTACAAACGAAGAAAAATGTGATATGCTGTCTTGCTACATCTGATGCCAAAGAAATTGTGTGGAAGCCGAGCGTATGTATTCTAACAAATACCCAGAGCGGAGACAACCTGACAAGAGTATTTTTCGGCGTTTGTTATTTAATCTGAAAGAATATGGATCATTTAAGAAGCCTGCATTATCCCGACAAAAACCTTCCAATGAAAAAAACCAATACATTGTTCTACAATCTGTTATCGAAAATCCACAAACTTCTACCAGAGAAATTGAAGACCAGAATGGGGTAGCTAAATCTACAGCTCAGTTTATTTTAAGGAAAAATGAATTTAAGCCTTACAAATTCAGAATATGTCAAGGATTAAAACCGGGTGACGACGAACGACGTAGACATTTTTGTGAGTGGTATACCAGGATGTGTGATGAGAGTTTTAATTTTCCATATAAAGTGATTTGGTCTGATGAAAGTATGGTGACCAATAACGGTATTTATAACAGGCGCAATACACACTATTGGTCGCAACAAAATCCACGTGTTAATAGACTATCCAGACATCAAGTTCGCTTTGGGTTTAATATTTGGTGTGGGATTTTTGGTAGCAAGATTATAGGCCCTATTTTCTATAATAATTCCTTAACTTCCGAGCGGTACCTTGACATCTTGAGGCACGATTTAGAAGATGCCTTAGATGATTTACCGCTAGGCGCTGTGCAAGGCTGCTGGTTCCAACAAGATGGTGCCCCAGCCCATAACTCCAGAGAAGTTCGCCAATATTTAACTGAACGGTTTGATGGAAAATACATTGGGACTTACAGTGAAACACCTTGGCCTCCAAGGTCGCCGGACTTAACTCCCTTGGACTTTTTCTTATGGGGCTACATAAAAAATGAGGTATTCAAAGAATGTTTTGACAACGAGGAATAATTACGTCAATCAGTACGAGCAGCGTTTAATAAAATTACTCCTGAAATGTTAAGTCGTGTTTTGGAGTCTACCGTGAGACGGGCGTACTTATGCCTAGAAAATGGAGGTAATTTATTCGAACATTTGTTATAGAATTTGTTTTTCATTAACTTGTTGGATTTAGTTGTTATGTTAAATGAACAGTTAGAGTTAGTAAATAAATAAACACATTAACTCGAACTTGTCAACCATTTTCTTTTGCCTTTCATCGTTCGGATCTCATGGCCTACTACAATAAAATACTAGAAATGTATTAAAAAGCCATTTTTCTGGATAAAAACATAAGTAACCGTATTGTATCGTACATCGTTGAATTCGCAATGAAAAGCACAACCTAATACTGTGTGTACTTTTTTTCCGTCCCATAAGAAAAATCAAAGTTGATGGTGGTTCCATGGAATCGAAACGCTGTAATGAAAATTTGTTAACGTCGATTTGGAGAGATTAAAAAGTGCCAATGGAAAAGTGTTTTCCGTTTTTTCATATCTTTTCAAATAGCTTTAAAAAATAATAAAAACGAAATCGCAATATTTCGGTTTTTCTCGGATATTTCCGGAACGGCTTGGAATTTTCAAATTTGTAAAACGGGATCTTGTTCGGTATCAAAATGCGCAACTTTTGTCTAAGTTAACCGACACTGTATCTCTTATAGTTTCCGAGATCCCCATGCTGTGCATCCTTATCTTGGACACACTGTATACGGCGATCTTTAGCAGCCGCTTATCGATAACTCTCTGACTGAAGTCAGATATGCTGTCAATAAGATTTCTTTCTTTAGATAGCCAATGCCGAATGTCTTTCTTGGTAATTAAAAATGTTTGAGGGGACCGTTATTAAAATTTTTATGAATAAGTTTCCCTTAGCTCGGTATTTTGAGAAATAAAATCAGAAAGTACAAGAAGCCCCGAAATTGCTTTAAATTCTTCCGTGTCATAAATGACGCTCAATTCTGTACGGAGGTTTTGTTCGATGAAAAATGAGAAATTTGTGATTGTATTTTTACATTTTTGTACTATATTAGCTGTACTCTTCAGAAAAAAAAAGACTGGCATCCACTAAGTGGTTCCTTTGCTTGATATATGATAATATCGCAAACTCCCTTTTGCTTCCCGCGAATATTCCGCAGAGTCATCATCCAGCTTACGACGCTTTGCATTAGATGAGGATCACTCAAAGTCGTCTAAAGTGATGTTATTTCTAATTTCTGTTAACTTAGTTTCAAACGATAATATGCATCTTTTTGCGATAACTGCGTCAATTTCTCTTTTTTGAAACTTACCAAAAAATAAGTTTAGCCAGATCGATAATAATAATATAATAAGAATAGGCCTCGATTCATATCTAAAAACACAAAACTAATAAAAAAAACTGCGATCACGCAACACGCGACAAATCCACCTAAAATCAGTAATTGCACAAACTGCAAACCGAAGGAGCAGCCGCCACTCCAACACAAATCACTAAAATTGCATCGCAAATGCTAAAACAATTTAAACACTAACGGGTTGAAACAAACGTCCACCACGTGCAATGGTACCTTCAAGCTCGCCGCGAATCTCTTTCCCTTTGCAGGGTTCGCAACGGCACACCAACCGCTCTACCAGAGAATCCCGAACAAACAAGAAATCTGCTTTTACCGCGGTCACTATTACCCGCCCGAGGCGCCCCTGGCCTACCAACTGACGTTCAGCTTTTGGAAAGATTTGGTTTTCAGAGCTGCTGCCGTTTTCATATTCGAGGTAACAGCGTTTTCTTTGATACTTCCAAAACTGTAAAAATTTTCAAATGACCCGAGTCAACTTAACAACGCAAAATGACATTTTTTTATTCAGCATATAATATTAATATCAAACACAATTATCGCCTACGTAATACCAAAGTGTCCGTTCGCCGTTAAACAACAACTAAATTTGGACGTAAAGAAGGACAGGGAAGTACAGCAGAAAATGCTACGACCTGGACCAGAAAAACACGATATCGGAGGAGTCAGAACGCGTTACATTCTAGAGAAGGTTAGATTAATTATCTTTATTGGCACTCTTATTTCAACCAGGTCGTTAATCTTTCCAGGCACTGAGATTATAAAACCAGGTGTTAATTTAACGTAACGCATTTAAATGTTGTCATTATAAAATAATAAACAAAATTTCGCAAGACCGGTCCTGTTCCTTATCATTTATTTTTTAACCCGAGATGAACTTAACCTAAAAATGAATGTCAAAACAAACCAAGATAAGTTTTGGAGAGACGATGTTGAAGACACGCAATTTTTACGCACTGAAACGGGTTTTTTCCACTCAAAAAGCGAACAACCCTCAAATATGCATAGTCGGGGCCGGGCCGGCCGGATTCTATGCGGCCCAGCACTTTGTTAAAAAATTGGGACATGCCCAAATCGACATTTATGAAAGGCTGCCAGTACCCTTCGGATTAGTACGGTAATTGCCGCGTTTACTTATGCACACTGTCCAAAAATTAAGCATATGCCTACCAAATTCAAGCTTCGGAGTGGCCCCCGACCATCCAGATGTAAAAAACGTCATTCATACCTTTACAAAGACAGCGAAAAACCCGAATGTTCGATTTATTGGCAATGTTAACTTAGGTACCGACGTGTCATTGGAGCAACTGCGCAAATTTTACCATGTAGTCGTATTGGTAAGTTGACAATTTTTAAAATTGCAATTATGAAAGTTGAACAATGGATTACCCAAGGCCTACGGGGCGGACGAAAATCGCACGTTAAATGTAAAGGGCGAAACCCTCGCCAACGTGATACCGGCCAGACAAATTGTTGGGTGGTATAACGGCTTACCTTGGAATTCTGACCTAAATATTAACCTCGATGGGGAAACTGCCGTTATTATTGGTCAGGGCAATGTCGCGATAGATGTCGCGCGAATTTTAATGACGCCAATAGACGAGTTAAGGGTAGCGAACGTTTTTCATGATAAAACAGCCTTACTACACAAAATATGTTCTAGAAAACCGACATAACGTCTTTTGCCCTTGAACAAATTTCAAGATCAAAAATCAAAAAGTTTTACTTAATCGGAAGGAGGGGTCCTCTACAGGCCGCGTTTACTATCAAAGAACTGAGGGAAATGCTTAAACTTGGAGGCTGTTCTACTGTTTGGAGGAAAGAAGACTTTGAAGGTGCAACATCTAGTAATGATAATGCTGCAAGCTTTACAAGAAAGGTGGGATTTTAGGAGTGGCGGCACACATTCCAAATCTGCCGCGACCCAAAAAACGCATTACGGAATTAATGCTGAAGTCGCTGGAAGAGCAAAAGCCGCCGTCTGGCAAAATATTTAATCCGGTATTTTTACGATCGCCGTTAGAGTTTCGAGGGAATAATAAAGTTGAAGGGGTAGTTCTAGGTGTTAATGAATTAGAAGGTGAGGACATGTTGAATCGTAAAGCAGTCCTGACTAAGGAAACGGAAAACCTAAAGTGTGATTTGGGGATTACGAGCATAGGTTGGTCAGTAGCGAGAATATAATGGAAGAGGCATGAACTTTTCTTGATTTTTTTTAGGTTATAAATCAGTCCAAGCAGATCCGACACTTCCATTTGACAATTCCAGAGGCGTGGTCCTAAATACCAATAGCCGAGTGGATAAAGGTCTGTATGTTGCAGGATGGCTCGGCACGGGCCCCGTGGGGGTAATTCTTACCACCATGAGTAACGCATTTGGGGTAGCAGAAATTGTTGTAAACGACATTCACAAACAGAAGCTTGATGAAGTATCCAAACCTGGTTTTGAAGAGGCCAAGAAAATACTAGACAAGAAGGGTGTAGAAGCCATTGATTGGTTTGGTTGGGAGAAAATTGATAAATGTGAGGTAAATGAAGGAAAAAAAGTTGGCAAACCCAGAGAAAAAATAGTTGACATAAGAAAAATGATACAAATCGCACAATCATAAATATATTCTTTATTTTTTTATATACCACTGACTAATAAAATTGTTTACTTAAAGTCAATCGAGTTATTCTTCCTTAACTTAAGACCACTATAGAACAAAATCATCCCGCTAAAATTTGAAACAAAAATGTTTATCATGCGAAGAGGCTGTTACAAACTTACCATTCCATTATATTCCAAAATATGTCTGCGAATCTTGGAACTATCCACCCATGTAACAAAATCTTCCAGCGTCCTAGTCACCAAAAACGCAGGATCTTTTACAACTTCAGGACCAACTCTCACATGACCCTGTTCTATTAATTTGGTAGCACCTTTTATATTTTCAGACATTTTATCTAAAACCATAATTAATTGGATTCTAGTTAATACGCAAAAGACCTTTTTTACTTCGAACCATAAGCACCGGTAGCCTGCGCCGGCAAAAGCAGGAGGCAGTCACCTTCTCCGCGAGGCTGAGATCCCATCGAGTTGGGATAAGTCCCATGACATACAACTTTTCTAATAGCTGGGCACTTGATTGTATCCTAAACGGGTCTTTGGCGTCGATCTCTTTAATTTTTCTAGCCAGTTCCCTTATATTCCTAGCCAATTTATTGTATCTAAAATTCGTGTAGTATTGAAAACAGTTTCCTTTTGAAAAAGATAACCTTACTTTGTATAATCCTCCCTTTTCTGAATGTGATATCGTTTCAGCACTTTTACTTCATGCAAATTATTATCTACTTCCCAAGAGATAAAGTCTACTTTTTTTAGCAATTTTTGTTCATGATATTTAAGTTTCCGAACCATTTTCTAGAAACAGAATTTTAAATCTCAAGCAGAGAATATGAAATATTTTACCCACAGTAAAATTAAACCAAAGACCACACCATCAGTTCTTCGGGCGGTATGGAAACCCACAGATAATAAATCCTCATCAAATTTTAAAAAGTATTGATTATTTCACCAGCATGAAAACCAATCGATATTTCGCATAGAGAATTGCTCAATAAACACAATGAAGTCACAGTTTGTCGCAAATTTTTTCGTGGCTCTATGCTTTTTCCAAAACACAAAATTCGGTAGGTAATTTATTCGATCACAGATATCGCGGATTAACAAATCAATTTACTTGCAGCCTCTTCCATAGACTGCTTTAAGTGTATCTCAATCAACAAAAGCTACCAGCCGTGCGAAGATCCTTTCCACAACAATTACACAGCAGATATTTACGAATCGCCTTGTATGGGAGGTCGCAAAGGCCGAGATGGACTTTTCCCAGCCACTTCCTGCGTCAAAATTACCGGAGTTTTCGGTGAATAAAAAATTATTTCATCCCAATACGATTTTAAAAATGTCAAAGCAATTCAATTCGATTTTTAGACGACAGTAAAGAAACCGTGACAATCAGAGGATGCGCGTTGGACAGTGGAACACTGACCACGGACACCGAAATCGTGCGCATGTCTCACTGCGGAGGACTTTATTATTCTAACAGGTCATTGCTCTATAAGTAAATTCTTATTTCCAAATTTTTAATTATAGGTACGTAAGGGGTTGCGTCCAGAGTTGTAATGATGCCGATGCTTGCAATTCCTCGAGGAATATGCGTGTAAACTACGCAATAATCCTAACTATCTGCTTAACTTGTATAAAGATATTAGATCTAGATTTAGCTATAAGTATAAAAGCATTCTTTAATCGTTAGCGAAATTTTGTATATTAATTTTTATTGTTTAAATATCGTTATCAGAATAAAGTGAATTTAAGAATACAAAGGAAATTAGGAGGTAGAGCTATATTTAGGTTTCGTTTCCTGGTCTGTGACCGTCCTTATGTAAATGATATCCTCAGGCAGGGGATTTGGGGGATTGTCTTCTTCAAGAAAATATGAACACGCTATGGCCAAAATGGAGCCTACAAAAAGGGGATTTAAATTCGTTTGATTAATGTCTAGAGGATAACTTACCATTATGACTAAAACTAAGAGATGTAACTGAGGTGTGATATTGATGAAACTGACATAATCGTTTCTTGTTAAACCCATCCCACACATTCACGAAACCGTCGGAGCCGCCCGTTGCGAATGTATTGTGAATGGGATGAAAACTACAAAATATTCTCTGTAGCTCTCAAGATAATATTGTTGTAAGCATGTATGTACCTGATAGCATTAACGGGAAATATCTTTTCCAACCCATCTTCTTTAATCCTGTGGCACTTGAATGCATATTTCTTCTTTTGCACTTCTGGACTAGTGTCCAAATATTCAACAGCGACCCTGCCCTCAATACTACTTAAGACAAACCCCTGTTTGTTGGGAAACGCCCTGATACATCTGGTCTGATACTTGAGACTAGTTTCGCGTTTTTGCAGGGCATAACTCATGTTGCGTATATCCCACACTAAGACTTTACGCCCGGCCGTGGCTACCAGCAGTTTTTCACCACACACACTCATAGAAAATACCTTGTCGCTTTGGTTGTAGTTGCCCGCGCAAGCGGACGTCCTATTGTCCCAAAGTTTAACGTGGTGGTCCCAACTGCCGGTCAAAATGCAGTTCAATTCAGGACAATGTTCAACACACTTTATAGCATTGTTGTGGCTTCCCACTAATGTTTCGGAGGCGGCATTAAAGTCGAATGACTTAAGCGCGTTGTCGAGGCCCCCGCTGAATGCGTGAACTGCGTCCTGAGAATTATCCTTCATGAAATACTGTTTTCCAATCACTAAGGCAGAATAGTTTATACCGTGAAACAGCAGTCCAACACCGCATTATCGTGGATGTACTTGTGTCTCAAACTGTTGGCGCCGATATCGTAAAGCCTGACAGAACTGTCCCACGAGCTCACCAGCAAAAACTGATTTGTGTTGGGGCCAAACTTTACCGAAGATATCGCGTCTTCGGGTGTCGATTTTAATTTGTATTCTCCCTGGGACTTCATCATTTTTCAGAAAACGCTAAACGAAATCAAAACACCGCCATAACCTAAATTCAAAAATGAGAATCCCAAGCCGAATAACAGATTGAAGAGACGCCCGGCGAAATCTTTGGGTAGGCGCTGCTTCCTCTTCTTTTTTTGAAAATACATTTAAATTAAGGGGGTGCCATCTAGTAATGAGGAGCGTGGTGGTTTCTTTAATATTGCACTCAATCCCCCTCCAAAAGTGCACCGTTCAAAAATATCGATTTTCACTCTTACGCAAATTGCAAGGGCTCGCGGCCAAAAAAACATCGGCACACCCTAAAGCGTGAGCCGCAAAGCTTGATGCTATGTGGCAATACGACGGCAAAGACGAATTTTCCTTTTTTTTTCATTAAAAGACCGAGACCAATAAAATTTCTCCATTATTCTAAATGGATTCATGTCACGCATGCGCGAAGCTTTGCGGCGGTTATTGGTGAAAGATGCGTAAAAAAATCGATAAATGCACCGCCGACAAGCCTGCATTTGAACCGGAATGCCACGGTCAATATTTATCGCCTAAAAATGACGAGAGTGGAACGGGAATGGATTTAAAAACCGGAGCGGTAAGCAGACCTTTTTTTCTTATCATCACAAGACTTGCCAGTTGCATTGCAGGTAGGTTATTTCGGAAGATATGTCCTAGTATTCTGCCTCTCGCTAGTAATATTCGCTTCCTACACACTCTTCTCGAACTCGGCAGCGCCAAATTACATTCTGTCAGGTAACCGCGCCGATTCTCCCCCACCTCGCACATTTTACGTGAATTTCTATTTCCAGAAAACTCAGAGAGGGCCGCCCGAATCAACACCGGCCGATACCTGATAAAAACCTCGAAATGTAAAATCCCAGACCTGGACCCTTACAACAGGGACGTGGCCCCGTTCGTCAAATCGGAACCATTCCTGGAGTGTTCCGCCCTGCCCCTCCTCACCTATATAGAGAAAACCGGCGACAGCGTCAAACTGAAAGTGAACCGATCTGTGATAGCATTTTACACCCTACGTAAAATCAGCTGTTGTTATTCGATAATTCTGAGAAGAGGAGACGTAAACGTTACGTAGGTTTTTTTCGTAAATTACAATTGCATTCATCACATCGTTGTATTTTTTGCGCTACTTTTTAATCGTTTAACGGTATACGAAGGCCAGAGCAGGGCTCGATCAATATAGTCATCTGATCCTACTGCGCAGAGGCGGAAATAACGATGCCGACTGAAACTGACCCTTTTCAGGCACTCGAAATGCCGGTCGTTCCGCTACGAAACCGAAATAACGGAACCCTACATCCGAGTCACGTGCTCAAATTTCTACGGCGTCGTATATAGGAACGTGCACGCGGCGGTGATACCAACGAAGTTGCCCGAGCACAGAATCAAAACCCGCAAACGGCCTAGCATGATCCTGATGGGAATCGACAGTATGTCGAAGCTTAACCTAGCGCGAGCGATGCCCAAAACCCGCGAACACTTGGAAACCAACTACGTTAACCTAAAAGGGTACAACAAGATCGGTGACAACACTTACCCCAACCTTATCGCTGTCTTGACGGGGCGGAGCATGCGCACACTAGGGACAAATTGCAAAATAGGCGAGTTCATGGACGACTGTGACCTAATATGGCGGCGGTACCGGGATAACGGTTACGTAACCGCCTACGCGGAGGACGAAGTCGATATAAGCACGTTCAATTTCGTCAAGCCGGGCTTTATACGGCCTCCCACCGATTTCTACTACAGGCCCTATTTTTTATCGGCGCATAAGCTGCCGATCCAACGGAGGTACGTTGCGCAAAGAAATGTCATTCAATTAGAGCTTAGTTTCGATGGAAAAATACCCTCAACGTTTAGCGCAACACAACAAAATACACAGCGGTGAAGGATTACCATAGAATATTGGTGAGGTTTGGTAACCGCGGGTTGCCAACATTTTAATATCTACATTTGCGTGGTTACTTAGTTAAACCCTTACAAAAGATAAACTCCAGCTATTCATTCATAAAAGCAGCCAACACTTTGTTCGATATAAGCGGAAATTAATATTATAAATGGGAATAAATCAAATAATCTTATAAAAATGTCATTTTACTATAACGCGACGGCAGCGCCGGTGGCGGTTACTCGCATACACTAAATGTAGAGTAGTTATGGAACGAGCAAAGGCGACCAATGCTTTTAGAATTGTTATCGTATTATATTACCCGTTTGTCATGTTCAAGCCTTTCTTAATAGTAAATCATATTCCTTTTTGTAGTTTTATAAGTATCTTTATAATGTACGTCTCGATTACTCAATATGAGTAATAAATCTTAACTTTTTTTTTCGGTTAAGTAGAATAGACTTGAAATTGTTTCCTTTTTATTCGTTTTGTTTAATAATAACAAAATCCTTTTCATTTTATTACTAAAATCAATTTTTATATTCAATACTTTGTTTAAATTGCTCAACTTTTACAATATCGTAAAAATGAAGAAAAATATATTAAAAACGCATCAACTGGTTTACATAAACGCGAAAATTTAACAAGAAATAAATTTAATTTTAAATAAATATTAAAAAGTTTCCATCATAAGTAATTACAAAAAAATATATATAGATAAAATTTTTATGATCAAGTGGTAAATGGACCACTTGACGTGATCTTACTCATATGTAAATATTTTTAAATAAAATATTTCATTTACCCCATATTTGTATTTTAGATTCTTGATACAGAGCCGCATTGTGATCAAAGCCATTCAAGAACAACGGAAGCATTATATTTATTTTTTATTTTATCAAACTTTCCGCAGCTTTCTCCTTTATTCTTAGCCTTTCTATATATTTTTTTAAATAATTGTCCTTGTTTATTCCGAAAACTTTTGTAGGACATTAAAAGAAAAACGAATATTTAATAAGTTTTACTCGCCTGCCAGGCTGAGCGAGAAAGGTAACGTCAGGGGGCGGAGCTTGCAGCGTCCTAATTTTTCTCGCTTTCCACAGGTACTCGATGTCGGTCTGCACCGGCCCGGAAAACTCCGGCGTACGGGTCCTCGATCTGATCTCGGATTTCGTGAAATCCGTTACAGACTCGCCGAAATTCGGACTGTTTTGGATGAACAGTTTCAGCCACGACAACGTCAATTTCGCGTCGTCGATGGACGACAAAGTATCCGAACTCTTGATAGATCTAAACGAGTCGCTACGGGATTCTTTTGTGGTGGTTTTCAGCGATCACGGGTTCCGCTTCGGTGACATTCGCTTCACGTACACCGGCTGGTTGGAGGAACGCCTCCCGTTTATATACGTCAAGCTGCCGCAAAATTTCGATCCGGTTTTGTCTCGGAGGTTCGCGTCGAACGCTTTCACGAGACTCACGACCCCCTACGACTTTTACATGACGTTGCAACACATGCTGAAACTATCCAACGACAGCTACGAGATTGAGGCGAGCGTTGGGTGTCCCGGATGCCGGTCGTTGTTCGAGACGATTCCCGAAAATCGCACGTGCGCCGACGCGGGAATCGAACAGCACTGGTGCACGTGCCACGGCCACACCTACCTCGACACCGACCTGAAAGTGGTACAGGACGCGGCCGGATTTGTCGTAGGCCAGATAAATGAGGTGATTGAGCTGCGATTTACGGTCGTTTATTGAGGATTTACGCCGACTTATCGGTGATTTACGATGACATAAAGGGTTTAAATCGATCGTTTTACACATTCGCTAAGAATCGAAGGCAATGACCATTTCAGTATAATTATCGATGATTTGGCGGAATTTATCGGTCATTTACGATGACTTATCAAAGATTTATAGCTTATAAATCAATTGTTTCGCTTATTTTCCAAACAAAGTGGGGCTCAGCACTGGCGATGGCGATTTTCGTATAACTATTAATGATTTCACCGGATTTACGCTAATTTATCGGTGATTTACGTTTACTTTCGATTATATAAAAGTTTAAGTCGGTCGTGTTGTGTAGTTGGCAAGAATCGCAAGAAGGCAATCGTGAAAAAGTAACTTAATTATCGACGATTTAACAGGAATTTATGGCGGTTTCTCGGCGATTTACGATGACTTATCAATTATCTCTAAGTTATAAATCAGTCGTTTTGTGTATTTTCCACACAACGTGCGGCCCAACGCGAAGGTAATAGTAAGTAACTCATTTACAGGATTTAAAATAACCGTTTAATCTCACGCGAAGACAGAGTTCATTGAAGTTTTATGTCGATATAAGATTATTTGAAGGGTTTAAATTGAGCGCTTCGGGTATTTCTCAAATAACATCGGGGATTTACCATGACGTCGATAATTTACGAGCGGTTATTAGAATTTACCGGGATTTATCAGGATTTATTTATTGTTGATAGGTGGTGAGCGAATTCAACGAGTCCGATTCGTGCGCGCGCTACAGGCTGAGGTCGGTGTCGTCGGCGGGGATGTCGCAGAAACACGACGAAGACGACGTCGGTACGAGCGAGTACCTCGTGTTGCTGGAAACAGATCCGCCCGCCATGTTCGAGGCGACGGTGGAGAGACGCGGATCAGACTCGCGCTTCAAATTACTGGGTGCTATTAGTAGATTGAACAGGTACAAAGAGTACAGCAGTTGCGTCGAGGATAAGCTGCTAAAAAAGTACTGCTATTGCAACGGCATTATGACGAGACTGAAGAGTACAATCTGCAAATTATTTAAGTATTGTTGATACACGCTCGTTATTTTTAATAAATATACATTCTTGTTGGCAACATGTCTGGCTATTTTTTAAATCTAAAGAATACATGGGGCGATAGAGAGTGAGGCGTGGCAACGCTAGTTTTAAATTAGTATTTCTAGAGTTTGAGATTTCCCGCTGGTCCCAAGCTACAAAACGTTCGAGGGTGCCTGTAATTTTTGTATTACTATTACTCAAAACTAATTTTAAGTAAAATACCGATCGAAAACCGGGAGTGGAACGAGTGACCAAAAATAAAACTAGGAAAACGAGAGTTTATTCTTTTACGAAACAATTACCTCCAACGATAAACCGTAATTTACGACAAAATATATAAATTCAACCGATGTAGTGGCGGCAACGTCTTAGGGCAACAGTAGAGGGCGAAAATACTGCCTGCAGTAGAGGGCGCCGAGTCCGATCGGCCTGTCTTGCGGCTCCAGGCTGGGTCTGTCGCAATACCTGTGGCGCGAAATCGCCCCGTTCACGGCTTGTTATACAGGATGATCACGAGAAAAATATATTTTGAACGCGCTTGTTAGATTTTTTGTAGTAAAATAACAAAAAAAGAAAAATAACCTTCGGGAGGATTTTTCGAAACAACAATAATAAAAGCAACGTGTGGTCGATCCTCTCAAGTCCGATGGAAGCTTGGGCCATTAAATCGACTGCAAATTTTGCTCGCATCATCTATATACTTTTTAATTACAGTAAAACTCTCAGTACGAACACCTCGATTAGAAGTGTTCAAGCAGACATGTTTTTTGGAACGAAATATTTGCCTACCCTTTTAGCTGTAAAACAAACACTGTCCTGACTTGCTAAAAAAGGCTAAAATATAGGGGAATTACCTTTTTCATTTTTCAAATCATATCGGTTTAAAAATTAAAAAATTAAAAATTAAGCGGGAATACGAAAATTAGAAAGAAAGTATGGATGACAGGAGGCATCATGAATAAATGGTTGTTACAATTTGATAGAAAAATGGCTCTAAAGAAGGGAACAATTTTCTTATTCTTGGATAACGCAGCAATTACAAAACAGAAAAAGTATGTTGTTGCCTCCAAATACGACATCAGTATGTCAACCTTTAGATCAGGGTATCATGGAGAATGTTAAATTCTATTATCGTGAACTCATACTGAAGCACATTTTATCAAAGATGGATTATTATGTATTATTATGTATTATTAAGTCAGTCGGGAATGAAGTTTCGTCAAAAACCATAGAAAATGGTTTCAACAAAGCTGGTTTGCAAAAAAAATAATGATTTTTCTACGCCAATGGAATGGGTACCAGAAGATAATATCCCACTATCTATGACACTTGAAATGGAACAATGTGTTAGAGAGGTGAACATAACGCAAGAAACTCTTGGAAACCATTTTGGAATTGACTGAACAGCGACTGAGGAGACCAGTTTGAACATTGAACATGCAATTGAAAACATGAAAGAACCTGAATTGGAAGAAGACAACGATCAAGAATACTGAAAAAAATCAAAACTACGTTACATTTCGACAAAATTCCCATTATTGAAACTCAGACCTATCTTGACCGTAGAATACAAAAACGTTGTAACATATGATTTCGAAACGTAATCCTATCAGACCCAAAAAGGAAACTTCTTTTTAGAACTTGGTATTTCGGCGGCTACGTACGTTTCTCAACACCCTGTATATTCTCCGTACTCACCGCGTGTAAGCCGTCGTGTATTCCTTGTCGAAGGCGTTGATGTCGATCTGGGACCTCCCCAGCACCTTGCACGCCAAAAACAACACGTCGCGGTACAGCGAGTTCGAAACGCTCGCGTTGTTGGTCTCGCGTTCGCCCGCCAAACTCTTCACCGGTTCCGTCAGGTCGTTGACGCGGATGAAATTGATGATTTGCTGCATAAAACTGGACCAAAAAAAAATCTATTTATCAAAAAACCGCCTACACAAAACCAAAACGCCAACGCACGATTTCGTGATCTTGCGCCGGTCCATCGATATGATTTGATTGCTGTCCCTCAGCTTCCACAGCACGTACATGGGCGGACCTTCCGCGTGGTACCTGGGCTCGTCCCACATGCAACGCACTTTTACCTGGGCCGCCATTCGCTCTAAACGGGGAAAAACTGGAGATTAATTTGGCCCGTCTACAGTTTGTAACGCGATCCTTACTCGAGTCCTCCGAACGGGGAGCGGCTTTCAATCAAACAGATCATTATTGCGAAAACGGAATTCGTTAAATCCGATAATTAAAACCGTAGGAGAGAATCAATCACGGGAGCTTTGAAAACAAGTGTAATGATGACTATTATTCAACAATAAAAATTTTTAATGACTAAGGTTGGGCCACTTGAGCCCAATAGTTGTGGTTAGTTTACAGCCTGCTACAACCGTTATAGCTCTCCCCTTCGGCAACGTCTTTAACCCATTTTGTCCCAGTGGCGCGTCAATGCACCACCTATTTATTCTATGATAGGAAATATTTTTGCACGTCCATTTAGAAATTTTATTATTATCACTACTAAAGGACATAAAACCGTAGAAATCCCTAATTGATGTGTGAAGGAAACAAAAGCGGTACATAAATTTGTATAAAAAAAAAATATTTTGGATGTGTATTGCCATTTTTGTTAAGTCTATAGCGTGTAGATTACATCGCAGGAAACATACACTGGAAATACTATATTGATTGTGCTTTATTTTTTTATGAAAATATTCACTGGTGCGTGAATGCACCGCTGGTTTTATCTGTAAAACAAAACTTTGTAATTGCACGTCTGGACAATTAGCGTGTTCTTTAGTATTAGTTTGTGCCTTGTGCAGTGAACGTTACAGTTCGGAAAATATTTCATTTTAGAGGCAGCTATGGAGGAGAACGTGATGGATGAGGACAATAACAATGAAAGTCTTCTTCTTCTTCTTCATGTACCGTCTCCACTTCGGAGGTTGGCTATCATCATTGCTATTTTGATTTTGAAAGCTGCGGCTTTAAATAGGTCAGATGATGTAACATTAAACCATTTTCGTAGGTTTCTAAGCCAGGATATTCTTCTTCTTCCAACAGATCTTCTTCTTCTTATGAGTTGTAAAGTTTCATACTTTGGTCCTCTCATGATGTGGCCGAGATATTGGAATTTCCTTTCTTTCACTTCCCGTAGGATCTCTACACCTTTCTTCATTCTTCTCAGAACCTCCACGTTGGTCACACGTTCCGTCCATGGTATTCTCAGCATCCTACGGCATGCCCACATCTCGAAGGCTTCCAGTTTCCGCTCACAAAACGGGCTGAGGGTCCAAGCTTCCACACCATACAAAAGGACCGGGAATACATAACACTTGAGCATTGGAGTTCTCAGATCTAGGCTCAAATCGCGACTACAGAGCAGCTTCTTTACCTTCACAAAGGCTGCACGGGCTTTCTCAATGCGGATCTTTATTTCCGAAGAATAATCCATATTGCAGTCCAGCTCTTGGTTTTCAACATACAGATGTTCATGGAGCACTTTGGTTTTGGTGACAATCGTGTACTTGGTCTTCCTAACATTGAGTGTCAGACCATATTCTCGATTAGTCTTGACGACATTATTTAACATATTCTGCAGGTCTTGCATGTTTTCGGCGAGAAGTACTGTATCATCCGCGTGACACAGATTGTATACGTGGTGTGTTCAAAAAGGTTTCCTGTTCCCAAAACTCAAGAAACCCATGAAAGGAAGGAGGATTGTGAAACGATTGAGACGATAAAGAAAAAAATCGCCGACAACGTTGATTTTGACGAATAAATAAATACTTTATGATAAAACTTAAAAGTCACCTTAGGGGCAAAAAGCATCCAAACTTATCCGAAACTCTTACCGAGGGCCGCCAACTCCTGCGTCAACGGGTCGGTTCCCTCCTCGACCAACCGCATGGCGCCGCCGCCGCCGTCTCCGCTTTCCTTCTCGGCCGCCTCCCTGCTTTTCTTCGCCCCGTTGCCGCCGTCGCGTCGATTGTGCAAATACAAGTTGGGCAAATGGGTCTGCACGTTGATCCGCTCGAACACCCAGACCAGGTTCCAGTAGATGATGGGGTGTTCCTCGATGAACTTCGCATCAGCCAAGCTACGAAGACGACAAAGACTGTGACCCAAACAACAAGTTTTCTCATTTAAGTGCAAAGCCTAAGGCCCGGTTTAAGCGATATGTTAATATGGGTCCCTTAAAGCTAAGGAAATTTCCATCAATTTTAATTTCTTCCGTAAATCAGAATAAGGAGGTTGCCCTCCCTTGTACCAGGGAACTGCCTGTACTGCCCAGAAGAAAGTGTAGAGCACTAACAAGGGCCTCCATGGGACACTGCAGGATTAGGAGGCATCTTTGCTTGGTAAGCATTGGAGACCACCCGAAATGCAGGTGGTGCGTGGAAGGGGAGGAGACCCCGTATCATCTGCTCACCAAGTGCCCTGCTTTGACATGGGCAAGATTTGGAGTCTGCCTGTACTGCCCAGAAGGAAGTGTAGAGCACTAACAGGGGCCTACACAGGACACTGAAGGCTTAGGAGGGATCTTTGCTTGGTAAGCATTGGAGACCACCCGAAATGCAGGTGGTGCGTGGAAGGGGAGGAGACCCCGTATCATCTGCTCACCAAGTGCCCTGCTTTGACATGGGCAAGATTTGGAGTCTGCCTGTACTGCCCAGAAGGAAGTGTAGAGCACTAACAGGGGCCTACACGGGACACTGCAGGATTAGGAGGCATCTTTGCTTGGTAAGCATTGGAGACCACCCGAAATGCAGGTGGTGCGTGGAAGGGGAGGAGACCCCATATCATCTGCTCACCAAGTGCCCTGCTTTGACATGGGCAACATTTGGAGTCTGCCTGTACTGCCCAGAAGGAAGTGTAGAGCACTAACAGGGGCCTACACAGGACACTGCAGGCTTAGGAGGGATCTTTGCTTGGTAAGCATTGGAGACCACCCGAAATGCAGGTGGTGCATGGAAGGGGAGGAGACCCCGTATCATCTGCTTTGACATGGGCAAGATTTGGAGTCTTCGGAACGGCCCTGATCTGACTCAGCGCACGGTATTGGGCTAAAGGAGTTGCGGACCTTCCATATAGACGCCCTCTGGCTATGAGAGGTTCAATTCTTTTCATAAAATGTATAGTGACATTTTATGTCCAAAATTTTAGGTAAATAATAAAATGTAAGTCATAAAGATCTCTTTTATTAATTGGAAAACAATAATTTCTCAACAAAAATAAGTATAATAATGGAATAACAAAATTTGTTGTCTTAATATGCTGTATTTTTTTTTAATTTAAGTAAATGACGTGGACCAAAGTTAGACCGTTCAAACCTTACAAAAATAAAATTCTGAAACTGGACCCTTTTCTATAAAAGTTGAACAGATGCACCAAACCAAACTTTCATACAAAACTAAAATGGTACTTTTATGGTACTAAAATGATGATAAATACTCAGACCCAAGTTTAAGTGCAACGTCAAATTGCAAAGATTTCATTCTCAATAAATATATTAGCATATTGCCGAGGATTAACATGTTTGGTCTAAAATAAATAAATCTTTATTAATAAGTCTCCTTAAACTTTTGTCACAGGATTCATTATTTTCCTAAATAATTTCACATTTCCATCATCTGAGTACTGTAAAGAGAATATTTATTAATTGAACTGAGGTGGCTTTTACTTGATGAAAATCGATGAAAGATGAGGTACCTCTAAAAGGTCCTAGGTATCACAATTAGAGACAGAATCCGAAATGACGCGATTAGAGAGAGATCGACAGTATAACCAGCTCTCAAACATATTCAGAAATGCCAACTACGACCGTACAGACACATAAAAAGAATGGAGAAAAAAGACCAACAAAACTGATCTGAGAAGCGAGAAGATTCAACCGAAGAAACACACTAAGAGAAAGACGACTGGGGATAATGGAAGCAGCTAAAATGGCACTAAATAAGAAAAGATGGAGGAAATTTGTATAACGAGTTGTAAACATTATGCAACCCTATGTCCTAGGGGCCTACCTGAGGTCACCTTCCCTGGCGAGTATATTTTCCAGCTCCTTCCTGAGCACGAGCGGGTTGAGATACGGTATACTGAACGGGTCGCATGGTTTGACGTCACGCCCGCCGATCGTCACCGTGAGCAGGGGCACCGTGGGCTTGCCGCACGCCTGACACCTGGTGTTAAGATTCGAGTCTTCGGCTGACCAGTTCGCCATGATGTCCTCGTCATACAGCAGCCTGAAGCAGTTGTGACACTGCGAGCACGTGGTCAGTGTCAGCTCGAGAGCGCTCTCGCCGCTCCCTTCTTCCGGCGTCGGATACAAACTCTCTGGCAACGGTTCGTCGTAGTCTTTCAAGTTGGCGCAACTGCCCCTGTAACTGCCGAGCTCAGCGGATATCTGCCGGACAAAGCGCACGTTATTTATAACGCGACGCTAGATGGCGCTCGCTCGCCTTTCTGTGCCGCTCGAGACCGGCGGCGTCGCTGCCGTCATTGCTCTCGGCGTCTATCTCGTTCAGTGCGTCGCCCGACGCTTTGCGATCGCCGCCGAACGAGGACGCCACCTTTACCGGCGTCGAATTTGCCGACGTCGATATCGCCTCTTTGATCTCCTCCATTTTCTTCACCATCGAACTGGCCGCCGACTTTATCGTGCTAAGGCCGCCCTGTATGATTTCGTTGGACTTTTTGCCGGCCAGGCTGCTGGGACTTTTGAGAGAGAGAAAAAGGTTACTTGAGTTAGATTACTTTTTTGAAAGCGATAATTTGAAATCGAAAAGTACGATAATTAACTCTCACATAAATGTTAACCGAAAGAATAACACGAAATTTCCTTTTCTACCACCATTTAGTGCAGAGGAATTATACAAGTTATTTTCTAAAAAAATAAATAACAAGCAGTCTTCGGGTAGTGATAGTATTCCAATTTTGTTAATTAATTTTATTTAATACACAAAAAAGATAGTAAATGTAGTGTTGAAGATTATCGTCCAGTTAAAATACCGATTAGTTTTCCCAGAAAATTTGAATACTTTCTTTGAACCAATTTCGATTTTGCAGTGGAACGTCATCTAAAATGACATCGTTTTGCCGAAATGTAATGAAAAGCCTGAAATTACGAAAGTGCCCTACTGGGATCTTTTGTCGTCTCAGTAGGGCGTTTGACTGTATTGTATGGAATTGCAAATAGTGTTCTTAACTCGATAGATTTCTTTTTGCAGGAGCGCAACCAATTTGTCAGTGTTGTAATGACAAAAATAATCTTTGTCGTCAGATTAATTCCAATGTAGTTGATACTGATATAAGTGTTCCACAGGGATCGGTTTTAGGTCCTCTCCTATTTCAATGATGTAGAAACCGTTTCTACAAGTTCATTTTTCACGCTATATGCTGATGATATTTCCATTGCCATCTTATATAGGTGCGATCTTTTATTGGAGAATAAATGCAACGATATGTTGAGCTGGTTTAACAGTTCTCGATTTCTCGGTGGAACTCGAATATTTAAACGCTGAGGAATTTGCGCACTATACTGACGACGTCACAAACCTATTACTCTTGCATTGAATCTCGTCTATACTATGGGGTTGGTCTATACAATTGACATTTTTTTTTCTTCAATTTCTCTTGGGTATTCGGTATCTCGAAAACAATTAATGTGATTCTTCTAAATATTTATTAACGTTTCGATCGTAATTTCGATCTTTTTCAAAATATTTTTATTTTGTCCAGGTGACAATTGTTATAATTAATGACATTTGACGTTGTGTTAATATATTAAAAATAAAAATAATTTGTCAGCGAATATTTTATACAGATTGGAATGGCATGGCGGATGATTTTTATTATTTTTTATTATATTGGATAATTTAACTTTGTTAGTTTAAAATTGAATGATATATTTTGTAAAGGTTTTTAGAATCAGTTTTGTAATTAATTAAATTTTTGATTTTTTGGATTTCTATACTTTCATAAAGTTCTCTTTTTTTGATGTTAGGTTCTGTTAGTAGGACTTTAACTTTTTGAAAATTAAATGTGTGTTTGGTGTTTTCGCAATCGGTATGAAGAGCTGTTTTGTTTTTTTGTCATAATTATGTCCGTTGTGTTCCTTGAAAATGGTGTGGAGTTTTTCTGATAATCCAGGTATATATGGTGGCGATATATATTTTCTTTGAGGATTTTGATGTTGATTTTTGTTTACGCTATTATAAAATTTGTTGGTACGTTTATTAAACATATTATTAATTAAGTTTATATATATATATATATATATATATATATATATATATATATATATATATATATATATATATATATATACAGTGTGTCCAAGATAAGGATGCACAGCATGGGGATCTCGGAAAGTATAAGAGATACAGTGTCGGTTAAATTAGACAAAAGTTGCGCATTTTGATACCGAACAAGATCCCGTTTTACAAATTTGAAAATTCCAAGCCGTTCCGGAAATATCCGAGAAAAACCGAAATATTGCGATTTCGTTTTAATTATTTTTTAAAGCTATTTGAAAAGATATGAAAAAACGGAAAACACTTTTCCATTGGCACTTTTTAATCTCTCCAAATTGACGTTAACAAATTTTCATTACAGCGTTTCGAATCCATGGAACCACCATCAACTTTGATTTTTCTTATGGGACGGAAAAAAAGTACACACAGTATTCGGTTGTGCTTTTCATTGCGAATTCAACGATGTACGATACAATATGGTTACTTATGTTTTTATCCAGAAAAATGGATTTTTAATACATTTCAGCATTTAAATGGAGTAGGCCATGACAAAATGACATCCAGTCAATTTCAATGACACATTAATGTTATTTGTCTTTGTTATCAGTCGATCATAAGTTTATTCCTTTAGTTATTGTTTTTGTATTTTTATTGTTGTTGTCTTTTTCTAATTTATTTTGTTCTACAATGGAGGGAGGTAATTTTACAAACGAAGAAAAATGTGATATGCTGTCTTGCTACATCTGATGCCAAAGAAATTGTGTGGAAGCCGAGCGTATGTATTCTAACAAATACCCAGAGCGGAGACAACCTGACAAGAGTATTTTTCGGCGTTTGTTATTTAATCTGAAAGAATATGGATCATTTAAGAAGCCTGCATTATCCCGACAAATACCTTCCAATGAAGAAAACCAATACATTGTTCTACAATCTGTTATCGAAAATCCACAAACTTCTACCAGAGAAATTGAAGACCAGAATGGGGTAGCTAAATCTACAGCTCAGTTTATTTTAAGGAAAAATGAATTTAAGCCTTACAAATTCAGAATATGTCAAGGATTAAAACCGGGTGACGACGAACGACGTAGACATTTTTGTGAGTGGTATACCAGGATGTGTGATGAGAGTTTTAATTTTCCATATAAAGTGATTTGGTCTGATGAAAGTATGGTGACCAATAACGGTATTTATAACAGGCGCAATACACACTATTGGTCGCAACAAAATCCACGTGTTAATAGACTATCCAGACATCAAGTTCGCTTTGGGTTTAATATTTGGTGTGGGATTTTTGGTAGCAAGATTATAGGCCCTATTTTCTATAATAATTCCTTAACTTCCGAGCGGTACCTTGACATCTTGAGGCACGATTTAGAAGATGCCTTAGATGATTTACCGCTAGGCGCTGTGCAAGACTGCTGGTTCCGACAAGATGGTGCCCCAGCCCATAACTCCAGAGAAGTTCGCCAATATTTAACTGAACGGTTTGATGGAAAATACATTGGGACTTACAGTGAAACACCTTGGCCTCCAAGGTCCCCGGACTTAACTCCCTTGGACTTTTTCTTATGGGGCTACATAAAAAATGAGGTATTCAAAGAATGTTTTGACAACGAGGAACAATTACGTCAATCAGTACGAGCAGCGTTTAATAAAATTACTCCTGAAATGTTAAGTCGTGTTTTGGAGTCTACCGTGAGACGGGCGTACTTATGCCTAGAAAATGGAGGTCATTTATTCGAACATTTGTTATAGAATTTGTTTTTCATTAACTTGTTGGATTTAGTTGTTATGTTTAATAAACAGTTAGAGTTAGTAAATAAATAAACACATTAACTCGAACTTGTCAATCATTTTCTTTTGCCTTTCATCGTTCGGATCTCATGGCCTACTACAATAAAATACTAGAAATGTATTAAAAAGCCATTTTTCTGGATAAAAACATAAGTAACCGTATTGTATCGTACATCGTTGAATTCGCAATGAAAAGCACAACCTAATACTGTGTGTACTTTTTTTCCGTCCCATAAGAAAAATCAAAGTTGATGGTGGTTCCATGGAATCGAAACGCTGTAATGAAAATTTGTTAACGTCAATTTGGAGAGATTAAAAAGTGCCAATGGAAAAGTGTTTTCCGTTTTTTCATATCTTTTCAAATAGCTTTAAAAAATAATTAAAACGAAATCGCAATATTTCGGTTTTTCTCGGATATTTCCGGAACGGCTTGGAATTTTCAAATTTGTAAAACGGGATCTTGTTCGGTATCAAAATGCGCAACTTTTGTCTAATTTAACCGACACTGTATCTCTTATAGTTTCCGAGATCCCCATGCTGTGCATCCTTATCTTGGACACACTGTATATATATATATATATATATATATATATATATATATATATATATATATATATATATATATATATATATTGTAGTGTCTATACATTTGGTTTGTACTTGTTTTTGTAAACTTTTTTTTATTTGAAAATTCCTATACAAATTGTTAAAACATTTGTCTGCATGGGAAATAAAACTATTATTATTATTAGGTACCTAAAGCCGGAAAACGCCTGGATCTCAAATTATACGAACAGAACCAGGCCCTATAAGTGGACGCTTTGCACAATTACACTATATCCCTGTACACATAGGGCTCTTATAACTAAAATGCAAAGATCTTGGTGAAACTATTCCCCAACATTTTGTAGTTTCCTTAACTAGTATTGCAGCTTAGGAAAAGATATAGAAATACTACCACTACCTTACCATTTAACCATTTAACGAAGAAGAATCAAATTTACGCCAGGTTTCAAAACAGTGTTCATATTAGCTATCTCCAATAGAAGATCATTTCTTAAAAAAATAATAATAATAATTAGTATTTTCTTTTAACCGCGTCAGTTTTGTCGACAATTAACAATTAAAGTAACTGTCCTCACGAAAATTATTTTTCCAGATAGGGTCGAGTACTGTTCTTAATTGGCCGTCCAGCACGTCGTAACTAAAAACCACCGATACTTACCTAACTTTTCATCGCTTATTTTTGTTTTGATTTTTTAATTCATTAAACTAATAAACTAATGTATGTCGCGCCTCGCTGTTAGCGTCGAAGGTGAAGCGACTTGTCTGGCGGGACCTTACCTTAGATTCGTGATGGCGGTCTCGATCAGCTGCTGCGGTACCTTTAGGTTAGCCCTGCGCAGCGACAGTCGTTGCGACGTGTACCGGCTAAAATAAACACACGGCTAGCTACTAGAACGGGCATGCAGTGCGCGCGAATGCATCGAACGGAAGATTAAACGAAAAAAAAAAAAAAAAAAAAAAAAAAAACGGTGAAGTGTTCCACAATGATAAAAAAATGAGGGCGCACCTGAAACTGATCTTGAAACTGGACCCCAAACTGGCCAGGCTCGAGGCCACCGTCGCTGCAGGTATAGTCTCCGAGCGAGGCAACTTGCTTTGAGCGGGGGGACTACCTGGAACGAGAGCAAACGGCAACTAGTTGGTCCCCGCCCACTAGATATCGGCAATGACTCAACCTCTGTTAAAATTACGCAATGGAAAACCAATCGTCTCCCTACATAGGGAAGCGCAATTGGTTTTACAAGTCCTTCCAGCTCGTATGCTCATTTATTCCATAAAATAAACGACATAAAACTGTTTGTTGCCGTTCAGAAAAAGTCAAAAGTCAAAATGGCAAAACGTACCTTCGAAGGTGGCGGATCTGTGGACGGAGGATCGGAACAACAACACGGGGTCGTCGGTAATTAGGTGGTTCGTCTCGGGCTGCGGCGACGAGGGTGATTTGATCGGGCGAGGTTCTTCGGGCGGCTGTTCCAACGCTCCCAGCGGGTCGTTTTCCGTCACCAATTCCCTGGGAGACGACCTGCACGACAAGCGAGCGCGAACGCATAACTGAGGATTGTTGTCGGACGAGAGAGTGTTCGACACTCCTAATATCCATATTTTTTTAACCCAACACTTGTTACATCTTCGGGGGAACTATTGCTAGGTTGTTTTTATGCAGATTGATATTGTGGAAAACTAATTTAGTTTTAACATAACATAACTTATGACGCCCTATATGTTATTAAATTAATTTATATATTACGAAAAACGAGCGCAAAATATAGCAGAATCGTCGGTCTAGTAGATACTGAATTAGTTGCTTTCCGGGAGATACGGAAGTTATCGTCAGAGTGGTTTTTTTTTTCCCAAAAAATTTTTCGCTCGCCGGTGCAGAAGCGAAGTGGCCACTTACTTCGACGGCGAAGTTTTGCCGTTCTCCACCGCGTCGCCGTTTTGCTCGAAGTGCAACGCCCTCGAGCACGCCTTCTTCGTCGTGTTCTGCAGTTTGTCTATCAAGTTGGCGTCGCCGGCGCTCTCCGACCGCGACAATATGCGACACTCGGACGGGCTCTCTTGCGACACGTACGTGTTTGTGGTCGGCGTCTTATCGTGGTCGTCTCCGCCCCCTCGCGCGTCAGTTTCGTCGCTTTCCGCGAGTTCTGACGCTATATCGAGAGTCGGTCAAGGTGGACGCAACGCATCGACGCTTTCTTACCCCGAACACCGCCCCCCTTGACGATACTATTCGCCACCCGTCTGAATCGGTCGAGGAGGCTGCCGTCGGTGGTGGCGCCCTCGTGCGAGTCTAGCGACGACCTCGACGCGGTCCGGTCGCCGGGATCCAGTAGGCTGGACGCTGTTGGGAGAACAAAATATATGGATTGCGATAGGCCCGGGATTCTTTTCTATTTATGCTTATAACCATCAATTTGCCGACAACAAGCAAATCTACATTTAATCGGGTCTCCATTTGCGTGATTTTGAAAGTACAACAATTATTCATTAACCAACAGTGTAAAAAAATTACGCCTTTCCATGGATAATGATATGGAGTTTCAATCGGAAGTGAAAACTCTAATCCAAAAAAAAAAATTATAAATTAAGACACATGTATAAAAACAAAAAGTTTTCCTCTAACGACATAAAGTTAAGAATTTGAGAGGTAATGATACATGTGAACTATTGTAGGCTAGTGGAAAAATTCACTTTTTTTCTACTAAATTTTATATTATTCTAAGTAAATTAAAAACATATATTGGGTGAAGTGGTTACGTGGAAGAGCAGCTATGTTGAACATCGCCACTTTATATATGTTTATAGAATTCTTATTTAAAACCCTGTGCCGATATTTATAAAAAACATCGTTTTGTAAAAAATGGATATGTGTAATAATATTGCATAATGACTTAGTACAACACTGCCAATGGTTTAACAAATAATAAATAAAATAAATAATAAATAATAAAAAAAATGTCCTATTATCGTTCTCGCAGCTTTTATATAGTATCAAATTGTTAATTGGGTATTGCTTTACTGTTTTATACTGTGTGTTATGTACCTCTGTTAACACTATTATATAATGACTAGGCTGATATTGCTTTTATATCGGTTTATAAAATTATTTTATAAAATAATTATAAATTATTTTATAAACCTTCGCCTGTTTTACCTTTATAAGTGTTGAATAAACATTTTTAAAAAGTTTATATAGAAAATATTGTTTTATAAAAAATGGGTATGGGTAGTTTTTAAAGAGTATCAAATTGTTATTCGGGCTGTTACCTCCTTCGGTGGACGCGGACAGGTGCCTCGAAGCCTTCCTCTTCGCGGCCCATTTGAAATGCGCCGCCCCGATCACCACGTTGCGCAGTTTATTCCACAGCAGCTGGCTCGACGTCGACGACGCCGGCCACTCGGCCTCGAGGACGCACCGGTTGTACAACCTGCCCCGCCCCGCCCCCAAAAATTGACAAACATCGTCTCGAGACGACGGCGACGCCCTCTTACCCGTATGTCAAAGCGTTCGGCTGGATGCCGTACTTTTTCATAAGTACGAGCAATTTGACCGCCAGCAGGGGGCGGTTGTGTTCGCCGCACAGCTGCATCATGAGCCGGTAGCAGACCTCGTCGCAGGCGAGCCTCTGGTGCGTCGCCCGCACCAACAACTCGTACGCCTGCTGCAGGATCGCTTTCTCCTTGCCGGCGTTCAACGACAGCATGCTGGGCAGTACCATGAAGTAGAGGGTGTGACAAGTGCCGCACAAGCAACGCGCCCACGTGTCCGGCGAGCGTTGATACTTGCGGGCCAATTTCTGAGCCGATTTAATCTCGTGCTTGGTCCTCCTCACCATGGGGGAACCGGGGACCGTGGTCGAACCCAGAGACGGCACGTGACGACGCATTTTGCCATTCAACAACATCGGGTTGAGGGAGAAGTCCTCGTAAGCGTAAAGCTTGCCTGAATGCGAAAAAGAATATACAAAATTCAAACGCTTGAACGGAATTGATCCTACCGTGAGCGGGTGGTTCGGGCGGCAAAACGAACAGCGTCCGGTCGCTCCTATGGACCGAATCCAATTCAATGAGCTTAAAGTCGGACTCGTCGCTGCTATTGAGCTTTTCCATGCACTCGTCGAAGAACGTCAGACCCTGATCGCCGTCAACGACGAAACTCCTCTCCTCTATGAATCTGGAAGACAACTTGCGGCCTGCCGAGTGGTACCGCCGATCTCCACATATCTCACCTAATAAACATCTGAGTCCTCATGAGCATCTTGAAGAACTGCGTGTGGCTCTTGTCGCGGCTCTTTAGGAAATCGTTGAGCTGGAAGAGGGCCTGCGGATCGGTGGTGCCAACCGTCGGCGCCTTGGTGATCGGTTTGAGGTAATTGCGGTACTCCTTAAGTATCTGCACCATGAACTTGAGAAAGGCCTCTTGGATTTCGAGCTCGTGAGCGTGCTCTTTGCGCCGCCGCTGGAACTCCGCCTCGATGTCGTCCTGGTTGCCCGCCTCCGGCTGTGCGGGCCCGGCGTTCCGATTTTGGTAGTACAAATAGTCGAGGGTGGATTTGAGCAGTTTCGCCGCCTTTTTCGGCAAAATTTTCGTGTTCAGGTGCCTCTGCGTGTCGGCGACCTACGCGCGTGTTTCGCCTTTTAGCTCTCTCACCAACATAAATAGATCAAACGCAAGTTGGGCAGGGCACTATTGAATAATGAATAACAAGGGGGAAATTTTCGAAATTTTGCACCTTTTAAGAATTTCGAAAATAAAAACATAGGGAAGAAGCAAATAGTTGTTTATTGTTGTTTATTTTCTTTTGTTTTCGAAAATGTCTATTTCTAGGATATACTAGATAACACCACAATAATAATAATTGAACTGAGGAGGCTTTTAGTTGATGAAAATCCATTTATCAAAATAAATAAGAACTAAAAGTTCAGATTTTCACGCCATGCCAATTGTTTCGACAGCACCGTGTCTTTATCAAATGTAATATTTACAAACTACCTGCTACTATATATATCGAAAAATAACCATAAAACCTTAATTAATGTTGTTGCGAGAATTTAAGTTCAATAAATTAGAGGTATTTAAATCTAATCGATCGTTAAGCAATGGCTTCCAATAAATTTAATTTTATACTTTTTGTGGCTGTATGAAATATATCAATGATGATGATCAATTAGACTTAACTATTACAAAAGTGCAAAACAAATTAGATTTTTCAATATATCATAAACCTTCACACACCCCTATATACACAAAATGACTGCATTTAACTCTTTTATACACAGTTGTTGTTGTTGTTGAAACAATTGTCATGTCAAAATATATAATTCTCTTATTTATTTTAATAATAATTGAGGAAGCCAACAGAAGTTTTGTAAACAGTATTTGGAAGTTTCTTTGAAAATAATAATATTAATTGAGCTTTTTAACGACGTTCCAAGGTAAGACTTACGGTTATAATGTTGGTGTCCAGGTCGATGCAGCTGACATCTGGCGGGGGATCGTACAAGTCGAAAAACCTGGAATCCACCCCAATGAGGAACGGCAGCGGCGCGTGCAGGACCTCCACCAAACCTGAACAACATTTAATATAGGAAAGTCGGCAAAAGTAAACAAGCAAACGCACCCAACGGACAGAGTGGTATATACGGGCACTGCCACTTGAACGGGAAGAGCAGTGAGCTGACCGCTTCCGCGACAGCTGTTAAGGTGTCGGGTCTGAGCGAGTGAATGAGAATTTTTTGTTCTGTCAAGGCCAATAGCAACACCTAGAAAAACAAACAGGCTCGAGGTGACCGAGGGCTATTTTGGGGCAGCCACCTGCAAGCAATTGTCTGCCCCCAAATTGACCAACAGCTGCTTGAAACTGGCCGCGCTTCTGGGAAGGGGCAGGTCCTCGGGCTGCATGAATATCACCCTCGAGTCGGGATTCTCAGTGGATAGTTGCAGCAAGGTATGTGGCAACGGAAACGGCACCTCGTCCAACAGCTGAACGATGTACCTTTCCACCGGTATCACTTGAGGATGGCCGCTGGTCACCACTTGCTGATTACACAGTAACTTATTTATCCGTTTCGAATCGTGCGAGAATATCTACTTACGCAGAGGTACAGCAGCCACGTCTGAAAGTCGTCAGAGAAGGGCCAATGCGACAACAGGCATATGCTTTTGTTCACGCGGATTTGTTGAGCGTTTTCGTCCTCATCGAAGCCCAAAAGTTCTTTTTGATCCTCAGTTAGGTTCTCAACAGGGTACTTTTCATAAAACGTTACAGCGGAGCCATAGACCTTATGCTTGGCGTCGGATACAGTCAGTACAAAACAGCTAAACACGGGCTTCGGTTGTGAAGCCTCGCCAGGCCACATCTCGAGGGTCGCCCCCATGGGGAGGCAAAATAAAGGCACGGAGTTAGGGAACGGAAAGTCGGGTACATCCGCCATTGGGTATCTGAAAAGTGCGACTCCCACAGTAGCACGCATATGGAGGTCAATGTAACAAAAAAACATGACAATACAATGTCAATTATGAAACTAAGCAAAATGTTTATAAAAATAACTTGATAATTTTATAAACGTCGATAGATCTAGGTATATTAACTTATTAATCCTCATGTTAATAAAAGTCCATAACACATATCATATTGAAAACAAGGATGATAAACAAGATGATGATAATGCAAAATAATGAAGTACGTTATGGATTAAGGGAGATCTAGTACCTCACAAAATGTGTCATTAACCTTTGCTGGGAGCTAAAATCTGGGGAATGTTGTTGATCACGAGGTGAATTTAATTCACCTATTATTAAGCTCAAAAGACTATGCACTCTATTTCAGATTGGATTTTGAACTAGGCAAAAAAAAATATAATACCCAAAATATGGTTTGAAATATTGGAAATGTTAAAATGGTAATGGTAGTGCTAAATAATAAACAATACTAATATTTACAAATTTTGGCAACTGAGTTAATATAATAAAGCAGACTTATCTAAAATTATTTTGCTGGAAATAAAATGTTATACCTTCCTAAAACCTCTGGTTTGTAAGTCAATAGCCTGGCCCTGTTCATAGACTTTTTGTAACATAAGAAAACATCACTGCCCACGATTCCCTTGTTTAAGTTCTTGCTGATGCAGCAAAAAGCGTGTGGAGGTGATTCTCCTTTGCTAGCGATGATGACACATATATCTGTAACAACCAAGGCATTGCAAGGCATTGAAGGCTGTCCCCTTCTATATGTTAAAAATGTCTCTGAGGTGGAGTTATTAACATTTGCAACATTGCCACCCATTGTTTCTTTTATAACTTCAGCATCATCCATCAGTTGTTCTTTGCCTTCATACATGACCCCTATATCGACCAAGGGTGGCTTGTCTCTTCCTCGGCGTATGCAAAGGAAACATTCAATAGATCTTAAGCTGCCATGATTCAAGTCAGCAACTAGCCCAGTTGGTGTCTTTTTAATAAGCTCCCACCCATTGGGCTTTGTTTCTCCTAAACTAGGAAATATCACATTTATATCCGTTATGGGGGGTTGCCCGTGGCTGGCTTTTAAATTTCCACCCTCTGACAAAGTAGTATCGTCCAAGGGCTCAGGATCCTCAGGCAGCCCAGCAATTATAAAATAATCCGCTATTCTTCGTTCATCCATAGTTACAGTTTTAGGGTAAATTAGTTATAATTTGCTAAAAACTAAATATATTGCTAATATTTGAAATAAGGCACATTATAGTCACTGATCGCCGCAACTTGGACTCGATTTAGGCAATCCCGATGTAGAAAGTGATTTTTGATTCAATTTTTTTGCTGTTGTAGATGAGTCATCATTCCAAGAGCAATGATCCCTGAAGCAAGACGGAAGAGAGAATTACTTGTCAACAAAAAACAACGATATTGTTGCTTAGTTTCATATAATTTCTGTGGCAATAAATACGAACGATTTTAATTACTCTATTTGACGTTTTTGTGGACTGTGCCTTCTTATCATTTCTAAGAATACGGTTTAAGGTTAGGTTGCCGATTTTATAGATACCTGTTTTTAGGATGTTTTATAAAGATTTGGTGTGTTTCAGGGCTATTTTTGCGAAACACGGACCACTATTTTACTATGAAATCCATTATATATTTTTGAAATCAATAGACAACAATAATAGAGTTAAAAAGGGGTAAGTGGTAAATTGTCATCTGTTCAAAGTTTTAATATTAAAGTTTATAGAAATGCTTGGCCAATTCCATCACGTGCTACACACTTCGCATGAAATTAAACTCGTCAGATCAATTGTCCAGTTACGTCATACAATGATATCTTTATCCCGTTTAGTACAGGATGAATTAAATTCGCACAGGAATTTTGTTTGTCAGAAGTTTAGGATCAATTACGCAATTAGATTTGCGACCGTGTTCCTTATCGAGAGAAGCTTGTAAAATACTGTTTCTGGATCGCCTTCTTTCCCGTGTTTAAAAAAGGCAAAGTGACGCATGTTAAAATTTTACACGCCTTTTGTTCAAGATTCATTTCGGTGTAAATCAGTACGCTATTGCCAATTTACAAAAAACGAAAACGTCTCGGACGGCGCACATAAAGCATATCGACGGTTGCATGTTCGTCTAATTTTTTTCTAGCCATCTACGATGTTTTGGCTGATCATTTCCGTGTTGGCGGTTGTTACCTTGTGGTTTCTACTGGATCGACCGCTCCACCATTGGGAGAAGTTAGGCGCGAAACAAACCAAACCTTGGATCATCTTGGGCGACTCTTGGCCAACCGTATTAGGTCTCAGCAATTTTCCGGATATGCTTCAGACGGTGTACAACTTGTATCCAGAAGCGAGGCATGTTTGCTCTCCAGACACCGATTTGCTTCGCTGACACCCACAAATTTTAGGTACACAGGGATGTATCAGTGTTACACCCCCGCACTGCTGTTGAAAGATCCCGAACTGATCAAGTTAATTACTGTGAAGGACTTCGATCACTTCACGGACCGCAGTACATTCCTCGACCCCGAAGTCGACCCTGTAGTGGGCAGGAATCTTTTGTCTTTGAAGGGTGAGCACCTGCGTCCCTGGGCCCCAGTTCGATTTTTGAGGCAGAATATTTTGCAAATTATAAGAAAGATTTGAAATAATAATGTTTAATAATGTCTATATATTTACCACCTGAAAAATAAGAACCTGCTCGTGTTTATTAGGCCAGCGCTGGCGCGACATGAGGGCTACCTTGTCCGGCTCCTTCACCAGTAGCAAAATGAAGTTTATATTCGGGTTAATCAATGCCACCACACAAAGATTCGTGGAGCACTTGAAAAATAGACAAGGTGACGTCATTGAATTGGAATTGAAAGATGCCCTCACGAGGTAATAATGAGATGTAAAAAAAAACTGGTTCCGACCACACGTTTTTAGGTTCGCTAACGACGTCATAGCGACGTCAGCATTTGGTCTGACGGTCGACTCGCTCTCCCAACCGGAAAACGAATTTTATCTGAGTGGAAAAAAAATGTCCGATTTAACATCTCTGCGAGTGTTGGTCAAATTTTTCGGCTACCTTGTTTTCCCGCAACTATTCAGGGTAAGTTTAAGCAAATTATAAGACGGCGCATTATCGCGGCTTTTTTAATCACTTGCCAGTTTAAATTAACAGAGTCCAAATTTCAGACGCTGAAGATTGGTCTGCTGGACAGCTCGGCGACTCGCTTTTTGCAAAAGGTGCTGACGGAAACCATAAGAGTGCGGGAAGAAGAGGGCATCGTGCGTCCTGACATGATCAACATTCTCTTGGAGGCGAAGAAAGGTGCCAAGGATGAAGAACCCGTCCTGGTAGACACTGGGTTCGCCACTGTGGAAGAATCTTCTCCGGGTGAGTCCATCTCTACTCAAAAATAAATAAGAACTAAAAGTTCAGATTTTCACGAAAATTTCGTAAAAACCACCCCAGTTCAATCCATCTCTACTCTTAGGTAACTTGACAAATTATTTCAGGTCGATCCAAGTCGCACCCGGCGATCACCAACGACGACATAACCTCACAGGCATTCATATTCTTCTTTGCCGGCTTCAATAGCAGCTCGACCGCGATGTGCTTCGCGGCGTATGAGCTCGCCCGCCATCCCGAAGTCCAATGCAGATTGAGAGACGAAATCCACCAAGTCCAAAGGCATTGCGAAGGTAAAATTACCTATGAGGCCTTGCTGGGGATGAAGTACCTCGACATGGTAGTGTCGGAGGTGTTGAGAAAATGGCCACCCATCTTTGCGATGGACAGGGTGTGTACCAAACCGTACGTCATCGAAGCAGTGAAATCTGATGAGGAACCGTTACGGCTCCGGGTGGGAGACGCGGTCATTCTGCCATTCCAGGCGATCCACAGAGATCCGATAAATTACCCGGACCCGGATAAATTCGATCCGGAGCGTTTTTCCGACGAAAATAAGAGGAAAATCCGCCCTTATACGTATTTACCTTTCGGGGTGGGACCGAGGAATTGTCTAGGGTCTAGGTTCGCGCTATTGGAGGTGAAAATGTTGCTATTCAACTTGTTGGCGGCGTTCGAGCTGGTACCGACGGCGAGAAGCGTGATACCGTTGAGACTGGCGAAGAGGTCGCCTAATGTCGTCATTGAAGGTGGATTGTGGTTCGGGTTGAAACGTTTGTAGCGCTCTAAGCAATATAGTATTACGTTTTTAATTTGTACAATTGAAAATACAGAATGCTGCTTTTGGGGAGGTTTTTATTTTGTCGGCGTAGATCCGGGTTACTTGCGTAATATCGTCGGTATGCAAGAGAGAGTGACCAAGTCCAATATTAACAGTTTTAAGCTATTAATATTTATGAACAAATATAAAATTCAATTATTTTATGTAAGTTTATTTTAGTGGAAATACATATTGAATAAACCATATAACTATTATTATTATTATTACAACTTTCTCATGAATATATTGGGTTGTTCGGAAAGTCATTTCGTTTTTTTTGGGGAACATGAAAGACAGTTTTCGTATAATGAATAAATATTTTATTAAATTATATATTGGCCATTCTGGTCCAACACCTTTTGCCATCTTTCTGGCAGTAACATAATTCCCCTCTCATAAAAGTTTTGGTCCTTGCTTTCAAAAAACTGGTTCAGGTGGTTTTTGACATCTTCATTTGAGGTAAAGGTTTTGCCATCCAAAAAATTTTACAGGGACCGGAACAAATAGTAGTCGGAAGGCGCCAGATCTGGAGAATATGGTGGATATTGCAGTACGTCCCATTCAAGTTGTAAAAGTTTTTGGCGAGTGACCAAACTTGTGTGAGGTCTCGCATTATCCTGGTGGAACACTACACCCTTCCTGTTGATTAATTCGGGCCTCTTCTCTTTAAGTGAATCATTCAATTTGTCCAGTTGATGACAATAGACTTCTGAATTAATCGTTGTATTGTCCGGCAAAAGCTCAAAAAAAACGATTCCTTTGACATCCCACCAAACGGAGAGCATCACCTTTTTTTGGTGAATGTTGGCTTTTGACACGCTTTGAGCCGGTTCATCTTTTCTGCTCCATGACCTCTTGCGTTTAACATTGTTGTATACAACCCATTTTTCGTCCCCAGTAATAATCCGCTTCAAAAATGGATCATTTTCTTGACGTTCGAGGAGCGAATCACACACGTCAAAGCGACGACACAAATTTCGCTCCGTAAGGACATGGGGCACCCACACATCGAGCTTCGAGGTTAAGCCCGTGCCTTTCAAATGGCCATAAACAGTCGAATTCGACAAATTTAATCTCTCACCGATCTCTCGTGTGGTTATTCGCCGATTTGCATCAACTAATGCCTTTATCGCATCTTTGTCAGCTTCGACCGGCCTTCTAGACCGTGGTGCATCTTTGACATCAAAATTGCCGGATCGAAATTTTGACAACCAGTTCTGGCACTGGCGTACTGTTAAAACGCCTTCTCCATACACATCCGTCAATTTTTTTCTCGCTTGGACAGCATTTTTACCTTTTCTGAAGTAAAAAAGTAAAATATGACGAAAATGCTGCTTATTGCCCTCCATATTTAAAAGGGCACCAACCAAAAACTACTGCGTAGAATTAATAGAACTTTTTCACACACAAGCCTTGCAATATCAGCTCTCAAGACATATAATGGTTATGCGGCTTAAGTGTGAAGTTGGTTTCGAAAAAACGTAATTAAGTCCTCTGACGGGAAAAAACGAAATGACTTTCCGAACAACCTTATAAAATCAATTATTTCTTGAAAGTCTATTTTACTGGAAATACATATCGAAAGTAGGTTTTTATTAATCTACTACTATAATAAAATTGCATTGTTTCATTAGTCATAATATAACTATGCCTATTATTTTCCTATTCGAAGGAAATTAAGGTCAATTTGTTCACCTAACATTTATTAACTATTTAAATAACAAATTATTAAACAATAATAATTACTAATATTTTTGGGAATAAGTTTAATTAAGTCATCCTTTTTTGAGTAGCACTTTTTTAAATCTGATTCTTTCAGCGTACTACTGGGTCTACCATTTACTTTTCCTCTTAGATTTAGAACTCTGTATTCTTCGTTGTAATTGTGCCTGAACAATATTAAATATTTTGTTCCTTTTTCATATAGGCGTTGTTTCATGTAGCGCCGTTCTACTCTTTGACCCCTTTCGTCTCGAATCACATTTTTTAATGTTGATTCATTATAAGCACCTGAAATTTTATTTTTTCTTGGATTGTGCTACTGTCATAATTGTTTTCCAGTCTTTTAAGAGAAAGCGTCCTTTTGGGTCGTTCTATTGCACTATGCATCGAATCTGCATCCGTGTGATAAAATTCCTATAGGTAAAACTTGAACGATGTATTGGTTACGATTTTGTCCTCTGCGTGGGTCGTTGAAAACTGGCACTTCTTTAACTGTATCTGGTAAAGTTTTAAATCATTTCAGTATCGATGTCCCTATTTCATTACTTTCTCGTTGACCTATTTCAGACCAAAGATAACAGTGTTCGCTCGTGTCAAATAAACTCGTGAGTCAAATGCCGTTTACCGCTCTTGTTGCAAAATATACTATTTTCTACTCCCTTCTGTAAAATACCTAATTATACACCGACCTAGCGTGCGGGGAGCGTCACTTTACCACGTGAGTTTCTTGTCCCACCGATCCGAGCCTCTTCGGATATTTCCGGGATATTACCGCACGGGTTTAGGAGCAATCGTATGTTTTCGTAGATTTTACCGCACTGCTTGAATTTTGCCGTTTGTCAATTGTGACGGTCATGTTAGTGAATGTAGTCATGTTGTTTTGCAAAAATGTACCCAAAGTCACTCGTTTATTAAGTACTCGCTTTGCTCGTGCCAAATCAACTCGTGACTCAAATACCGTTTACAACATTTATTGCATAATATACTGTTTCATTTTTGGGTGTACCAAGCCTTATTTTTCCGGATGGAGTTTTATTATATAAGCATCCAAGAAAAGAAGACACATATCGATGACTAAACTGAGTCAACTTGCAAACGTGAATTACAACAATGGCTGGGGATGGTCAGTTTCGCAGGTAGATTCATTACAAATAAATCGGAAATTTTAGTTTCGTTAAATGAATTACTTAAAAATAACATAATCTTCACTTGGGAATCAATTCAAAAAGAGGCCTTTCAGACATAATATCTCTACTGAAGAAGGCACCTTGTTTAGCTTTTTACGATCCAAATAAGAAGATAATTAGTCAGTTCAGATTCAAGTTCATATGGCAGCACTTTTTCAGGTTGACGACTCTGAAAATAAAGAAATTGTGGCATACGCATCCAGAACTCTTAGACAGATCGAGGCGAATGCAGTTTCAAAACTTTAATAAAAAAATGCGGTCTAGGTACCAATGCCAGAAACATCTGAAAGTGATACGGAAGTTTGTGTTTCATCGCAGCCCGAAAATGAAGCTAGTGCGGTGTCGGAAAGTAAAATAGAACAAAGTAAAGAACAGTTCGTAGCAAATAGACGTTCATTGTGTCAACCGAAAAAGCCCGCTTGGCTAAAAGACTTTGTAATGTAGTTATTTCTTTTAAAAGGGGACAAGGGTTCGGTGGTCTGTGATGTTCCTATTCTATGGTCTAGAGAGGTTAGATGTGGCGAACTTTTGTCTAGGTATCTCGCGGTACCTCATGACGCTCTTAAATAAAGGACTTGTAGTGGAGGTCTCTTTTGTTATAAAAAGCATCCAATACGACAGTTTTGTGTGGTATTTATCAAAAAACAAACATGAATAATAAAAAGTTTCTATCAAGTTGACTCGCCCTGTTGGCCGGCACCTTGTATTGTACGGTTGTAAATCGTCTAACTCTGTCATTGATATATGTATTCACCCAGTGACGCAGTCATGTTTCAGTGGGAATTAAAAAAATATAAGGCCCAGTATTTTCAAACCAGATCGCGCTCGCCGCTGTGTGGTTACGATAAATTGCAGGGCTAAAAACGTCGGTGAAACACTGTTGATTACTCCGCATTAAAAATTACATTGAAATGCTGTTGCTGGCCCTCTTCGCTATGGGTCACTATAATCAAGCCCATGAGCAAAACGCAAACGCCAATTTGGTTTTTACATTTGCCGGAGGGCGCTGAATGATGCTTCGAAATTATTTTCGTTTCCACATCGCCCCATCAATGAGGTCAACTGTCGACTGTTGATTTAGGAATTGCGTCGTAAGATGGAGCCATTGGGTATTATTGACGATGCCGGCTGCTACAGATTGAAGTCTCGCGTTCTAGAGGTTATCAAAATTGAACCCAAGATATCAATCGTGTTAACCCTTGATCTTCTTGATCGTTATAAATAATATTATAAACAACATTTATTATCAGTTTTGCAAAGACCCCCCGGAGATTCAGTCAATTTTTGAAAGCGCAATATGGTTTCCAAAGGTGGCGATTTGGGTAAGAAAACTACCGAGATTTTTCCGAACATTAAAATCTGTTATCGCTTTTTAGCGTTGCTCTCGGTATCTGACAAAACTGGCTTGATAGAATTGGGGAGAAACCTAAGCAGTTTGGGCTTTAGGCTTGTAGCTAGCGGAGGAACAGCCAAATCATTGAGAGATGTGGGACTTCTTGTAAGAGATGTGTCTGACATATCTAACGCTCCTGAAATTTTGGGCGGGAGGGTTAAAACTTTGCACCCTGCGGTCCACGGCGGCATTTTGTCTAGGTATATAAAAAATAAACCATTATCTAAGTTTTTAATTTGTATTTTTCCAGGCTAATACCGTCGGATCAAGAAGACTTAAAGAAGCAGAATATTGAAATGATTAGGATTGTAGTCTGCAACCTTTACCCGTTTGTGCAGACAGTATCAAAACCGAATGTAACTATTGCAGATGCAGTGGAAAACATTGACATTGGGGGCGTAACTCTTCTCAGGGCAGCCGCTAAGAATCACGAACGCGTTACCATCATTTGTGATCCATCCGACTATGAAAAAGTTGTTGATGAGATCAGAAATAACCCCAAAAAAGATACTAGTTTGGAAACAAGGTACTTAATTATTTGCCAACAGTTTTAAAGTTAATAACACTTGCTTTTAGGCAATCGCTCGCCCTCAAAGCGTTCACTCACACCTCTGAATATGATCTCGCGATAACAGATTATTTCCGCAAACAATATTCCCCAAACCGGTCCCAAATCACACTTAGATACGGAATGAATCCACATCAAAAACCCGCCCAGATTTTTACCACCCTTCCTCGGCTGCCTCTAAACGTTCTGAACGGGTCGCCCGGCTTTATCAATCTTTGCGACGCTTTAAATGGCTGGCAGCTTGTAAAAGAACTAAAGACCGCTTTGGGATTACCGGCCGCTACTAGTTTTAAACACGTGTCACCCGCAGGTGCAGCAGTCGGCACCCCCTTGTCACCCGAAGAAGTAAGTAGGATAGTGGATAGTCCTACCAATGCAGTTTTAAAATCCCCAATAATTTAGGCTATTGTTGGCAATTGCAATTCGTAGATACAGGTTTGTTTTGATTAGGCAGATTCGTAAGGAGAAACCAAGGAAGCAAAAACAATAATCGGAACTTTTTGCACTTATGAAATTTATTAACATCGTAATCTAATTTTTTAGTTCATGGACGTTTCAGTAGTCCAACATGAATTTTATCAAACTTTATATTGATAAATGCTGTTGAAAAAAATCTCCCATCGCCGAAGTATAATTCTCTAATACAAATTAGTAATTAAACTTACTTAGACATTACACACATTTGTAATCACTTCTGTTACAATCATATTCTATTTTTTCTACCTATCAACGTTGTCGTATTGGAGGCTTTTTATAGTAAAAGAGAACTCCACACTACAAGTCCTTTATTTAATCTGCGTCATGAGGTTCGGACGTAAGCGCGCGAGGTGCCAGGCCCAGAGTCCCACATTCTAACCTCTCAAGACCATAGAATAAGAACACCACAGACCACCGAACAACCCTGATGCAACAAACGTTTTTCGTTTTTGTTGGTGTTAGGTCAAATTGTCTGGGTTTCTTTCGTTATTTAAAAAAAAAGTATTTTAAGATGCAGGAGAGCACCTGTAAGAAATATTATTTTGCCCTATATTGATGTCGATGATCAGCTCCTCAATGAGGTAACAGGTAGACCATTTAACTTAGAAATAACGTTAGGAACCTAACATTATTTCCGGAAATTATATCCCACACGTTACGATTTAAAAAATGATTTAGGCCTTCCGCAACGGCACTAGTCAGTATAGTCAAACTGAATTTGCTTTCCAATATTTGGCATTTTCGAAAAATGACCGTCGAAGCTTTGGTTTCTTTTAGATCATCCATTAGATCTTTTTTAGAATGAACAAGAATGAAACTAATGAAATGAAAATATTTAGAACGTGCAAGGCAAGGCAAAATGAAATAAAAGCAAATCTTTATTTCTTTTTAATTCATAACCCACAAAACTTTAAATTTTAGAAACTTATCTTATTGGTACTGACTCCGCATACGCCTTAAACTTTAGTAACGGGAATCTTATTTCGCTGTCGGTGGCGTTATCGAATAATAATTATTAATAATATGTGGTGCACTCTTCAAATAAGGTATAAAGTGAAACATTGATAAAATAAGCGGTGCAAACAGTACAAAAGGACCCACTCTTTCACCAACACCTTTCTAAAAGGAAAATGTTAGCGAGAAGGCCCCAGCCCTGTGACGCACTTTCCGCCCAATTTTGTTGTTATTTCACCAGAAATGTTAGGCAACACTTGTTTTTGTAGGGAGCGATTTATTTATTGACAAACTTGTTTTCGTCGTCGCGTATAATTGTGTAATGTAATCTATTTTCGGAATAGGCGAAATTATGCATGGTAGACGACCTGCTGGAAAGTATTACGCCTCTGGCCTCGGCTTACGCCCGAGCCAGGGGCTCCGACAGGATGTCGTCGTTTGGCGATTTCGTAGCCCTTTCGGACGTGTGCGACGAAGTGACAGCCCGGATTATTTCTAGAGAAGTCTCGGACGGCGTAATCGCTCCGGGGTATACCCCCGGAGCCCTAAAACTCTTGGCCAAGAAGAAGGGCGGAGTTTACTGCGTATTGCAGGTGGGTCTCGATGCCGTTCGAAATCGTCACTTTGAAAAATATGTTTTAGATCGACCCAGAGTATGAACCGGATCCCATAGAGCGTAAAATCCTATTCGGTTTGACTCTGGAGCAGAGACGGAACGACGCGTCGATCGACGCGTCTTTGTTTAAAAATATCGCTACTAAAAATAAAAATTTGCCCGAAACCGCGATCAGGGATCTTATCGTGGCTACCATCGCCTTGAAGTACACCCAAAGCAATTCGGTGTGCTACGCCAGAGACGGACAAACCATCGGCATAGGGGCCGGCCAACAGTCCCGCATTCACTGCACCAGGTTGGCGGGGGAGAAAGCTGATAATTGGTGGCTCAGAAGGCACCCCAAAGTGCTTACCTTGAAGTTCAAGAAGGGCGTGACGCGGGCTGAAATTTCGAACGCCATCGATAACTATGTCAACGGGACCGTCGGTAATTTTTCTCTTAGGATCCGGTATTATCACTCGTTTAGTCGTTCTTAGGCAAAGACATGGACCGGCAGATATTTAATTCGATGTTTGACACGGCGCCCTCTGAATTCACAGAACAGGACAGAGGTGATTGGCTCGCGACCATGTCGGGTGTTTCGTTGGCCTCCGACGCATTTTTCCCCTTCAGGGACAACATCGAGAGAGCGAAACTGGTAAGACCTCAATTTTCGCATTTTCGTGACGCGTTAACCGTTTTTCGTCTTTGCAGAGCGGAGTTTCGTTCATCGGAAGCCCGTCCGGATCTAAAAATGACGAGGAAGTCGTCCAGGCCTGTAACGACCACAATATTGTCTTGGCGTTCACGAATTTACGTTTATTCCACCACTGATACAAGCTTGCCTCTGCTTCATATTTTAATAAACGTTTTGATAGTATATATACATTTTTTATTATTAGTTTCAGTTTAAAATGAATAATTTTTCTATAAAATGGTCAAATTTGAGGATAATACTTATCTGGTTTTTTCCAAAGATTGTTGATATTTATTATTGCTAAAAAACCCGGAGAAACCGTTTCATCGCAAAAAAAGGTTTTCCTTGAGTCATCTGTGTGTAAAGAAACTTTTTAACAGCACCAATTTGAGGATAGTAATTACCTGATTTTATTCAGAGATTGCACAATTCGATCGTTTGATAAAGTAACAAAAACCAATCGGTTTTTGGCAATAAAAGATTTTTCTTGCTTCGCATATGTGTGTGTCACTTTTTATCGCTACCAATTTGAGGACATAATTACCTAATTTGATTCAAAGATTGCACAAATCGTTATTTTGGCGATCGTTAATTTTGATAAACGTTCAAAAATCAACAATTTTTTCTTTTTCGGCGCACCATCTGCACACGAGTTGTCAAAACTCACTCGGTCGCGTAGTTTTCATTCCGTGGTTGCGGTGGCGCGGATAGATGTCTGTACCGGCGATGATGACGTACAACTATTGATTGTAGTTTTCTGAGTCGGCGAACGCCATTTTGACAGATGCGTAAAAGTTGGTGAAGTGATTGAATAAATCGAAAAATCTGTGTTCATCCGTCCCGATTAACGAGTGAACGTTTTATTTTATTGTTATTTCGTGTTAACCCATCTGGACGGACCAAGGTAGGTCCGAATTTTTCGTCTTCCTTTGTCACAAAATCGGTTTCGTAATCTGATGTTTTCTTTTGACTTCTCAAGGAACGGATACCCCAAACCGTTATGTCCGACGATTTTGCTTCGGTATGCCACTGAGGCAGTGCGTTAGCTTCATCGCGCCCGCGATTATTTAGTGGTTTAGAGTGGTGCTGGGCTGGGTTCGCCATAAACAGTGCTAAAATCACTACCGAGTGCGATTTTGTAGTTTTTGTTGTCAATTTCAGTAAGATCGCAACTCTCCTTTCGCTTGGTCTTGTGGAAAAATAACGCCGTTGCCACTTTATAAATAGGGCAACTTAACGCGAAAGCAGCGCGCGGAACTTCATTAATCTTTGTTCATAAACAAACCGCTAGAAACGCTTACAAATCATTCTTCCTGCGTTTCTGACCTTGTCGTTTTTTTCTCTTAGTACGGTTTAGATCGTAATTAATTTAGATTTCGTACGCACAATTAAATTGCGTTTTCCGAATTTCAGGCAAAGGGTTCGTTCGTAGGGTTCTGCTTGATCTAAATGGTTGCGTGCAGACAGCATGTCTACTTTGTCAGGGACAGCCTCCAAAGGGGAGAAGTCAAAACCGAAATTTCAATCCTTGGATATAAATAGTTTGTACAAACATAGCAGGGTGAGTAGAGTATTCTTAATAAATAATTATTTTTACGCTAAGTGAAATGCTGTCTTCTTTGCATCTTATTGAAAAAATTGTTTTTTTTAATTTCCAGTTGCTTTATTCCTGTTTGCGCGGTTATTATTATTCCTTCCTTCGATTAGTAACTATCTATTCATATATGTGTATTTGCCTTGTGAAGAATAATTGGTACAAATAAGGAATGTAATTTTATAAGGTATTTTGCAATGAGGATGCCGAAAAAGGAACATGAAATAAATAAATTTTGTATTTGAATGTCTGTATTAATAATAAACGCTCACTAGAATTTTTATGTTGCGTTTTACATTCTATTATGGACAGTGTTGATACAAACTAGACAAACAAATTTGTATATCTCCATTTTTCATACAATTTGCCATTCAAGCTCTCAATTTGTCTTAACCTAACCTAGAAATATTTTATTAAGATCAAATCAAATGCCAAAGTATATGTTACATTAATAAGCACCTCTTTTTTCATTTGATATTTGTTAGATGTTATTCAATAAAGAGAAATGTTATATGGAACAGAGTGAGAGCAGAAAAATATTTGCAAATACATCGGAATCCTTTGACCAGGTTGATGGAGCTGCATAGAGGAGGGAATTGTTGATTTAGTGAATAAATAAACAAAGCCGAGTTTTATTTTAGATTTATTTGGTAGCGAAGTAGCATTGACCCCACCCCATTTTGTTTTTATTATTATTTTTATGTATTTTTTCTGCCAAGTCTCGTTGCGTTGGTCCGCGTCGTCACCTCGCGTTTCTTGCCCTCTTTCAGGGCGAAAATACGGAAAAACCAGCGCAAAAAAACTCGTCGGTCTACATCAAACATGGCATGCAAATATTGGGGAAGGTGCCAAGCGCGCGTCGCGCACCCGCCAATCTTCCGTCTCTGAAATCCGAGCACAGCGGATCGGACGCGGCGGTACCGTTAGTGCCTCCCGGCGCAACAGGATGGGGCAAGCAGCAAGACGCGCCGGCGAACCAGCAGCCCGCCGCGGTCGCCCAAAACGGTGCCAACAACAACGGCACCGTCGCCAACCACCATTACCCGACGTCATCCTCCTCCTCGTCCGCCTCTCCGAACCAGCCGCCGCAATTGACGCCTCACCAGCAGGCGATCGCGTTGCCCGTCACGACCCCCATTCCCCCACACACCAGCAAACAGGCCGCCCCACCTGCGCCGGGGGCGGCCGGCGCCGTCCCTTCCGCCGACAAACTGTGGAGTTCGGTAATGGCCGGACCGCAGGACGGACAACAGCCCCCCATTTATCAGAGCCCGCAGTTCCAGCACGAGTTCCCCAGCTTGTCCGCTGGCGATGGCGCCCCCGCGCGTTCCGACGCTCCGTACGGCGCGAGCGGCCTAAGCTTGCGGCCGCAGACCGAGGGCTCGTGGACCCAAGGCGGTCAGAGGCCCGGGGCGCCGGAATGCCCGGTCGCCAGGGCCGCCTCGGGCCAGTCGGGGGGCCCGCCGCAGCTTCAGGGCCTGGCAGGCCGCGCGCCCGAAGCTTTCCCGCCCCAAATACGCGGCGTGATGCCCTCGTTCATGTACAAAGGTAGTTTCCCGCAGGGAGGCGGCGGACCCGCTCAACAAGCGGCCGCGCCGCCGCCCAACCTTCAGGCGCGGCGCGACAACGGGCGACCGCCGCGTCTCGCGGACCGCGACGGGCCCGCGGAAGAGATGACCCCGAGGCCGATCATCCGCGAGGAGGAGCTCAGTAAGTTGGACGAGATGAGCAACGACCTGGGGTGGGCGGCGTCCGACGACATCGACTATAACCAGAAGCTCGCGTTCAGCGATGACGAGTCGGATCGCCAATCGAAGAAGGACGTCAGTAGGTCGCACCACCAGCACCACCATCAGCCGCCCAAGCAGCAGGAGGCGCGCGGAGATCGCCAAACGCCGCCGCGGTACTGGAATTCGGCGGCCCCGCCGCAGCCCTCGCGCGCTTCTAGCACCCGCGGTCGCTCTTCGGAGGACGAGGACCCGTGGGTGCAGCGACAGCGCCAGCACGAGAAGGACGTCGGCATGGCGATACAGCGGGCGAAACAGCGCAAAGAAGAGGAGGAGAAGCGGTTCAACGAGGAGAAGCAGCGGGCGGCGAAGAAGTTGCAGGAGCTCGACGAGAAGATGCGCGAGAAGCGGTTCCGCGACCGCGAATCTGAAGTGGGGACGATCAATCCGTCGAACGTGCCGCCGAAACCGATCAACCACCACGTCGACATCCCGTTGCCCGAGTTCCAAAAGGAGAAGGACGCGCGCTCGTCCGAAGCCCGTCCTCCTAGCGACGTCAAAGACGACGGTTCGTCGTTTAGACAGCTGACGTCGATCGAGGGCAAGAGCTTCCCGTCGCGTAAGCAGCCGCCGCCCACGCAACAGTCGTCGTCCTCGTCGAAGGCGGAACACCGCGAGCAAAACGGGCCGAGTTTCTCGCGCCAATTCCAAAACGACCTTCCGCCGCGGTTCAAACAGCAGCGCGGCGGTAACAACACCGCCGTAGCCGTCTCCGGCGGCGGCTACCAACAACAGCCGTATGATTTCGGGCGGTGGGCGGGGACCGGTGGTCCGGAAAGCGAGGAGCGCGCGACCGACTACAAGCGCCAGAGCTCGGACGAGGGCCACCGCGGTCCCGCCCACTCTTACGCGCGGTTCTACGGCGACGAAGGCGCCGCCCCGCACGACAGGTGGTCCGTCAAGGACAAGGCGCCGAAACACGGCGAGTACGGCGACGAGAAGAGGCCGCAGCGACCGGACAGTCGGCGTTCGCGCGACGGCGAACCGCCGCCGATGGGCTCGTGGAACGAGGTGATGGAATCCGCGTACGAGGAGAAGAGGGCGGAGCGCAAGGGCGCGCCGCTCGTTCCGGGGCCGATCACCAAGGACCGCATCGAGGCGGAGGACGTCAGCGAGAAACGGAACTTGACGCAGCTGAAGAAGGGCGAGATGGCGGCGGTGATGCCCGCCGCGAAGAAGCAGCAGGAGCTCGTCAAGAAGGAGGAGAGCGCGTGGGCCGACTGCGGGCCCGACGACGACGTCGCGACGGACGAGAGGCACCACGCGTTTGATTTTCGAAAACCGGCGCCGCCGCCGCCGCCGCAGCAGCAGCAGCACCAAGACGAACCGCCCAACAGGCACCCGAGGAACCAACAGCGGAGTTTCTCGCAGAGCAAGGGGTGGGGCGGCGCCGCCGGGTCCGAATATCATTTACCGGCGCAGCATCCGCGGGGATCGTGGAACGCGAAGCGGCAACCGCCGCCTCGGGGCGGTCACAAGCGCGACTATTACGGTCACGGAACGGACAGCGACGACGGCTCGACGACCGACAATCACTCGATCGAGTCGAGGGAGTCCAAGGCGAAACAGCGGGTCGGGGACAAGGACGAAAAGAATCGCGACAATAGCAAAACGGTCGGCGAGCAGAAGAAAGACGGGGGCGGGACGAGGAGCGGCGGATACGTGCCAAAGGGCGAGCCGTCGCGACACGGTCGGGGCGGAGCCAACTTCCGGGGCAGCCGGATGGGCGGCTTGGGCAAGCGGATCGACGGTTACGGGCCGCCGCCGTCCAAGAGCCCGTTCGGTGGCGGCGGTGCCGGCCACCACGACGACCGGGAAAAGAAGGCGGCGACCGCCCCCTCCCCTGCGGACGACGGACCCAACGACGCCGACAAAACGAAACTTAACCAGGAAGCGCTCGCTGCCGGAATAATCGGCAAAAGTCGCCAGTCGGCGACGGAGGAGGACAACAAGGGCCGGACGAAAGGCAGACCGGAAACGAGACGGAACAAGTCGAAGGGCAGAAAGGACGAGACCCAGGACACCAATTCCGAGAACTCGGACGGTAAAGATGGCAGGAGGTCGTTCGCGGGCAGGCAGCAGAGGAGCGGGCCCGGCATGAGGAGCAGGAATAACGCGCCGCCTCGCATGGGCGGCGGCGAGAAGAAGCAACCGTACGACGGCGCGAGCAAGAGGGCGGCGGACCCGCGGAACGCGTCGGCGCACGCCATAGCCGACATTACGTTGAAGGGAAAGGAGGACGGCGACGAGAGGTCCGAGAAGAACGAGCACAGCGGCGACTCGGAGGGTTTCCAAGAGGTGAAGAGCAAGAAGACGAGCAAGGAGCGGGTCAAGGGGGGGCCGGACGAAAAGAAGCCGCCCGCGAAGAGCGACGCGAAGGACGCCAAACCCGAGCGGAAGCCCGTCGGTAAGATAATAGAATTTAATTAAACAATTATTCATTGTAAATTTTTACCTCACTATGACATTGATTTCCAAAACGGGAACGTAGTTTTTTTTTTCTTTAAACCCCGCAGGCGGAGCGCCAACTAAAAATCCCGGCGTCCAACCGACCAAACAGCAACAGTTCCCGGCGCAGTCGCCAAATCAAACGCCGCCGCCGCCGAAAAACACCAACCAATTCGATTCGAGGGCGGTGCGTCAGACGAAGCTGCCGCCGCGATTTGCCAAACAAAAAATGCAGAAGCAGCAGCAACAGATGCAGCAACAAATGATAAGCGACGGCGGCGACGCGGTGGCGGGCAAACTGCAACCGCCCAACGTCGCGATGTACGGCACGAAGGAGGCGGTCGCGGCTTCCGCGGTCGGCGGATGCGCGTGGGATAAGCCCCTCGGGCCGCAGTTGCGTGGCGGCGTCGAGCGCGAACCGGCCCCGCCTTCCGGTATGCTCGGCATCGGGGCGGACGGCGCCGCCAAGCCGGAACCGCCGGCACCGAGTCCCGGCGGTGACAAGGCGGCGTCGGCGGCGGCCAAGTCGCCCCAACTGCCTACCGACAAACCGCTGCTGGACGGCGCTACTCCCCCCGTTAACACGATCATTTTCGAGAACACCAACTTTAAGTCGGCGCCGGGCGCCCGTGGGGCGGCGCCGCGTAACGGCGGCGACAAGGCGAGAGCGAAACCCGACGACGACATGGACGGCGGCTGCGGCGTGTTTGCCAAACCGATCAACGAATTGCTGCAGAAAGCGGAGGCGGGCGTTGGCGGCGACCCGGACCCCATTCAGTTGTCGGCGTTCAAGGAGGACACGTCCGACATGAAACTGGACTTTTTCGGCAGCGATCTCGCCCATCTGACAGACGACGGCGGGGCGAAAGTGACGCCGTCGAAGACGCTCTGCATGTCGAAGAGTATGACTAGCGCGAGCAGCACCATCTGCAACGCGGACTCGCTCAACATGAAAATCGCGTCGGTGAAGAAGGTGTGGGAGACGAGCGAACAGGAGACGGAGGACGGCGGGGGCGGGATCAGTTTCGGCGGCCCCGTGCTCGATCCGAGCGTATTTAAGGGCAACGACGGGCAGGACGACGGCCACGAGGGGTACAGTCCCGGGCCCAATCAGAACGCCTCGACGACGACGAACGTCTGCAAGGTGAGCGCGGCAGTTCGGTTAGCGTACTTTTTTTTTTTTCCTTAACCGTTAACGTCCTCTTCTTTACCGGCGGCCAAAAAAGGATTTATCTTTTTCCATATTCCAAAAGAGTTTCAATTTTTTCGTTTTTTCGAAAACGCCGGGAACAGGCGGAACACGTGTACCGAACCGAAAAAACACCCGTGTGCAGTAGATCCTTGTGCGAATAACAATCGCCCATAAAAGGAAACTTTTAAACGATCGCAGGTGAAACCCACTCAACAGGTGACCGGCGGCACTAGCCAGACGGTGACGACGAGCCAGCAGCAGCACTCGGCGATCGTGGCGCACGCGATGCTGTTGGGCACGCCGTTGTCGCCGCCGCCGATGGCCGCCCCCGCCGTCATCGGCGCCGGGGTGGGCCTCGGGCCGCAGCAGTACACGCCGGCGGCCGCCGGCCAGCACATGGGCTTTCAGACGACGGGCCACGGCCCCGCCGCGCCGGCCGGCTCCACGCAATACGGCATCCCGACGATCCCGTCCCCGCCCACCGTGCTGTACAATTCGACGCAGCAACAGCTGCAGGCCGCGGCCGCGCAGAGCGGCCTCTACGGCGCGTTCCTGCCGACCGCCGATCAAGCGAGCGTCTTGGGCGGCCAGGGGCGGAGCCAATTCTCGCAGTACGCCCCGTACCACGGCCTGAGCCAGGCGGCCAGTTCGCCGTACAACGCTCAGTCGGTAAGTTATAAAATTATTCGACTTTGAAGTTGACGAGTCACTCGGGGTGGAACGTGAGCGAATTTAAAATTTATTGCGTCGTACAATAGTCATTTTGCTTTCGAAAATATTATATATATATGATGACACTATATTCCGGGATATCATCCGTTCGCTCGTTGAACTCCGACTGGAATCCTGCAGACGTTTCGCCAAAATCTCACTTGGCATCTTCAATGCTCGCGCTCCGAAAACACTTGGAACACAGTATATATATATATATATATATATATATATATATATATATATATATATATATATATATATATATATAAATTATTATTATTGTGTTTATTTTCCAAAAAAGTGAAAAAAAAACTTTACAATTTAATCGTGACAAATTTTTAACAAAACATAATAATTGGCAAAGTATCCCGAAAGGCGCTTTTAAAGTAAACCTTTTTTGTGCAAAAAAAAAAAAAACACTCGTGGACATCAATCTAAAGTTTAGATTACCAACTACGGAGAATAACACACGGAAACGCAATTGACGAAAGCTTACAACTAACTAATGCCCTTGCGCGGGTGTTACTCGAGTCACAGCTGGTCGTTGCAGATGACCGATTAAGTCGCTAACTCACTGATTTTCGGACGGCCTCGCTTGTATTTATATACCTACCTACACACCTACCTAATTGCATTTTTCCGGTTCTTTCGAAAACGCGAGACTGTGTGGAAGTTTCGAGCGAGGAGGAGTCAGCTGTTTGGGTCGGATGTATTTGTGCAGAATGCTATTGGGTTTTGAATATCGTCGCAGGTAGTTTTTATGCGGGTCGTCACATTACGAAGTAAGAACGCGTTCAGACGTACTCCCGATGGTACTCTTAAACGGCCCGCGGGCCGTTTTTTCCCCATCACTGATCTAAACCACCCAAAAACAATCGCCAATCGTTATACAAGTCATATGATTCTTCTTCTATTTAAGTCAGGTTAAGTCGTTTTAACAGTATACTGGTATATTGTTTCGATTTAGGGACTTTATATGAAAAAAATCTTTGAAATACCGTCGTGTTATATCGAGGTAAAAGTGTCAACTATTTAAAATATACAAGTTTTTCCGACAAATATCGGCTGATTGGTTTTTAATGTTTTTTAAGTAAAATCGAGGAAATGTTTGTATAAGGTGATATTCTCTAATATTGTAAGAAAATCTGAAGGAAGAAGACATTCTGAACCGATATCTCGGCATATGATAACCTGGACATAATTAATGATTCGCACAGAGATAATTTTATTTCACAATTTGGACAGTTTCTTGAGCAATCCATAGGAGTATTGTCAGAGCCAATTGACATGACATAACATCCATAGCCAGTTTTTTTTTTTTTTTTGCGACAACTCTCCGCTTCTGTAGCCCTGACCAAACGCCGCGCCTGCTCCGGATATTCCCTGCCTATCGCCGACTTCTTGGAACCAGGACCATAGTCAACGCGTTTGACTCATTTTTCACTACGTTTTCAATGATGATTTGCTTTTGGTCCGTGTTTATGAGACGTACATGGTGATTTTACCTTTCAAAAGCGCTGAACGATTAGAACTACAATTAAGCGTCGTCGCGCGGGCGAATTCGGGCCGAACTGACGCCCCTTCGTCTCTTTTCGCCAGGTGTACCTTCAAACGGCGGCCCATCCGCCGCCGACCGCGCAAGCTCCGCCGGAGCTCTACCCGAACATAAACAGCTACAGGCTGTCGGCGACCGCGCCTTTCGGTCAAAGTCAGCAGCTGAACAATCCGACGACGGTCCTTATCAGTTCGACGAGCAACAGTCTGATGTCGGCGACGGTCAAGCCCAGCAATCAGCAAATCAGCGCGATAGGCACGAAAGCGGGCGGAGTAGGTCAAGCGTACCAGCAGCAATCGCAGCAGGGCCAGCAAGTGTACATGTACGACCCGTCGATTCAGGCGGCGAATTACTTGCCGAGCGCGAGCGTGATGCAGCGCGGCCACGCGGGGCCCGTGCAAAACAGCGTCATGCAGACGCTGCAGGCGTCGTCCTCGTACTATTCCGGATCGACGGGTAGGAATACGCGACTCCTTTCGGCTAGTGTCCGCCGGGATAAACGAGTTTCTCGCGGTTTACAGGCGCCCAGAACGGATATTTCCAGCAACCGGCTAATTCGACGTTGCAGTCCGCCGGGCAGCTGCCGCAGCACCAGGCCGGCTACGGGCTTCAGAGCAATGTATTCGGGACGCACGGTCAATCGCACAGCAACACCGGTCTTCAGGTATGACATCAGATTCGGGTGTACCGCTTAAGAACGTACAATACAATAACGCATTATAAATAGATAAATTGCAGAAAATTTCAACCCCTATAAAATGATATATAGCTACTTCTACCTATCAATAGACTGCTCGCACCTATTTGAATTTTTACAGAAAAGCTACTTAATGGGCTGCGCAAAGATAATTATAGGCCCCTCCTAAAGAAATCGTTTTAATTGCGGTATTATTTACCAGAAAAAAGGTTCACTGGCGCCCTTTAAATATGACGTCACACGCGAAACGTCATCGTTCGGCTGTCAGTTTTCGTGTAGGTGTTCGATTCGTCAACGTATATTATTACTACAGATACCAATCTTATTTGAAACATCAGTCAGATTTTTATTATTTTTGAATATGAAACACATAATTCAAGAAAAAAAAATTATAATAAATATTACATTATTACACTATACAGAACTTCCTTGTTTTCGTCAACATTAATGTTATGTTGCTTATAAAGTACATAAATTTTGTATTTAACCTCGTTTTTAACTTATTGTATTTACTAGAGCACAAGCAATATTTATAAATAAAGTCCAATCTGAGATATTGTTAGTTAATTGCACTGCGCAGATTTGGTTCGTAACTAATTCCGCAGATTAGCTCGTACTCCTATCGAGGAATTTCTTTTTCCGTAGATTTTGAGGTACTGGCTTTGTCTGTTTGTTGACTTGTTCTTTTTACAACTTGGCTTCCTGTCTTCCTGGCAAGTAAAAATGTGTAGAACAATATCTGTTACTATATCTAATTACAAACCGATCAAGCGTGCGGGAAGCGTCACTTTACCACGTTTCCCACTGATCCGAGCCACCTCGGACATTTCCGGGATTTTACCGCACGAGTTGGGGAGCAATCGGATGTTTTCGGAGATATTTCCCGCGCGTTGAATTTTTACGTTTGTCAACACGCTTCCCTCGTGACAAATAAACTCATGGGTCAATTGCCGTTTTCCGCACTTGTTTTCCGTATCTTGTTCCAACTGAAAAAGACACATCAGTTTTAAAGACAACAAAGAAAATTGTGGTTAAGATATTTATTATACGAAACTCGAGTTATATTTTCAAATTTAAATTATCTTTTAACGCGAAGATACATTAAAATAGTCGTCACAAAGAAAAACATTGTTTTTTGCAGAAATTTCGTCATAACCACGTTTCATTGCCTGCATCCACACATTTCGTCGGTTTTCATCTGTCGATAATTTAATAAATGTCTTTTGAGGGGTAAAAGTTGTTGTGCTTTTACAACTTGGCCCAAAACAATAACCAACCATAAACCATATCGAAAAACGTATCAAAATCTTCTCCACTATTCAACGCGTCAAAAATCAAAACAAAAGTTGCGACGTGACCGTAGCCTGAAATGCGAACGCCCCGTTTTAGCGGAAATTTAAACATTTTGAATTTTATTTGTTTAAACAAAATGTTTGGGGACACTTTTAAAGTTAATTACGTTATTAAAAAATATATGTGCACCACACACACACACACGATTATAGTAAAAACCGAATTGCATTGTGCTCGTTGTCTAAAGAATTCCGGTTTTAATTTGCTTTCAAAAAGTAATATTGATAGGACTTTTAAAAAAAGAGGAATGGTATTGTAAAGCTTTTAAATATTGTAGGAAAAACTTGTGTGAAAGAGAGACGTCCTGTGCGGTGGTGGAGAGATGAGAACCTTAAATCTAAGGTTTGAATGAACATCTGTCCTATGCGTTATTTTATTTGGCAAGTAAGGTGGACTGTTAAGTTGAACTGAGGTGGCTTTTACTGACTTACTTATCAAATGTAAAGCAAGCCAGTTATTACAAAGTATACTGACCATCAATTTTACAATAGGTTCATAAACTTAACAGACGCAACATTTTCTAAAAATGAAATTGAATTTCTGGGAAAAGGTTTCAACTTTAACTTACAACACTCGCACATTAATAGAGAATTACACTGCTTAGGAATCGATCGTGAATTAGCAATTAAGGACATTAACGATTCTAATTTAAAAAAACATGTATTAGCGAATATAATAAACTCTCAATTAATAGATAACAACAAACACAAAGAAATTTCTCAAATGTCACTAGTTAAAATTATCAAAAACAAAGCTTCTACAAATAACATAATATTTACACGTGCAGATAAAGGGAAGACAGTCATAGCTATCGATCTCCCAGAATATATTTCAAAAACCAACAATTTTCTTAAACCAGAACTTTTCCAATGTATCAAACACGATCCTACCGAGTTATATCAAAGACAAGTCAAGGATGTAATTACTAACTCCACACTATTTAGTGACAAAGACAAATATTTTTTAACAATTATGAATCCACAACCGCCTAAATTATATTCTTTAGTTAAATTACATAAACAAGCTTTGCCCATTAGATCAGTCGTGTCTTATGTAACAGCTCCAGCAGTTAAACGCTCTACAAAATTAGTAAATATTTTAAAGTTCCACACAGATTTTAAACCAAAATTTACAATAAATAATTCTTTTGAATTAATCAACAAAATAAATCCCTTCTAACGCCACAGGTTAACCCATTGGTGAAACAAGATTTATTAGATTGCTTAATAGTATCTTTAGACCAAAATTATTTTGAATTTAATGGACAGATTTATATCTCTAAAGAAGATTTGATTATGCGAAACCCACTTAGTCCTTTGTTAGCCGAGATTTTTATGGATAATTTGGAAAATATCATACTAGAACATCCTTTAAGTAAAAGTTTTTCATGGTGGTATAGATATGTGGACGATGTCTTTGCTTGCTTTGTTGGAACGGACAGACAATTGAATTCTTTTTTAAATTACATTAACTCAATACATAATTGTATAAAATTCACTATCGAGATTGTACAGGATAATTCTATTAATTTTTTAGACTTAACTATTACGAAAGTGCAAAACAATATATCATAAACCTTCACACACGCACACAGTCATACATAACAGCTCAAATATATATTTTATACACAGACTTCTTAATGCGCCACTCTCAACAGAAAATTACAACAAAGAACTTAATATCTTTAAACAAATTGCACTGAACAACGCTACAATCCGTCCATTATAGATAAAATTATAAATGAAAAACAAATACAAACAACATTAAACTCTATTTATCCGAAACCAAATTCAGAACACGAACAATTTAAAACAATTACATACATAGGAAAACCTAGCGAAATAGTTTCAAAACATTTGTCAAAATGTGGTTCAAAAATAGCTTTCAGAATTGATAATAAATAAATAATAAATCGAAATGTCCAAAATCCCAAAAATCAGGTGTCTACAGGTTGAAATATGGATCTTGTCCTAAAATTTATATTGGACAAACAGGTAGATCGTTCAAGAAACGCGTTAACGAACATATAAGAACGTTTAAAAACAATAGTCTAGATTCTAATTATGCTACACACTTAAACACAGAAAAGTACATTTTTGACGACAATTTTGATATATTACACACAGCCACAAAAAGTAGAAAATTAAATTTATTGGAAGTCATGGAGATTAACAAAATGAGACATTCGAATGTATTGCTTAACGATCAATTAGATTTAAATACCTCTCCTTTATTTTCGGTATATATAGTAGCAGGTAGTTTGTAAATAATACATTTGATAAAGACACGGTGTTGTCGAAACAATTGTCATGTCATAATATATAATTTCGTGAAAATCTGAACTTTTAGTTCTTATTTATTTGGGACTGTTAGGAGTGTAGTCTAACTTCCGATCGTCTTTTTGTCGTGATGAACTGCTTTTGGTCCGTGTTGATGAACATCTACTTGATTAGACCATCAAAAGCGCTGAACGACGGTCTGTATTTCCTCCACCCTTTCGTCCCGTTAGCAAACGCGATGCAACCGTAAACGTCGTTCCAGGGCTACAACTCGCACTTTCTCTCGACGTCGATGCAGATGGCGGCGGCGGCCGCGCTTAACGCGCAGCAATTCATGAAACCGAACCCTTACATGAAGAGCGTCGGCGGCGGCCAACAGATGGGCGGGGAGCAGGGAGTCGCGAGCGGGAACGCGGTGTCCGGCGGCCGCCCGCAGCAACTAAAGAGCCCCGGCGGCCAGGAGACGCTCTCCTCCGTCTTCAACTCGGGTAATTATGAATGGAGTTGGCAACATTTCCTTTTTGTTTTCCTCCGTTTTCTCTTCTCTTAAAACTGTCAGTGTTTGGGGTGGTTGCAGCGCCGCAGATACCGTCGCCCAAGTCGCGCCCAAACGCCAAGCACATGCCGCAGCAGTCGAGCCCCACGGCGCAGAGGAAGTATTTTTATCAGGGCGTCGGTCAACAGAATAACGTAAGTGGTCCGTTTTTCTTGAAAAATTTTCCTGACTCGGTGCGTTGTCTTACTGTCCTTACTCTCCAACTCGGCTATTATATCGGCAATTGTTTTTAAACGTATAAACAGTTTTAAAAACTTGCCAAATTCATAAAAATGGTAAAACTGTTTTTTAAGATGTAAAAATTTGAAATATTGAAGCCCCACTGTTAGAAACTTTGGAGTTTAAACTCGTAAGGTAACAAATAAGTTTGTTGGAGTTTAGTTTCCCTCCCAATAATATACAATAGGATCTGTTTTTAATTGGCTTTAAGTATAGTTTTACTTTCTTAGCAAATTATTAATTTTGACAAGGATTTTCGTGTTTTAATAAATTTAACATTTTGCCAAGGCTGTTTAGAATTTTTGTACATTTTCATTTCAAATCCAAGATGGCAGACCCATTTTAAAAATATGGAAATTTGATACCACTGTGGATAAATGATAAAATTAAAGTAATTAAGCTCTTATTATTTCTCTTATTTGGGCGAACATTATTTGACGGCCTTAACTTATGCTGTGCTCTGTTGTTGCTAAAGTATATAGACTAAAATTATATGATATAATTAATTGAAAATTGGCGGTAACCGTCTTTAGTTCGTTCTAAAAACCCCGGGTGGTCTATTCCGAAAAAAGTTATTTATTCAATGTAAAAAAGGTGTTAAACCAGAAAATGCGAGAGACCCGTCGCCTACACCTTTTATTCTGGTGATTTATATACGGGTGTGTCAGATATCAAGTCCCCGTAAATAAAAGACGGCGATAAATCTGACAATATTGGTCGACAGCAGCGTAGGCCGCGTCAAAAGCTTCAGTTTTCTGATACACGCTGGTATAAATGTTTGACACCAGTTTGAAGTTATTAATTTAAAAGTATTCCATTCATTTTGCGAAAGTTACATTGCGGGCCGCGGAAAAACGAAAACGGACTGCGAAACCGATTTTGTACATTACGTTCCCGTTACTGGAAACCATTTGGTGACAGGTTCAGCAGCGGTACCCGACGCCGATCCAGCGGCCCGTCAATTTCCAACAGCAGAACATGAACCCGGGTCCGCAAAACAACCCGGCCAATCAGAAGCACAGATCTAACACGAACAAGCCGCCCAACAGGCAATATTATAGCGGCCAGAGTGAGTATTCGCGGAGTGGGGGGTACCGGCGGTAGTAGGGGGACTGACGTCGGACATCCGCAGGCAACGCCCTCTCAGCCGGTCAGACCGACAAGGGGGAGGAGTCGAAGGCGGGCGCGGAGTCTAACGCGGTGAAAACGATGAACGCCAGCCCCACGGAAATGATCAAGGACAACATTAAGGAGGAGGCGGCCGCCTTGAAGGACTAATCTTTAAGTTAAGCACTAAAAAAAAAATGGTTTACGGTTTTTTTAATTATGGAATTGCGAGCAGAGCGCACGTTTCGCGCGTTTCCTACAGATTCCTAGGACGAAAGTGTATTTAACATACTTAAAACAAGAAAAAGTTATTTATTACGTCGGTAGGTGCTGAAAAAACGTCACCGGTTACTAACCTATAGGTAAGCTTCGTGTACGTGAAATGACGGTGTAAAAATTCGATTTCGAGTAAAACGCGGAACAGAGAAGCGAAAAAAATCAAACCGCGGAGTTGCGGCACAGCTTTCTCCAAGGCACTGTAGCTTCGCCTCATGTAATTTTTCTACCATAACCTTCTCCTTTTCGATAGGACTTTTTACGCGTAGCGGGGACGGCAATATAGTGTACACGATGTGAGCAATTATTTTTTCTGCATCCGAGTTCGAAAATTTAGAAACTGCGTATTCGTTTAGTGAGAGAAGTGACACACAGCGAGATGTTGTTCGTGAGACGATAGACAAAACCGTAGGACTGCCTGTTTTGTTTTTCTTTACAGTATCAGCAGATTTACTCGGATAAAACTATGTCTTAAGATATTATTTAAACATTCTAGTAAAATACATGGTTTAAATAAAGTGTACGGCAGTTTCCGTTCCGATATATCCTTTTCTAACCCCAACCCCCTCCGTCAACTGACTAACACCGTTGCATTGGAAGGTTTATAGTTGCCAAACACGCCTATCGCGAGTTGGTTAAGATCCTTTATTTTTCTAGAATGCACTCTGGACTGTACCTCCTTTTCTCAAGGCCTCTGCCCCTAGCAAACTTTATCCATTATTGTAATTGATCTCAAAAAAAAAAAAAAAAAAAAAAACTGTATATGTAAACGTATAATTTCTAAATCGACATGTTAAGACAAAATGAGAAACGCTTTTTCCGAATGAATTAAAAACTGAAAAAAGGCGGCACTGTTATGTGAAAAATTTAAAGTTAGCCATTGCAAAATATATGCGGCAGGTAAAACGAACGCCTTAACCGTGCAGCTCGCCACTGTCCATGGCGTCCTGATAACTTTTGCCCTTCTTATCTTGCGAATCCAGCTTTATCATGTCGTCTATCCGCAAAATCGTAATGGCGGCCTCCGTTGCGAATTTCAACGATTTAATCTTGGAGAGGGTCGGCTCAAGAACTCCGGCTTTCTTATTATCCCTGACCGTGCCCTCGATCAAGTCCAGCCCGACATACTTTAAGTGCGCGTGATCGACCTACCGAGAACGAAAATTGCTGGGTAAAACATTCAACTCCGGCGACATATATACTGACTTTGGTCTGACTGGAATTGTGGTATGCCCTCAACTTGGCTACCAGGTCGGTGGCGTCTTTCGCCGCGTTCACCGCCAAGGTTTTGGGGATGACGAGCAGACTCCTCGCGAATTCGGCGATGGCCAGCTGTTCCCGGCTGCTCAGCGTCGTCGCAAAGTTCTCCAAGTAAATGGATAACGCGGCCTCGACGGCCCCGCCCCCCACGACTACGCTCTTCGATTCGAGTACCCGTTTAACGACGCTGAGGGCGTCGTGGACCGACCTCTCCATCTCGTCGCAATAGAAATCGTTCGGGCCGCGTAAAATGATCGATGCCGCTGTTCGCTGTTTGGGTCTGTCGCAAACAAAATCGCTAATGTACCCCGTTTTTATATATACACAATTTCCATTCAGTTACGAAAAAAGACTTTTAATGGTATTGATTACACAAACAGTGCTCTCGGTTTCGCTCAAAACTGAAAAAACTGTACAAATGAACTACTACTATATATATAAAAAAGCAATATGACCAGAAAATATCTACACAAAAGGGTTAATTTCATGGTACTTGGAATGGCAGATCGCTTAATAAAATCTCTTTCTGCCACTAGTGAGAAAAACTCCATAAAAACTGAACTGATTTTATTTTAATAGAAGCGCTTTTTGGTTCATTACCAACAGGGGTTCACAAATGAGTTACTTTCTGTCAAAAAAATGTTAGTACAAACTACTTTTTATGCCAACGTCACTGTTATGGCTGCGCTCAAAACTGAAAAACTGTACAAATGAACTACTACTATATATGGTACTTGGACGATAACGCTTAATAAAAACCCTTAAAAAAAACAATATGACGGGAAAATATCGACACAAAAGGGTGAATTTCATGGCACTTGGAATGGCTTAATAAAATCTCTGCCACTAGTGAGGAAAACTCCTCCATAAAAACTGAACTGATTTTATTTTCATAGAAGTGCTTTTTGGTTCATTACCAACGGGGGGGTTCACAAATGAACTACTTTCTGTCAATAAAAATGTTAGTACCAACACTGTTACGGCTTACGTTTTAATGATGATGAGCTCGTCGTCGGAGATTCGTTCTTGTGTAACCTCGGCGGCTTCTCCGACCATGCTGGCTTCGAATGATTCTTCACCTAAAGAAAAGACAAATTCTCTATCCGTTATTGCCAGCAATAAACTATAAATTACCCTCCATGTTGGTGAGAGATGTGAGGAAGGTGGCCCCGGTGGCTTTGGCAATGCGCTTCAGATCGGCTTTTTTCACGCGACGCACGGCCATGGCGCCGGCTTCGACGAAATACTTCAGGCACAGGTCGTCGATACCGCCCGAGCAGAGGACGACGTTAACGCCGGTCGCCAGTATTTTTTGGATCCTCTCCTTGGAGATGTCAAGTTCCCTCGACCTGATCGCTTCTAGTTTGTCCGGGTCGGTGACCAGCACCTGAACTCCCATCTTCATTTTAGCCTTTTTCAGCGAAAAATCGAGACACGCGAGTTTGGCGCCGACGACTTTCTTCGTCATCGCTTGGCTCGCAACAGTACAATTCAAGGCGTAGCCCTGCACCAGGATACTCTCCCTGGCGCTGCGCCCGTGTGCTTTCAGGATATTTACGGCCTTGATCGGGTATAGGGGGTTGCCTTTCGGGTCTGTCACTTTGATCGCGTAAGCGGCTTCAACCACCATGGACGAAAACAAATCCGCATCACTGAATATAGGTTAGGAAACTACTTTACCTCGCTAATCATGGGAAAGAATTAAAAATCTATATAAGGATACGCGCCGATGATTTTTGAGCTCATGGAAGTTTTCGCGACGTTTACGATACAGTCCTTTCCCAGCTCATCAACCGGAATGGTCAGATGATCTTGGATGTATCGGCAAGCTTCTTTGCAAGCCAACCTGTAACCGCTGATGATTGATGTGGGGTGAATTTTCTGTTTCACCAATTCGTCCGCATTCTGTAGGGTATATTAAATTATTCTTAAAAAGAGTTCTATAACATCTATATTTAAAAATGGTGGGATGAAATTACTAATTATAGATGGATTTCAGTAATTAAAGATTTTCCAAAACTTTTTGAGAAGCGTATATATAATAGTTTTTGTGTATTTATAAAAAAACACAAATGAAAAAAAAACGATTGGAAGACATACCTCCTAAATATTGTAGCAAAATTTAACTGGTAACTATTTAACTTTACCAAGGGGTTATATATTTCGTCGCGATATACATTCCAAAAGTAGGAAAAGTGCTACGAGCAAATGATTATGAAGCTGTTATAATGACCGTTACCTTTAACAATTCGGCTGCTATGATGACAACTGAAGTCGTACCATCACCGACTTCTTCGTCCTGTAGCTGCGCCAGCTCCACGAGCACTCTGGCAGCCGGATGTTCCACTTCCAGTAGCCTTAAAATGGTAGCACCATCATTGGTAACTGTAACATCTCCTATGTCGTCCACGAGCATTTTGTCTAACCCGACGGGTCCCAAAGAACTCTTGACAATATTTGCGATTGAGGCTGCCGCCATAACTAATAGAAACGATATAAATTTACGAATGTTACTTTAAACCACACCTGGCCATAGTGCATGTCTCGCTTTTAAGGTTAACTAGGCTTACTAAATCAAAAGCGGAGGCATACGTCTTACCATTTTGCGTGCGAACCGGGGCCCCAGACGTTCTCTGGCCAGCTACGGACAAAGGGCTAGCACTAATAGACATTTTTTATAGCATAAGCTGACGACCGCACCGCAATTTACAACAATCACAAGAACTTGGACCCGTGGATAATAAAATTGTAGATGCCAGACGAGCACAGATAAACGGGCACGATCGAGTTGATGTTTTTTTTTTCAACGGTAAATTCAGAAACCTCAGCCTATTATGGATGATTTACGATATAACTGACAGCTGACAGTTTCTAGCAGCTTCTATATATTTATTTTAAATATCTAGTGGGCGCGATAAAAAATAGTAAAAAGCTACAAGAGCTATAGGCCCTGCCTATGCCGTTCATAGATTAAGTGCCGATAATACAGGAACGTATGAAGCAACTTTGGGGATTCAAAATGAACATGGCCTCTGTCAGATCGTTGTTTGGGTGCATAGATCTTGTTAAGCTTGCGGCGCATCAATTTTTACCGTGGCAGGATCACTATGTTATTTAATAGTTATATGAATAATACCGAATAGCTGCTCGATATAGAAGCTGTGGCTATGCTTATAGAACAGGAATTATACAATAAAAAAATATTAAGATGGGCCAACAAAGATACGACAGATCGCCGTTTTAAAATCGTACGGAGTGCGCACGACGTCACGCGAAGCTAAAAATTTGAATATGAGTATTTATGAGATAGGATTCTTATTTATAGTGCAGTTGCAAAAATTTGTTAGTTATAATTCTTTAGCTTAAAAAGCAAGTTGCTATTAGATTTGTAGAAATCAAATATGCAGAAACATATAAAAAAATCGTTCCGTTTTGCTTTATAAAATGTATTAGAAGATTTATAAGTTAATGTAAAAATAGGCGCGAATTTGATTAATTTCATTTGCACTTATTAAACTAAGATTTTTGGAAATTATTATATATTATTATTATTATTATATTGATTATCCTTTTATTAACGATTATTAAAAAGTCTAGGTGCCTTTAACATGATTTGCAAATGTTAAGGATTTTTGTTTGAGATTTGTTCTTTGAAATAATTTTAGTATAAATCACTCTATTTTTCTGCAATTTTCTATAGATTAATTATAAATGTACAGTTTGAAAAGAGCAAAAAATTTGAATTATGAATAAGAGTCGTAAAAGTCAACACATTTTTTTGCTAGCATAGCGTAGTAGGATAGTAGTATAGAGTAGTAGCATAGTATGCATGATATATGTATTATGGTTACGACTGGGACAGAAATCAAACTACTTTCATGGCATCTGGATTAACGATAATGTATTTCTCACATTTCATCGTCTAAACCTCGCTAGAGAAGGATCAACAATCTCATAACAAAACAAAACAAAACAACAAAACATTCTCAAATTTACAAAATATTAATAAGGGAAAATAATTTTTCCTAACTCAGAAATAGGTTTTGAGTTAGATATATTTACCTTATATTATTTTTGAAATGCCTTTTTCTCCAAAACTTAAAAATGGAAGTATTAAGTAATCCTGAAAATTAAATACTTTTATTTAAAAAAATTATTTGTTTAAAATTTATTTCAAATGCTTGTATTAAATTATACGTTTCTTTATTTATTTATTTACTTTATTTATTAACATGAAGTGTAGAAACTACTTATTCCAATAAAGGATTAAAGTTAAAAAATAAATGTCCAATATCAAGATTTTTTTAGGTTGGAATTCAGTTACATGCTAAGCCAATAAAGGGTACATTAAAAAAAGAAACTTACCTGATTTATACATTTATCGGGTCTGCCCGTTTGCAAGCTATCACCCAAATCTTTTCAATGTTTTCGTCATTAGGGAACCGAGAACAGCATCAAATCCCTCGAAAAATGTTTTAACCCGCTTATCTGTATTGCGGCCCGCCACAGAACATCGCATTTTGATAAAGAATAATTAATCCAAACCAAAAAAAAGCACTGAAAGTCTACGAAAACCGAAAAAACAACATGACATTTGCTTGGAAATCCCGCCAAATCAAGCTCCGCGTGACGTCAATGAGGTGACCCGTCGGTTCCGCCCACATTTTTGTTTTAACCAATAAGCTTCTTGGCGTTCAACAAACAACATAGGCGCTGACGGTTCGTCCTTTGTGATTTCTGTGGAAAGTGATTAGTGTATGAAGATCCCTGCCTAGAAAGAAACTAGCGCAAAGTGCAGGTTAGTGTGTGAAAATTTTTGTTGTACTAAGGCCACTATATTGTCTAATAGGTATATGAATAATACTATACGTCTTTTATTAATACATTTTACTATACAAAAAATATAAAATTACATAAAATACAAAACGTGATGATGCATTAAAACGAAAACAATAAATAAATATCCATACATAAATACTTTGAAAGAAACTTATAGACATTCAGAACTGTTTATTACCAAGACTGTGCGCGCGTTTTCACGCAGAAGGTAGCTTGAAGTTCATATATTCGTGACCGTCGGGGGTAGACGAAACGTTCATGTACTCGTTGCCGGGAGACTCGACGGATTTCGATTCAGGCGCGCTCATCAGTCCTGCAAATTAACCACCATATTACACATTCCAATAAGCACTTTCAAAAATTTTAAAATCCCCCTCATTACCTGGTACCGGTAATCCGTTGGGAGGAAACTGGATGTAAAACTGATCGTTCAGTGGTAGGTTGGTCGGCCTGGTAACCGGCTTCTCTTCGATCGTCTCGAAGTGGTGCATGGCCGAAAATTTTACCGGTTTCGGAACCGGCACCGGCGTATAATTTAGCTGCATAATCGCTTTGTCCAGCTCGCACTTGAAGTCGTTCTCGTTGTGGCTGCTGCCCAACATCATCTAATATAACCAAATAATATAGGATAGTTATCGCGACTGTGTTAGAGAGAGAACCCACCTTCCTTTCTTCGTTATCTGAGTGGGTTCCGCTGTCTCCCAAGCTGCACCCGCTTATGGTGCTCATCCTGCCCGATGAGCCGCTCGAGGAAGTGCTGAGACTGCTGATGGGTCTCGAACTCTGATTCAGCGCCGTTGCGGGCGTGGAAATGACTTCTTCAACGCTGTGACTCTTGTGCCTCGAGAACAGCCGCTTAATGCGGTCGAAAGGCGTCGGCTTCTTCATCGCGTTCTTCATCTCCTGCTGTATCTTCTCGTAGCGCAGCCGCATCTCCGTCAGCTGCTCCTGCTTCTCCTTGAACGACTTCTGCACGTCGTTGCGGTTCTTCCAGTCCTCCACCAGCTTCTCGACCTGGGGCAACGAGTGCACGTTGTTCTTGAAGTCGTTGATGATTTCTGCCAGCTCCTTCTGCACTTTGTCCTCGACGACGTCGATTTTCTTGTGGTGCTTCGATTTGTGCTCTTTCTTCGCGCTGTCCGACTTTTTGTTCGGCTCCTCTCTCGATTCGGATATCGGCACGGCGGAAGTGGACGGCACGCCGTCTGCCGATGCTGTGGGGGCGTGGCCGGGTGTGCTCATCGCCATGTACAGGTTGCTGCCGTACTCGCTAGAGGGTGTGGTTAATGGAGATCTGTGTACGACGGGTCTAGGGGCGGGGCACATTTTGTAGAACTCTTGGACGACGCTTTTCGGCGCCAGGTAGCCGTCTTCATCTGAATAGTGACAAAAATCAAGGCCAAATGCGTATTGCCAAACTACACTTGCCTTCATCGGGGGACCTCTGCCGTAGACTCATCTCCTTCAGTTTCGTGTACATGGTGGTGACCTCGTTCATGTTCATGTACCCCCTGAGCATGCTAGAGAGCTGGGCGAACCCGCCGTTCTCTGCGATTTCCAGCGGGGTCAAATCGAAGACGTTCCGGATTTCATAGGCGACGTCGGCGCCTGGACAGTCGAGCAGCTGGACCGCCAATTTTTCCAGGCCGAATTTGGCCGCGAAATGAAGCAGGGTGGGAAACTCTTCGTTGCCTGTAAATCAAACGCGCGCAGTGCAGGATACCAAAAAAACTTTGAAAACTGTGAGTATGTTAAAAAAACCAAATGAAGTTTCGCTTACTGTGTTTATGGACTGGTACAGTGGCGGCGAACGGTGTACTGTGATTGGACAACAAATTGAAGTGGGGGGGTAGATTTTTCTGGAACCCGTGGACCAGCCAATTGTCTAAATGTTCTCTATCAGCCGGCGTGAATCCAAGAGTCTGCAACCACGAATTGATATTTTGGGAAATTTAACATTATTCTTGGTTATCAATTTGACTTTCGCAGTAATGAAATTTTTTACTTTTGAGTTTTTTTTATCTAGTCAAGAGAAAATGTGGATATCCATTTTTAATGTTCTATTATCGCAGAATTAAAATTTATTTCTTCCCGCGCTTTTCACATTTTGGTCAATTAGTTCCAAAAAACAATGAATTTGATAATTTCCTCTTTGCTAAGAGTAAAATAAGATTGTTAAAGGAAACGCAACGCAGATGAAGATTCAGTAAACGAGATGAACGATTAATCTGATCTGATAATTAATTGTTAAGGAAAAGATCTAGTAAGAGGAAAAATCAAACTTTTACAACAGACGGAAAGTCGATCAGGCTCGCTATAAAAAAAATACATTCACTTTAATCACGATTAATCTGATAATTGAAGAATTGAAAGAATACAAATTTTGCAACAGACAGAAAGTCCATCAAATAGCCAGCTTACTCCAAAAAAAAAAAAATTGCTCAGCTATCGTAGACCTTGTATATCAGCAAGTGATTTAACCGATTAACCTCCCCCTCAGCTTTAGAAATAATAATAAAAAAAAACGAATTAGTCGATAACGTTTGTCACAAAGACATCAAAGGGGCTTTATCGTTCTACCTGGCACATGAAATCGACGGGGTTATCGCTGGACCGCAAAATCTGCTCGAGCTCGCGCAGGCGGCTCTCGCACTTGATCGGTCTGCTCCCGATTATGCTCCCGTTCTTCTCCACCAGGACGTTGACTATCGACGTGACGTCGGTCAGATTTTCCGGTACGGTGATTTTTATCACGTACGGGTTGCGTCTCTTCACCGATTTCACCTCCTGGAGGTCGCCGTTGCGCTCGATCGATATTTTCACGATGTCGTCCTTCTGCAGGGGGTAAGCGAGCAGGACGAACACGCTATTCTGGCCCTGAAAATTAACGGAGGGTAATCCTCGAAGCAATGTAATGAAACGATGTTCCATCTCGTATATCGCACGTCCAGGATGTCTTAGTGAAAATTTGCCAATCAGCGATGAGGCAAGTAACCAGGACAGGTATACTTGGAACAGGAATATAGTGCTTTTACAACCGATCCCGCGATTAACTTTGCCAACTGTACATAAAAAAATTAGTACAAAATAACCATTTTTTACGCTATATTGTATTATATTTCTACATAGTATCATTATTAATATACAAAATATTAAATATAATAATAATAAAGGATAAATCTAAAATAAAATTACAAATTATTTTTATCACCTACTTAAATTATTTAAAATTATTCGCAGAATCGCCTGGTTCTAATTATTATTTGTTCTATATTATTTGCAATATGGATATAGGATTGTTCTGCTTTTTCTATATGTTTAACAGAATTTGCCCAACTTTGTGGAGGGACGTTAAAAACATCGGTTTCTATAAGTGTGAGGACATTGGAGTTAACACATTAAATACGCAGTGGTAACTGTATGCCCTAAATTTTTTGCATAATTATCACGGACGTATTCCTTTTGTAGGTTCAAAATCTTCGTGAAAATAAATGTCTTTATTTTATACATGTACTTTTGGATTGTTGCTTTTGTGTCACACGAGGAAGGGGTTTTGGTCAACAGTCTACTGTGATAACTTGCATTGCTCATTACAATTGCGCTATTAGGAGGAATGTTTAGAACGTTCACTGAGAGTCAAATAAACATAGTTTATACCTTCCTTAGTCTCAATAGAATAGTGTTTTCTACATTTGGGCGGGAGCATCTCCTGAGGTACGCTAGACTCGCACATATTTTTCGTAATTCGCACACAGGTAGGTATAAAATTATTTTCTATTACGGATCACAATTTCCCGTCGGGGGTTGCTAGTCCCCCATCGGGCGCCTCCCCGGGTGGCGGATAGGGGAACGCCTCTCAGATATGAGTGGTACCGGGGAAATGAAATACCCGGGGTGGACCAAAACTAGCATGGCATAGGGACGCAGCTATGACATTACTGGGTCGAGGCTACCGAAGAAACTTCATTTAAGGCTCGGTACCAGAAAATCTTTGGCGACTATCATATATCGATTGCAACGGCAAAGACGCTGCGATGAGGAAAGCAACGGGAAAGTACCTCATTAAACTCCCCAGGACAAATCATCAGCATGACTGGAAAAGCTAAAGTTACGGCCCTCAGTCCCCGGCAGACCTTTGATGGTCAGGGGGTGCTAAGAATCTCCGGGCCAGTCATGAGGAAGATTGCTACATGGAATGCGCGAAGTATGTTTGAAGCTGGCAAAGTCCACAATGCTATAAAAGAAATGAGAAGGTTGAACATCGAAATCCTTGGGATTAGTGAAATGCGATGGCCAAGGTCAGGTCAAGTTCAGATAGAGGGGCATCAAGTTCTGTATGCAGGTAATGATGACCGTAATCATTATAACGGTGTGGGCATCATCGTGAATGAAGAAGTGAAAGGGGCGATCAAAGCATTTGCTCCAATATCCGATAGAGTGATCTTACTGCAATTAAACGCACATCCATTTAACGTTAATATAATTCAGACCTACGCACCGACCTGCGATCACTCTGATGAAGAGGTGGAATTGTTTTACAAGCATCTAGACTCGGCAATGGAACTGGTTAATAAATCCGACGTTACTATTGTAATGTGTGACTTTAATGCGAAAGTCGGGAACAGACCGAGAGAAGGTATAGTTGGCGAGTACGGTCTTGGTATGCCAAATGAACGGGGCGATAGACTGGTGCAATTTTGTCAGGAAAGGGAGCTCGTGATTACAAACACTTTCTTCAAGCTGCCTTCCCGCCGCTTATACACATGGAGATCAAACGCGGAAACCCTGGATAGAATTGTACGAAGCCAGTGTGTCTTTGAGAATAAACCTTAAAAAGTTAAAGACCAAAACAAAAACTAGGATGATCGATACATCTAAACTTAACAACGAAGAACTTAGAACGGAAGTCAAAGAAATGCTCAACGAAAAGTTGCTAAATACTAATACTAAGGAAGAAGACATTGAAACATCATGGAATGTAATTAAACATGCCTTAGTTGAAACTAGCAAAGCCAAGCTCAAGACAGAAACCCGACGTAAGAATAACTGTTGGATGACGGACGAGATCTTAGACCTGATGGAACAACGAAGGCTTTTAAAAAACAAGAACCAAGTAAAGTACTCTCTGCTTCAGCGAGAAATTAGAAGGAAAATCAGACAGGCAAAACAGGAATGGTTGTCCGGTCAATGCAGTGAAATCGAAAGTCTGCAAGCCAAACATGATTTCTTTAACATGCATAAAAAGATTAAAGAAGCGGCCGGATTATATAAACGCAGGTCCACAGGATTACTAATGGACCAACAGGGGAAAGTCATCCTTAATACCGAAACAAAATTAAAGGAATGGTGCAGTTATATAGAGGAACTTTTTGGGGACATCAGAGACGGGCTCATGGACTTGCCAGGAGAAGGACTTGATATAACCAGGCGAGAGGTGGAACATGCAATACGCCTTGCAAAGAGGGGCAAAGCGCCAGGACCCGACGAAACACATTCTGAACTCCTAAAACTACTTTTAGAAGAACAATCACTTAACGTTGTGGTAAGGCTATTTAATTTAATTTACAGGAGTGGTAAAATTCCCAGAGATTGGCTGCTTTCGACATTTGTAACAATACCAAAGAAACAGAACGCCAAATATTGCAGTGATTACCGCACAATTAGCCTCATGAGTCACGTTTTAAAAATATTCCTGAAAATCATTCATGCCCGTATTTACAACAAATGTGAAGAGAATATGAGCAATACACAGTTCGGCTTCCGAAATGGGATGGGTACACGTGAGGCCTTGTTCAGCATGCAGGTGTTGGTGCAGAGATGCCGGGATGTGTCCGTAGATGCGTTTGCGTGTTTCATAGATTATGAGAAGGCTTTCGACACCGTCCAGCACAGTAAACTCATTGAAATACTAAACAAACAAAACCTAGATGAACGAGATATACGAATAATAGCAAATCTATATTGGCACCAGAAAGCAAAAATAGTAGTGAACGGAGAGATGTCGGATGAGGTTCGAATCATGCGTGGTGTGAGACAGGGCTGCGTGCTGTCGCCTCTGTTATTTAACCTGTACTCCGAAAGCATTTTTGAAGAAGCATTATACGAGAAACACCAAGGTATTATTCTCAACGGTACAGTTATAAATAACTTCAGATACGCGGACGATACTGTGCTTCTCGCGAGTACGCTGGAGGACCTGCAGGAACTTTTGAACTGCGTGGCAGACAGAAGTAGGGAGATGGGACTCAAGCTGAACATCAAAAAGACTAAATGGCTAGTAGTAAGCAAACATAGAGATGTGTGGGGTGATTTGGAGTACGACGGAAAACCCATAGAACGCGTCCAACATTACAAATATTTAGGCTGCATACTTAACGCAGAGTGGGACAACACACAAGAGATAAGATCCCGAATAGAGCAAGCCCGGGGCGCCTTCGTTAAAATGAAGGCCGTGTTATGCAGCCGCGATATCGATTTAGCTTTGAGGATTCGCATTCTCAAATGCTATGTCTTTAGTGTGCTCATGTATGGGGCCGAATCGTGGACGCTGACCGAAACCATGTGCAGAAGACTGGAGGCTTTCGAAATGTGGACATACAGACGCATGCTGCGAGTCTCGTGGGTTGACAGAGTCCGAAATATAGACATATTAAATCAACTAAACAAACAAACAGAAGTCATACACACTATCAAAAAGGGAAAACTAGAATATTTCGGACATATTCTACGCAACACAAAGTACCAAATACTCCAACTCATTATGCAGGGCAAGATAGATGGTAGGAGAGGCCCAGGCCGTCGCAAAACTTCCTGGTTGAAGAATCTGCGGCAGTGGTATGGTGTTAGCGCCAGGACACTTTTTAGAAGAGCGGTGGACAAAGTCCAGATTGCGCTGATGATCGCCAACGTTCGATAGGACAAGGCACGCTAAGAAGAAGAAGATCACAATTTTACCCGAATTTAAATTCCGAAACTTTAGGTAATAATCTTGTTGCAGTGTATGTTAATAACCACCCTTGGATAGTCCCATTCAAAAGCAATTGTTCACTTTCCTATATCTATGAACAGACCATACCTCTTGCCGAATTACGTTTACGGTACAATCACTAAATTTTGGTGCAGTGTTATTTATTCTTATATTCGCTTTCAACTCACACTAGCGGAGTTGCCACTAATCGTTCTCGATAAATATTTTCTTCTCCTATTACTCGTTTTTCACAGTTATACCAGCTTTGACCTAAGTCTGCAGTTCTTGTAGTGTTAAAACACTTTTTACTTTATAAGCATCTTAGATTATACGCCTAATTAGATCTGCGTGTTTTTCTTTAACAACTCGCGAATTACCAGCATCTTCTCTCACGTTTCCCTTGACTATCCCATTTGCAACGATTTTTCTTACAGTTGACTTCAGAACTCTGGTTATGTCACTTCTTGCTGCTCCTACTTCCCCTTCTGAATTGGTTTAGCATCCGCAGACAAATGGATCCGTTTTGCTGAAGCAGGTCGTCTTTTAAATTGTTATTAAGTTTGACTACCGTCTCCGCGTTGTTTCCAACAACAACAGGGGAACATCTGCTTCATGCCACGGTCTCCACATTATAAAATGTTAAAAAACAGGAACTTTCAGAAAATGTTTAATTGAAGATTCTAATAAACATTGATCTGTATTCTTATGACGTACCTTTATCTACCCCGAATATCTTACATAGAGTACAGGTACCCTTAACCTTTGAAATGTCAAAGGGCAGGGTCAAAGTTCGAGAATTTGGTTGCAATTTAGATTAAACTCTTAGGAACGATCGATACATATCACCTGATGTTAAAATAAACGCTTCTACTTATTCGAAAATACCCCGCAGCATCATCATCAATCAAAGCGGTTTCTACAAAAATTACAAAAACAGCTACTCGATGCAGAATAAACATCTGGGTTTCACCACGGTCCTGCGAAGGTCTGCGGTTAAGGTACTGTAAAATACTAAAAACGCTAAAGCAATAAATGCACTATATTTTTGGTCGTATTATAATATTCTAGAGCGGCCTCTCATCTCCAATTCTTCACACGAGCGAATTATTTCGAATTTTAATTTCAACCAATTAGGGACCTTGCGGCGTTCAACATGGTCGCCGACATGCAGCACGCGGCCTTATTCTCGCGCTAAAAACTGTTAAACGAGCGCCATTTTTATATATCGCATGAAAGCATAATTATTGTGAACCGCTGCCCAATAAACAAACACATACCTGCCGTATCTTTTTCGGGGTGACCGAGAAGCACGCCTTCTCCTGCGCCATCACGGAGCTCTGCTGTTTCCAGATTTTCGACAGGATTGTCATCGCGTGGCCCAAGAACTCCTTGGTGAAGGTCTCGTCTTGGTCCTGGCCAACGGACTGTCTCTGCCATTGATGGTACGTCGGCAACGCTAACGAACACCCGATTAGGAACCACGGACCTCATTCGCGATGTGTCGCATCACCTTTTTTGTGGGTTTCGGTTAGGTCGGCATCCGACACTCCCAGAAGAAGCGCCAACGTCCTGTCGTGCTGAAGGATCTTCGTTAATTCGGAAACTCCGTCGCAGTGTTCGGCAACGAACTCCAAGAAGCTCGGGCATACCACGACCAGCTGGAGTTTCACCCCGCTGGTCTTCTCGTGGAAGTCCTTTTCTTGCGGTTTGTTCGTCAAAAGGTCTTCCAGGCCCAAGTTTTGTATCCTGGTAACAATCAAATTAAAAAAAAAAACCTTTTTTAGTATATGCCCGATTAGTATATGAAAGAAGGAGGGTGCTTACTTGAAAGGTTTCCGGTTGGCCTGTTTGCTGATCTGCTGGAAATAATTGGTAAAGTATTCGACCCACAGGGCCGCGGCTTCGCTGCATTTCAGCGAGACGATCAAAATATCGTCCATGTTAGCGTTGTTCGGTCTCGTGAGTGTGCCTGGAACGACGAAAAAAGACGTGAGTCACTCGGTCCGGAAATTCTAAGCGAATTCCTGCGGGCTGGTCGTTCCCCGATATCATTTTATTAACTTCAAAGTTACAGCAAACTTCGGTAAATATTAAAATTACAGCAATTTTAAATTATATTGTTTCAAATATCTTGCGCCCCCTGTATTATAGACGAAACCTTAAACTCTCTCTCAACACAATTTAAGATTACTGTTCAAATAAAATTATCCAATCTTTAACGGTTTTTCATTTATATCCAATAACATGCCCACCAAAAAGGAAATTTCTAGGATCTTTTAGATATTTCGCCCATAAGCGACACACCCTGTATATGATTCAAACAATGTTCGAAGTAGAGGTTATAGCCCTGGATCTTCCAAGTTTCCTGGTTCAAGATTTTTTTGAAAATAGTAAATGGTTTTGGAGAAAATATTTTTTTTCTGAAACCATGCAGTACGCCGTGATAATCAATGACCAATTAGCCACATTTTTTGCGATTTTTTTAAGAATTTTGCCGATCGGGTGAACGATTATGGATAAAGTTACCAAAAAAAAATTTTCAAAAATTGCACTCAATTTCTACCGTTGAAATGTGGACACGGACATATATTTCTCTGCTAAATTTGAAGTTGATATCTGCAAATTTAGGACACTTAACACATTTCTCATTTAGCACGCAATATCGGGAACACCCTGTACAATAGGCGATCTATATCGCAATATAAAAGAAAGTGAGATCTGAATCATAATCTTCCAGTTATAAGCAATTTTCAGTAATAGGGGGACCCATTTTTCATTTTTTTTTTATTTGTGGCGGGCCCTGTATATTTTTGAAAAATTGTCAAGAATAAAAGTTTAGGCAGCCGTATCTTCTGGTTGAAGAATTTTTTGGTCTGGCGGTTTTTAATTTTTTTAGAATACTTCCCGAAAGCTGCATATATGTGCCTAAAAGGGTGTTGTTGGCTGGAAATTATTATATATTAGAATTAATCACGCTCCGGTTAACAAAAAATATTGGTCCTCAAATATCCCCCTCCGTTATAGTGTTATCGCTAACCAAAACTAACAAATGACATCTCGACACAACGGGGTCTATAATGAACTTAATGTCACTCGTCGGATTTATAATGGAATGACGTAATTCGATACGATAACATGTTTCCTACAAAATTGTTGGCGTGGACCGCGAAGTAACAAACAAAGCGCGCCGGTTTCAGATTAACATGTCGATACCCGGTCGCATTTTTCTTCCGATACGCGGAAATAAGCTCTATCGAAAACGCACATGTTCACAAGTAAACAATGAATGACATATCAAATTTTAGCTAGCAAAAAATTTCTAAAAAATATTGTTCATATTAAAGATAAAATATTTTTCACTCGGCCTATGATAAAAATATGAGTGACAAAGTGGACTGGTTAAAACTATTTCCCAAAGCCGCGGAATTAGGTCGGCCACGTTGGTAAACGTCAATCGGTACAGCGATGCCAGATTTATGTTCACTTCTTCTTCTTGGTGCTCGTTTAGAATGCGATCACGATGTTGCCTGCATAATTATCATTTGCGATGAAATATTCGGACGGGACGACAAATCTTTGGCTTGCTGCTATCTTAAGACGCTGAAAATGTTTCACAAAGAGTGATTTGCCAATGACGTTTGTAAACTATAATTTATTCCAGGCCAACTATGTTGGTTTCTTCAAAATTTTACATTCGGTGTAGCTGCTTTTGATGTAATTAAAAATTTTAATCAAGGGCGATGCATCTGACAGCAAGAATGCAAGAGGTGACTGTCATGTAGAAATGATTCAAAAAATATCTTTTCTGGTAGAGAAATTTTAGAGAAATATCTTCTCTTCTGCCAGCATGTCTCTCGAAAAGTTACATTAAGGCTACGGGACAAATGAATACCCGCAGATGGGCATAGAATCACTTATTGCCGCTGTTGGTTGGTTACACACTATAGAACAAGTGATACAGATGTACGTTGTTGTGAATTTTTTTCTTAAAATAAATTCAAGAATTATCTCCATAAAGACCACCCTGTGCATCCCGCGTCTGCGTCTCCGGTCGTGCTTAATTGAATCGGCGATTAGTGGAATCCTCAGCGGACAGAGATAATTAATTTAACCGAAAAGTTAATGAGCCTTTTTTTATATCTTGGTCAATAATTTTGCAGTATCGTAAGAAAATGAAGATATGGAGACTAAGACAATTATTCAGAATGCAAATTGTGGGGGTTAAACATAACAATTTGGAGTCACAAATAAAATAAATATTATCTTATCATTATGTCCGCATATATCAAGGCTCGCTCGGAATTAATGGTAAATTCTCTTGTACTTAAACTGGCTATTAGTATTGCCAAATCAACTAAGAAAGGGAATTATCACCCCAGTATGATACTTGGGATTGTACAAGGCAAACAACAACAAATCTTGTTTTTTCTAAGCAAGCTTCTGACGCAATTTGACATAAGAAGCAACTAGATGTCATATACACTGATTGCGATGAAGCTTTTGATAATGTCGACTATCAAATTCTTGATTGAAAATTAATATTAATAATTGTATGACTATCACATATACTTTAAAGCAAAATTAATTAGCAGCGAGGTAAACAGACGCGAAGAATTTAAGGATTTGGGTGTATATTTTATTTTAATATATGTATATTATATTGTAAATAGTAAAAAATTAATAACTGTTTGTCAATACCTCCACCCAAGAGAATGACGTATGTCTTTGTAGAAAAACATAATGCTGACTTGTTTTTACCAAAATACAAATACTGTTCTCTTAAGTTTTATCGTGTGTTACCTTTACATGTAATTACCTGCTTGGTGTTTGTCAAGAAAGACTGAACAGATTGAACCGATCAAATACTAGCGAGAGCCGACCAAATTGGTCACGAACCTTTCTGAACAGTTCTGCGATGGTTTTCGTCGCGTATCAACCGAGAAACCCACATAACTTGTGAAGCGACCTTAACGCCTCAACATTTTTCATCAACGGCGTTTAGCGCACACGCGGAACCTCGCGGAAGCTTCGACGGTCTATGACTTTTTTTAATGGCGACCGAGTTCGTTGGTGCCCGTTCGGATCGCACCAGCACAATGCGTACTAATGTTCGTGGTCGGCTACGCGTTCCCTGGAATACGAACAGAGGAAGTTCCGACTTTATCTCAGTCGGCTTTGATAAACGCCCGCAGGGCCGTATTCGGAATTTTCGACGTTCGCTTGTTGTCAAAGCGGCAATGGAGATACAGATCACGTTTTTAGGAGCTGGGTGACACCTAAATTTAGATTAGGTTCGATTACTAAACTACTAAAGTAGTCGCTAAGTCACTGCATACCTAAACTTAAACTTAACTCAAAATCGCGGGAAAACTGTGCGACACAATATTGTTTTGTTTGGACCTTAAAATGAATACGGAGCAGGAGTTTTTTAAAGAATTTATTGAATTGCCGAACAAGTTTTAACGAAATGGTTCATTTCACTTTTTTTAACACGTTCACTATTCTGTGATTCACATATATGATTTATAATAATAAATATATAAAGTAAATGTATAATCGTTCAATAATACTCAGTAATTAGTGATCATTTTAATCAATTGTAATGATTATTTTTGTGCAAAAAGGCATTCTAGATAAAATTGAGACAGAATTGTTTTTATGGTAAAGTTTCCTTAGGTTAAGCTGTCTGCTTCTTTTGTTAAAGTATCTTTATCCTTTTCCTTTTTACTTTTACTGGTTTATGATTTTTTTAGTGCCTTTTCTTCTTTTCACTTTACTTTTAAGATTGAGTCAGTCGCAGGACGCCCAGAGTTGAATCGAACCAGTAAGAATTTCCTCCTCCCGCCCTCTTAAAAAACATTCAATAAAAACAATGGCGGGCATCATTGTCTAGCGTTGGCCGTATTATACTTTTCAGATCACAATGGAGCGCTTCCGAATCGTAAATAGTCTCACAAAAAGAGACCGTTTTTATTTGACTTTACGACATTAACAAACAATTCGTCATCTAAATTTAGAAATAGGGGTTGAGGGTGTGAAAGCGATGCCGAATGTGACACGAGCCTCGCCCAGGTGTTTCGAAACATCGGCTTTTTAACGAGGACAGGCTTGGTTATTTTTCGACACCGATTCGAATCTGCGTCAAAATTTATATTTCAGAATTCATGAGTTCTGAACTATCAATCATTGCTTCTGACGTTTTTATCTGGGAGGCGATTCGTTTGTTTTAATTGCCGCTGCAGTTTGTTTACGTAACAACAAAGATTTATCGGCGTACTGGCCGGAGCTGATATCGCTAGATTTGTTTGTTTGTTAATGACGATTTAATACATTTTTTCCTCATTGTGTGGCTTATTTAACGATTTCAGTTAAGGAGGTTTATATGGTCAAAAGTGCATATTTATGATTTTCAAGTCAAGGTTAAGAAGAGTCGAAGATCGGTTTAATGATGAAGGACTTTCCTAATTTAAAAAATTCCTTTGACGAATGAAAAATGAAAGAAATTTTTTTGAAAATCGTGCCCTTTTTAATATTAAGTTGTTTATACGTTTTTTATGACGTGTTTTGAGTCGCTCGCTCTAACATTTTGGGTATATTGTCCCTTCCTACGTGTTTTCATCAGCGTACAGCTTATTTGTAGCTTTGAACTGATACCCGATGCCCCGCGGGGTGTGAAGGGGATTACTTGTGCCCGAATAGTTCGATGGCGGGGGAACGTAATTGCTCAGTGACCCATTGGCATTCAACGGAAGGGTTATAACCGGAGAGCGTATCAAACACCACCTTCTTCAAACTATAATAAATATAGTCCCCACCTCTACCCCCCTTCACAACATAAAGTTTACATTTGCTGGGTTCCGCCTGACGTTTTTTAAATTGTGACACACATTTGACAAGAGCCCAAATATGTCAACACAACAACAACAACAACAACTGTCTATTTTTGAAAGGTGTCGAATAAATCAAACC